GTAGTCGTCGTCGTCGTCGTCGTACTCGTACTAGTAGTAGTAGTAGTAGTAGTCGTAGTCGTAGTCGTAGTAGTCGTAGTAGTAGTCGTCGTCGTCGTCGTACTAGTAGTAGTAGTAGTAGTAGTAGTAGTCGTAGTAGTCGTAGTAGTCGTAGTAGTCGTAGTAGTAGTAGTAGTAGTACTAGCAGTACTAGTAGTAAAAGTAGTAAAAGTAGTAAAAGTAGTAGTAGTAGTAGTAGTAGTAGTACTAGTAGTACTAGTAGTACTAGTAGTACTAGTAGTACTAGTAGTAATAGGGTGGTAGCCGTATAACCAATCGCCAACCAATCGCTCAGCCTATCGCGATGCAGGTTTTAGCAATCGCGCAAAGCAAAGTAAACGCATCAATTCATAAATTTGTGACCTGCTTTTACGGACGGCTCCCATATATATATTACATATATAATAAAATATATACTATAATATAATATAATGATATATATATATACATATATAATATTTCTTATATCATGTGTATATAATTGTATACATTATACCATGTATATTAGTATGTAAATAGATAAACTGAGATACCACCACTATTGCTTCTCCTTAAATGGATTCTACATATTTCGATTTTTTGGAGCTCCTTGTTCATGACGATGTCCATGCCCTGTGCCCGTGGCACGATTTCCTCAGTGCTGGAGATGTCGTAGCTGGTGAACTCGGTGACGTTGGTCACTTTGCTCCAGTCCATGCGACCGTCAAAGTCCAGCCGCGCGGCGTTCAGCATGACGCACTTGGGCTTGCTACTGAAGCTGCGGAAAGCCATGCGGCCAAGACGAGATCCCAACATGGCGACTTTCATGACCACAAACCGACCACACCAGAGTGGCCTTTCGTGGTTTTGGGAGGCCTTGAGAAAAAATGGCTCGGTCATGTGGTCGAGTTCATATGTCACCCCTGATCGTTAGCTCTTACCACACGCTTCAAACATCGCCACTCAAACCTTGTCTGTGGTGAATAAAAACATGCTTTGATCCATCTTGATCCCGCAAAAAATGCCAGAACAGGATCCCTCATAGCAGCCGGTTGTTCTGAGCTTTAGACTGAGGTGCTGCTGCTGGTAGTGCTGGTGTGGGTAACCGTTGAAGTCCTCAGATGCTAAAAATAATGCGCTTCGAAGTTCCCTTGACTGGGATGATTGGGATGGATTTCAAATCCAAACTAACACATCTGAAAATAAATATGTCATGGATTTGAAATGGCTGGAAAGTTTTGATGATATTTCATGATTTTCAATCTTTATAGTTTAAATACAAATATGTCACATGTCATAATATTTTTCATGGATATTTCATGATACTTCCATATAGATCCAATTCAAAAAAGCATGATCTGTTTTATTCACCCAGTCTTGCCGAGGTTCGTATTTTCCGAGTCGGAGTCATCGGATGCGTTGGCCTAAAGTGTCTCGTGTCTCCAGGCGCTCGCCGCCAGAAGCGGTGACACATGTGACACATCCAGGTGCGACAAGAACACCAGGTACTTTGAAAATGGTAAAAACATGTATCCTCTGGTAAACGTTAACACATAACTATGGAAAATCACCATGTTTAATATGGGAAAATCAACTATAAATTTGACCATTTTCAATAGCGAACTGTTAAATTACCAGAGGGTAAAAACTGGTAAGTAAAAACCTCTTTTACTGCTCGGCTTTCCACATCTTCGCTTTAGGATCCACTTAGTCACTTTCTTCGCCAGGATGTGGATGATGTGGGAGATGTTTTGTGAAAAATAACCATGTCATACCATGTCCTAGCAAGCCTCGGATTGGCATCTAAGATATCTAAGCTTTTGGCTGTGGAGTTGTTTGAAGACGATCCTTCCACGGCCTTCGGTCCAGTGACCTGTCGCACAGGGATTCCCAGGCCTTAAAAAAATACGTGGGTCATCAATGGTCATCATGGGTCGATGGGTCAGAAGTGAATGACAGAATTCATATAGAATCATCACGAATCATCCATATTCATCAATTATATTAAATACTATTGAGGTCAGCATGTTCTGAGCAATTCAATTCCTTTCAGACGCGAAATGGCCACGGCTCAACCAGTCCAGCCTCTTCCTCTGAGCCATTGAGGCCATCCTTAGCAATTTGCTGTTGCGACTCTTTCTCGCCATTGATCTGTTTTTTTGGGAACAACATGGTGAAGTATGGTGAAACTGTGAAAGCCATGCACCTTGAAGGTCAAGATTTCTGCAGGCAACGTACCACATGTGCGGCCGATCTAAGGGTTTCACCCCTCGACCTGTGATGTTGCTGTCGTTGGCTGACTGCGGTTCCTCTCTGTCCTGCCAAGATCGGCCATGGCCGTGGCAATCATAGAGCTGGGCTAAAACTCAGCGAACGCACTTCACATGCTGAACGATGGTAACCAGTGGAAACCATCCTCGACAGTGTGCGTGATGGTAGTGGTCACCGTTGTAGTCCTGAACGCAAAGTGAGTCAACATCTAGGGGGGCCATCGTTGCTTCAATCTTGGATCGGAACCTGAAGCCATGGAGATAATGGGAGCTAATTCATGGAGCATGACATACCAGTGGACCAGCGTATTCAAGTACAGTAGCAAGATGTAGCAAGACATTTGGGGAATGGCATACCCCCAAATCATCCAAAATCAGACCATTTTAGGACCATTTTAGGACCATTTTAGTCAATTTTAGTATTGAAACCCATTGTTTTGGGATACCCCCATTATAGGAAATCTCCATTTCGTCACTCGCTGGTGTTTGAGCGCCCGGACACATCATCTTCGCTGCCCTTGGATTTGGCAGACTGGGTGTCAAGATGTTACTGCTGTGTAGTTTCATAGTATATTCTCCATAAATCACGAGAAAATACCGGGGAACATCTCCCTTGCAACAGAGCTTGCAGAGCACAGGATCTTGCAACCATCCTTTTCAAAGCAGCGAGGCCACCGATCATATCCTATCGGAGACACCCGCTCTAGGCGCCATGGCCATCGCCATCGCCAAAAGTCACCCGTGTTGAAGACTCGATGGCAAGGTCACCCAGGATGACCATCATGTTTGGACCACATTTCATGCTGGTTGAACCATCCCCAAAATTTTGGGGTTAAGATGGTACATCCCTTTGAACAAGATGTTTAAACTGATCAACAGATTTAGGAGGAGATAAAACACAAGCTGATTAATACCTCCATCATTATCAATATCTTTGATAACTTGAAAGGCATCTTGTAAAGAAGCAAAAAATACTAGTATTTATTTGGTGTTTCAAATATTTATGCAATTTCGTCGCTGATTGACCAACGAAAATGTTTCTTTTTCTTGAAATATATACATATATAATCATATATATATATATATTCATAACGAGTTAAATACTGAACATCTTGATCATTATCTACTCCGCCAGCAATCCAATAAATATGTTCGAAAAAATTACTGTTGAGCATTTGTAGAAGCGCTGATATTAGTAGCTTTGCTATCATATATAAAGGATTTTTGTTTAACCTTAACACTTCTTGCATTCTATTCCTATGGTCTAAACCTTTGAATGTATTAATATCGTTGATAATAAAATTTATGTATTTATACTTTTTAAAAAAAGTACATGAAATGGAGAGAAATGTAATTTATTGCTATTTTTAGTATATATTTTTTACATAAGATATGTGTTTTCTTTTCTATCTTTTTTTTGGTTGCTACATACTAAATTGGATAGTGTATAATATAGCACAACGCTAAGATGAGTTGGGTCACAGGCCACCAACGAACAATGGGCCTACACTAGGGGGATTATTGGCAGGCAGATCTGGCAGCGGACTACCTCCCTCAACTCAGCACATCCACTGGAAGCCAACCGGCGTTGGTTGTAGCTGTGGCATTCCAACCTTGGATGTTCTGAAATTCACGACAGGCTGATTGATGACAAGGCACTTTTATCATTGCAAAATCTTGATATATGTTATTATATGTTGATACTTGACTCAATTGCTGATGCATCATAATAATGACTGTTTTTCTTCATCTGGCAGAAAATAGAAGTATCCAAGAGCAAACAACAAAAAGCTGCATCAAACAAACGGGCATGCTTCTTTGAAGCTTAAAGCCACCAGAATAGCTTCAAAAAATGAACGTCCAATGAGAGTGAGATGAGAAGGTTCTATGCCGACGTGTCGATGGCACAATTGAGCGAGGCGCCATAAACGTAGTCACACCGGTATTTGTTATATGCCTGGCGCCAAAAACATACAGAATTCTGCTTTCTCCTGGAAGATGTTCTTCCCACAAATGGGTATGTCCAAAAATAGAGTACCCCCGATTCCAAAGGTCATATGATTTTTTTCCACTTCAGGTTGCCTTGTTTTGGGGTTTGCTAGTCACCCCATTGGATCCATGTCAGGCCATGTCTCATCATGTCTCTCAAGAATGACAGCCCAGGGCCTCAGGGCTTGCTCTATAGTTTATGACGACCTGCACCACATCCCCAGCTTGGACTGGCAAATATCCACCTTCTGCTTCAACAGCGTCGTACCTCGTGGCCAACGTGGCCAAATCAAGGTGAAAGATGTGAAAGAATCGCAAATCACATCCAAATCATCCTTAAATATCTCAAATCTCAACATCAAAGGCAACATATTAGCTACACGACTTTAGGATACTTTATGATTACTTTATGCTTTCCCAAATGGTGCGGCCAGCAAAGGATTGTTCCCAATTCAGTGCTGGTTCAATCTGGTTGGTATCGAATGATTCGATGATCCCAAAAACCATTGGATTCTATGACATCTGTGCTGCGACCAAGTATGTCTCAAAACCATTGCAAAATAGGATCGCTGATTGGATGATCTTCCATCACGTTGAGGGGTTGGTAATCTCGAGGTGGAATCGACTGCACATGGCACTGTTTCTTTCGCATACAAATCTATGATAATCTATGCAAATCTCCTATTGTGTAACTTCAGAAGTAAGAACTCCAGCATTCAGGCAGTACTGCAGATCCCAGGTGCGAAGAGATGACATGCATCTCCACAGTCTCCACAGGCGCTGGTTCACCTTCGCCCTCGGCGCCCTCAGCGCCCTCAGCAGGATCCACCGGAGTTTCCACCGGCGTAACGGGCTCCACGACGGGCTCCACGACGGGCTCCACGACGGGCTCCGGGACGGGCTCCGGCGGCTCCTCCGTTGGTCGTGCGTAGTCCCGACGAAGCCGAAGGCACAACATGCCCGGAGCATTCTTCAGAAGGTTTTCCCTGGCCCGGTTGATCCACAGAATAAATAGCAAGGAAACGAATCTTCGAGATGTTTCGGCGGAATGATATGTTTTTTATGATAATCTTTTTTTTGAAATGTTTTTTTTGTATGTTCTTCTTATGATTCTCATCGTGAAACATGCTTGGAAGAGGCAGGGTAGGCATTGTTCCACTTCGCCAAGGCACATCTCCAGGGCGCTCTTCTTTCCGTTGATGCAAAGAATCTTGTCACCTGACAAACAAAAGACGAACCACCTGGAAAACCATGGAAGACAAAAAGGAAAACCCAGTGCCATCCAGTGCCAATTTTTTGGGGCACTTTCCAAAGTGCCGGGAATTTGGGTCACTATAAAGTGTATATTCCTACGGGTATTTCTGGGGCTTTACGGGTATTTACGGCACTGTTACGAGAATTTTTGGCACTCTTGCCGCATGCCGATTGCACCAGTAGATGAAGTGCCGTTTTTGTTTGGGATTACAAAGTGACAGAAAAATGGTTGACTGGGTGAAAGTAGCATGGAACAATTTGCAACGGCTTTCCAGTCAGGATGTTACACGGTGTGTGACACGGTGTTACATTGTGTTGGAGTGATGTTTTTGCCACTGTTTGTGATCGTTAGTGACTCTTAGTGCATGTGTACATCTCCTTTTTCGAAAGATTTTTTTTGCACATGCTATCCCCCGTGATAGAAAACATGAGCAAACAAACTTTTCCCCTCTGCATCAATCTTCTACCGTTCACGGCCTGCTTGTATGGTCTGTTCCGCAACTGCCGGGAAGCCAAACTTCTGGGTCACCTGTGCCACGGATTGCCACGGCAGCCGTTTTTTTCCTCTGCACATCTCACCATGTCCCGGGATGTCCCAGGCCTCATTCTGCCTCTGGATGCTACCAACGACCTTGTCGACGCGGTAGCCTTCATAGACATTCGTCTCCTTGTTGAAAGTCTTTGCCACGACTAAGCCAACCTGGGGTTGGAATTGGGTCTGCAGCAATTCAAGATTGAAGACATTGAACCGAATTAGGTCTCTTGGAATGTTCATGACGCTCATGGGTGGTATGGGCGGTATACAGTGTCATTCCAAACTTGAACCGAGCTCCACATTGAAAGTCACTTGCACTCGCCCGCAACTTGCGGACACCAAGAGGTGGGAAAGATGGGGAAAGAAGCAAACAGCAACGTGTGGAGCGAGTCTCGTATCGCCTTCTACATCCTTCTACCAAGCAATGTGTTAAGCCCTGAGATTGACGAGGTATGTTGTGAATTGGTCACATGTCGACATTCAAAGAGCCCTTCATGAGCGGTTGACACTCGATGGGTCCATTTGAATTCGCTTCAAAGTCCAATGATGTCCAATGTGACAGTGACCATCACTGTGACTGAAGCTGTCTTCAGTCATCTTTTAAGAAAAGAGAGTAGTGATACAAGAGCTTCACACGCGCACAAACAGACACAAGGTGCCCCTTTTTGCACTTGCAACACACGACAATACATTCGTACAAGCGGCTGATCCGTCAATTCTGCAGACAGAGGCCATAAATTCGAAACAGGTGTCACAGGTGTCGCGGGTGTCATCGTCCGTCGGGGACATTCCCATGGCTCAAACGTCCAGCAATGCAAAACGCACTTTGAAAACTCCACGAAATCATCTATCTTTACATCCTTTACTTGTCTACAATGATTTTCTTCACAATTTTTGCCTGAAGTCTTTGAATACTTTGCGACGGTATACAATCGCTTGTCCAATGCGTCTGATTTGATCATTTGGTGCCGGACACTATGCATCCCTATGCATCCCTGGGTGATCTCGGCGAGCAACGAGTTCGTTGTGCTCAACGCAGTTGTGCACTTCTGGTGCATGAACCGACCTTCTAAATGGGCTTCAAAATTTGGAACCTCAAAATTCTATGCTTTCATATGCTTTCAAACCTCCTCTCCATGTACAACCCAATCAAACGGCAATTTTGGTGATTTTTGGGGTATCATTTGGAGACAAAGACAAACTGAAGTGACATTAATAGTGACATGACATCAGTGACCCGGGACCGTTGACCAAAGTGCTAAGGCAACGGACTACACACTGCTGTATGCACAGGTCCGTCTCTTCAGAGTCGAGACCGTACCTGGAAAAGATGGTCTCGGGGATGATGGATGCACAGGCTGCGCAGCATCGAAGAAGAGAAACCCGTATTGAAACATCGATTTTCGCAGTGTTTACCAAGCTCATTACGAAGACTTTCTTTCTCTGAAAAGCATCAAATTGGATTCAAGAAAATCAAGAAAAACATTCTGCCGAAACGACCACTTTCTGCCTTGAACTGCAGGAGACCAAACACCGCCTTAGCATAGCTGGATGCTGGATGGGGATACGGGGGATGCCCCTCCAACCGCAGCGCCATGTCGAGAAACCATAGCTGTTCATCTCCGAAAGATGCATTGCCTTCAGCGTCCATGTCTCAACCCCAAAAAATCAAGCAGCCATGGCAAACTGTTTAAAGTCTCTGGAAGACTATCGGGCCAAGTAGCAATATATATTTATATATATATATATTATATACATATTGGTATACATACATATTAAATATATATATTAATAATATACGTATATATTATACAATGATTCAGGCAACGAGCATCACTTTGTGGTGCAGAGATAGGTGGCCTCCAGGGAAGAAATCCTCCAAGTTCAGCTCGTCCAAAGCGTATTGGTAGGGCGACCTGCCGAAACATGCCCCGTTCAGTGCCTGTTGAAAAAGGAATTGGCCACTGACAGTCACACAAAATGGTGATTGAATGGTGATTTAATGGCGATTTAATGGTGATTTAATGGGATGGGATGGTGATTTAATGGTGATTTAATGGGATGGGATGGTGATTTAATGGGATTTAATGGCGATTTAATGGGCTGGACCATGCTTCACTCGCAAAATACGTGCGCCTTTGGAAAAGCTTTGGAATTTTTGTTGGGAGCCCGGAGCTGCAGCGGTTAACCGTTACCAGGATCCCAACCTTGAGCCCGTCATCCACCCATCGTCACAAAGGCAAAGTCCTTGAGGACTGCACCTGGCCAGGCCAGGCGCTTGCCCTTAACTTGGAATGATGGGAGCCTGTTTCATCTCACCCGTAGGATCCATGTATGGTATATATGCTAACATTTGGGGTATATTGATGGTAAATGTTACCATATATGGCATACATGGATCCTATGGGTCATGTAAAAAACATTTCTTCACGGGAATAAACATAAAATTCAAGTAATATATTCAAATATACACTTGCCACATATTTAAGCATGTATAATCTGTATAATTCCATATGTCCCAATAATTCCTCCCGATGTTTTTGGAGTAAACACATCAACCAGATAAAATTCCACATGTCCCCAATGATTCCTCAATTTGCTTGGAGAAAACGGTACAAAAAGAGGCAACACAAACATTCCGAATGGATATTTGAGCGCTCATTTGAGCGCTCATTTGATGAATATCTACTTAAATTCTATGGATCTGGTAGAGTATGATCATATTCCTCATATAAATCCATATAAATCCATATAAATCCATATAAATCCATATAAATCCATATAATATCATTACAATATCTAATCACCTATAATATCTTATATATAATCAGATCAATTAGAGCCTGAGCCGCTCACCTGCCGTGATACGAACAGGTCTCCTGCATGGTGCAGTAGACATCGCAGGAACCTGGCGCAGTTTGGCATCCATGGCATCATGGTCCCTGAAAAATTGGTCCAACATGGCGAAATCGGAACAACATGGGGGAAATCAATATATCATTGGATTGGTTTAAGGGAAAATTTACAGGAAACCCCCATATTTAATGGTTAAAAACCATGGTTTCCTGTATATTTTCCCTTAAACCAATCCAATGAATATAAAATATCCATGTTGTAATATGATTGTTTGGAATATTCCCATTGGAAATGCTAATGGATAATCATGATAATCCAAAATGCTAATGGAACTATAAAATATCCAATGCTAATGGTTGGTCAATTTATGGATTATCCATGATTATCCTGTTGGAATAGGAGGGAACTAGAAAGAACTATTCGAACTTATTGAAAAAACTCTGTGAAGCACCGACTGGCGCACCGCGGTGAAACGGGGTCAGCCACAACACACCCGCCTAGAGGAAACCAGTTCTCCGCGCAGTGGTCACAATTTCGACCCGCCCAACCTGAAGGCTGGAAAGCTGTGTGATACCCGAAATGGTAATTTAACATAGCCATAGCTATTGAAAATATCCATGATCATAATATTTATAGTTGATTTACCCATTCAAAATGGTGATTAATTTATATAGTTGATGTAGCATGATGTAGCCATTTAAAATGGTTTTTTTCAACCATTTTCAATAGTTATGTAAACGTTTACCAGAGGCTATTTGATGGATGTTGCATCATCACATCGACTGTCTGACATCTCAAGAAATGGACTTGATGACACTACAAAATGACAACACTTCCCCAAAGTGATCCCCAAAGTGTTCCAACAACAGTTATATTAGTTAATATCATAATATAATGGGGAACTAATATTGATATATGAAAAAAATAGTTCCCCATTACATAAATATTATGATATTTACTATTAATTAGTATATTTATATTATATTATATTATTATTATTTTTTTAATATTAATTAATTAATTGATATTACCCTCTGGTAAATTAACATAGACCCTGGCAGATAGGGGTTGGAAGATTAGTTTCCATTACAAATTGGTGATTTCCAAGGTCTATGTTTATTTACCATAGGGTAATTGATTATGTGCCTGTAACATGTCTGGTACCTAGGGATCTGTCCGTCTTGGATCCTGGCCGCTGTCACAGTCGCAGGTGCCAAAGTCATTGCACTCACCGTGGCCACTGCAGGTGACACTGGACACACCTTGGGAACTCTCGGCCCTAAACATACCTTGAACACACGATTGCCACGGAAAAAATATGGGTTTGATTGAACATGAGGTACATTCTGGGACAGTATGGTATAGTACCCCCAAATTTCATGGTTGATCATCGATTTTTTCCGATAGACATACCGTATTTGGGGTGTATTCTCCTTCATTTCTGACACCAACAATAGGGACTTTATGATACTTGATGTTTCCCAAGCTCTTTGTTTTTTTTAAGCCACTGCTGGTGGCGACAAGGCACAGAGCGTCGTGCAAGAGGGTGCAGCTGTTTCGGGTGCGGGGAAATAGCCTGGCACTGACAGCTGGTCATGGCTGGTCATTGAATCTGGGAGTCACGCGATCTTTCGATAGCCAACAGAATGAACAACACACCTCCTGGAAAAATCACTTCATATCACCTTCAATACAGGCATCTTGATTTGTCAAAGCGTGGTATAATGTGGCATATCATGTGGTAAAGCCAACAATAAAGCATATTCAATAGAGGTGTATGAGATAGGGTCTACCATGGTTTACCATGGTTTACTATGGTTTACCGGTTTTCCACATTGTTGGAACCCGTAAACGCACTGCTTAGCCATTGGCGCCTTCATCGCAGCGCTCGCAATCGAGGCCACCCCAGCCCGAGTGACAAACGCACAGCCCATCGCCGGTGCGCCTCAGCTCCACACTAAAGCTGGGTCCGACTGGGTCCGACTGGGTCCAGTGGATGATTTTTGTAGATTTGACTGGAATATACTGAGTATACTGAGTATACTGGAATATTTTGGTGATTTTTCTTGGGTTTCAGTGTACTGCTACAAAATGACGTGCCAGCAAACATTGAACTGTGGGTTATCTCTGATGATGGAAGCCATGAGATCAACGGGTTTTTCACTTGTCGATCTTTTGAAGGTGATTTGTGAACAGCGGTTTCTCAAAAAGTGGCAACCAAAAATCATCCGATGAGTATATTAACCATATATTAACCATTATTAACAGTATATCATATAATAACCATATAATATAATGATGAATTGCAGTGCGTCAAATGGATTTGGAATGCTTTGTGGTACCCAAATCGTGACACAATCGCATGGAGTGTTCCAAGTGTTCCAAGGGCAAGACCCTTCGCGGCAAAAGTGAGTTCCAGGGTAGCTGCAAGTACACCTGCAAAGGAGCTTCAATTGGGATTCATCGGTCAAACCTACTTGAGTGCACCTGGCTGCTTTTTTTCCACCTCTCCCCTCTTTCTCTGTTCTGAAATGCTAAATTTGTATAAGAAACATTAAGAACCTAGAAACATCTAGAAACTACTCTGTAATTATCAGGAATATTGAAACCGTCCGTGCTTCCACTATCCTGATTCCTTGTCCCCTTGCTGTTCCACATCTGCATCTGGTCACGGTGAATTTCGTCTCTGCTGTTTAGCTGTCGCTGAGCTTCCCCGCCGCAAACTACACTCGCTGCGAAATCCAGCACCCAGAGGCATTTGAATGTTGCAATCTGCAGCATAGGAAATGAGATTTTAATGGATTTGACACGATTTAACTATCAATAATAGGGATTTAATCAATAGAATATAATCAGGATGTAATATGAGCCATCACATGCGTGTCGCACTCAGATCTCAAAGGCATTCAGCTCATGCCATCAGCGATTCAATCGGCGGCCTGGAATATCAGCAGTCCGATACCATCCGTTTTGACTCGCCAGAACTGCAGCGGGCGGTTAAAGGAACTCTGACCATGTCACTGTCTCTGCACGGTCTCCCAAATTGCAACTGAACCTGACTGAACTTGACTCTTCCCGGATACATACTGTATATGATACATCTATGATTGATGTATGATACAATGATACATCTATGATTGATATATGATATACCTATATGAGCTATATATTATATATAATATAATATACTAATTATATACATATGATACTATTTTTGAACATCAATTTTGATCTTTTCATCATTTTTCAACCGATGGTGGCTGGGTGGTTTGGGCCTTGATCCCAGCAGACCACCGGCCCACCGTACCAGCCACGATCACATTCGCAAAGGCCAACCTAATTTTGCGACGTTTGAAACGTTGAAATGATTGGGCTGTATATCATGTTGATATCATGGGCTGTTGAAATATGTTGATATCAACATATATCAACATATATCAACATATGTCGATATCATGGGCTGTTGAAAGATGGCTCGTATTCAATAGACATTTCTTGACCTCAAGCTGCGGCTGTGTCTGAGAATCGGGTATCCCCTCTTCAATGGCTATTGAAATGAGGAAACCGATGATTAACATTGAAAAAACATTATTAATTAACTGATTAACCATCAAATTTGGGGCTACCATGGGCTACCTCATTCTCAATCAAACAAAAAATCCATAGCGAACAGCAGCTGAGTTTTGGGCATCTGTGCATCGACCGTGGCCGTTGCAGGTTGTGGAATCCTTGGTGGCCCATTCTCTTAGATGGCTATAGTATGCAGAATTATGCAAAAGTAACTAGTATGATCGTTGTAGATACCTCACCTTCCTTTTCCAATAGGAGTAATCAAAATCATTCAAAATCTATATGATATCTATGAGATTATAAACTCTCTTTCTTAGCAAACTTCTCTGAATGTCTGTGGCAAGTGCCTCTCTCGAACCCTTGCAATGCCACAACAATTTTCAAATGGCGGACATCTATGGAATCTCTTAAAAAAGACATCTGGGAAACTGACGGAACAACGCGTCGAGCACGGTGGATATGGATAACTTGTGGTGTTGTCTCCAACCTGCGCAGGTCGTCAAGTTGCCGAAGCCGACGAAAACGGGACCACGTCCGACGAAAAGTCCGACCTCTGGAAGCCCATCGAAGGTGCAGTAGGTGCAACCTTCACCTTACCGAGGCGAACGAGTGGTGCAAAAATGTGGAAAATGCCAGCAAGATAGTTTGGTTATACGGTCATGAATGGTGATGGCTTGTGTAAATGATTGTAAATGTATACATTTATGTCCAATGTGTTCAGCATGGTACCGCATCCCATGATATCCCATGCCCATCCAATGCCATCCATGGCCTTCCCACAAGTCGTTGCAAAGGCATGAGCCCGATGGCCCGCAAATGCCGTTCAGGTGGCAGGTGGTGCCGAACTCAGCGGTGCTGCAAATTCTGTGATTCTTTTTTCTGTGTGCACCTCCAAAGTCATTGTCAAAAATATTATACCGTTTCTTCAAGAATAACAAAAACAAATTGCGAAACATCCAGATCATCAAGGGAAGGTGCATTGAAACTCTGAGTTTTCCCAACATCGCACTGCACATCGCAGGCACCCTCAGGATAGTAGCCTCAGGAACTGAAAGGCACATTCATGAAGTGTCAGTTTGGAAGGGAGCACTTTTGAATACTTTGAATACGTTTGAGCCATTCCTTGATATTCAATCAACATGCTAATTCTCCATTATCATCCTCTGTATATCCATTGTATATCCATGGTATACTCAAGCAGCCTAGGCTATCCTTGACGTGGCTTTTTGGCCCTGCAGCTTTCAGTCGAGTCACCGGGTGCACACTGCTCGCAATAGATACCGGCCCAGCCCTCTTTGCATTCACCTGGCTGGCTGAGTTCTACCATGACGGTGCAATAGATTGCAACAGATTTGACACATTTTAAGACCAATGGACTAAATACATCTAAATAACTTAAGTACCTCTCACTGCCCACTTCGACCTTTTCTTGCCACAACGACCATCGCACAGCGCGGACCAACGTCGTTTGCAAGAATCGCCAGCAGGACACTGCCCCGTTGATGCAAGGCACGACCTTGGTCCCATTGGTCCCATATCGGTGCTGCAGCAAACATCAGCAGCTTCCATCGGATCCAGGATCCCGGACTTTGAGCCCGCCAGAATGCAGGGGCATGGTCGGCTGCAGTCTGCACCTGAGCCGATCTGCTGGCGGATCTGGCGCAGATTTCGGCCGTTGTCCAGGGGAGCTTTTTTGGGGGCTCAGATGTGCTCAGCACCCAACCCCACCACCAATCCTCACCTTGGAAGCAGCGAAAAGGCTGGATAAAATGGATAAAGCAACTTGACAGATCAAAAGATCAAAGGTATGCAATGAATTCTCTACTTTTCCCATGTCCATCTGGATACGAATTGGCTTTTCCAAAAAAAACATAAAGTGCTCCGAATCAATCCACATTCCTGACGTTGGAAGAGTTCCACCCAGAAAAAACCATGTCATTAGCCACATCCCTGAAGCGATTAATCAAAGTGCTTCCAATGTGATCAATCAATGTTGAGCTTGTGACAGTCACATGTCTCCACCTGGTTCAGAATTGCACAGGTCCTGAAAAAAATAGCTGCCAGGAATCCAGGGACAGCCGTGATCCCCTGGTGGCTGGAAGTCGTCCTGGTGTTGAGGGGGTTGCAGCTGCTGCAAAAAACCTGGCCATGCCATATGCTCAGGTGCTGGAAGCACAGATATATGGAGCCACTCAGCCACATGTGATTTTTCTTTAAAATAAATAAGGTGATTCCATGTGATTCCCCAAAATCACCAGATGTTTTTTCATTTTGAGATATTTGTCACCAATTTCTGCGTACAGAAATCCCATGATTCGGGGAAATCGCCTCGCAGTTGGTTCCGTAGTAGCCCAGCTTCTTTGCGCAGCTGCACGCCTCAGCTCAGTATCCGGGAGAAACCCCGGCGACATCCGGCAAAAAAATGGTAGGCATCTGAGAATCTATAGCTATTTTTAGCTTTAGAAAAACATATATATCATATATGGATTGTCATTTATCCCAATTTATCCCTCATCTCTTCTTGGTTTTCCAGCATGGTTTGATTGGTTTGATCACCTTAAGAGGTTTTGGACAAACATCGCTGCGTGGCTCCGGAGATGAACGCAGTATGGACCCACCAGACCCACCAGGCCAGGGCGCAAATTGTCCAGCATCCTGCGCGGGGCGAATGAGCAGAAAGAAGGAGTATAAAGAATGACTGGTTGGTGGTTTCAACCCCTCTGAAAAATATGAAAGTAAATGGGAAGGATTATCCATGATTATCCCATAATATGACGGAAAATAAAAAATGTGTGAAACCACCAACCAGATGAGCATGATCTTGGCATCCTTCTGATCCTTCTGAATTCGGCGATTCTGCTTACGACACACCTGTTGCCAAGTTCCTTGCTGGTGTCTGGGTGTTCTATCAGGTCATGTAAGACAAGCCTCGACGCAAATGCCCACGTTGTTGCAGTACGGACCTCGGAGTACGAATTCTTGCAGTCTTCTGTGTTTTCCGCAAGTTGCTTTTTTTTTAAAGCAGGGCACTGCCAGTTCTGAGAATTGGGAACCAAGTGATACACAACTCTTGCCGAATCCACACAGTTTGCACAACCCAACGTATCCAGGCTGCCCTGCAGTTTGTCTCAGCGAGTTGATAGGACTTGCTGTCTGCACATTGGCTTCCTTGCACCCTGGCGCATCTCACTCTCAACGAGAACCAATTCTGTAAAGTCTTAGGCTTTTTATCTGTTTCCAGCCCAACATGTGACCACATTTTCCAAAATAGACTTTGGAATCTTTCATTTTCGCATGTTTTCAGACAAAAACTCTGCGCTTCCTGTGTGTTCCAAACTGCTCAAGGCCACCAGTCAGCTAGCATTGTGTTGCCTCGTGAAACATCACCATGTCCCTGGGTCCCTGGGTCCCTTGGTCTTGGAGAGTGGATAAATCTCATCAATGACATTAAAATCTTTAAATAAACAGTTAATAAACATGACTATCTCTGGTTGCAGGGTGTTGCAGGTTTCTGCAACGCCAACTCTTTTTAAGTCCGACTCACCTCGCCTGACGTCGCAAATGCATGCGCCATTGTCAGCGCAGAAGCCTTGCCCTCCGCAGCTATCGCCAGGACCTCAAAATCTACAGCTTGAGGTTCATGGACCCATTAAGATTTGTTTCCATACGGTCATACGGATGAAAACACATTGAAAATCATTGAAACAGAACAGCAGTCCTCACAAAAGTGAACAGAGATATGGAACAAAGGCTTAGATTAGCTCTGTGTCTGGGCTGGAACGGCGTTCTGAATCATGAGATGCCCGGCTCATATCCACGTTGCAACCACAATTGGTACCTTCCCAGCCGGTCCTCAGCATGTGAACATGATGTCTTACAGGTCAGTCTAGTAATTGCAACAACCAGAACGTTTAACTATGTTGAACTGTAGGGAAAACCAAGCTATTTAGGATCTGTAAGGTCCAAATTCGTCGTCTCTCCACCTTCGTTCTTCAACCAACGCAATGCGTCCGAGAGCTGGACTGACATTCACAAATACCGGTGAAAGGAGTCTGGCAGCGCGGCAAAAAAGCGACAACACGGCAGCTCGATAGGCAGCTATAGGCAGCTTGGTAGGCAGGCGTAAACAAAATCCTCTACCCTCTGGTAATTTAACATAACTATGGAAAATGGCCATAATAGTGAATTTTCCCATGAAAAATGGTGGATCTTTCCATAGTTATGTTAAATTACCAGAGGGTACAATTGTTGCCAGAGGCACACAAGTTCCTTCCAGGCAATCTACGCCCTCTTCGCAACGACGGAAACATTCACCCGGAGGGTACCTGCTGCAGCTGATGCGAGGTGTTGACTTGACATCAGCGGATGGAAAACCGCAACATACATCAACTGAGATCGCCATTTTCCATTGGGTTTCCCATTTCAACCATCAGGTCACATGTAGGCGGCACAACTATCACAGGCAAAGCCAATGAAGCCGGACCTCATGATGAAAAAAATCGATGTGATCAAAACACCAAAGGACCAGTAAGTGTTGGGACAAAATATGGATCTTGACATATCTTGAGGTCAAGTTCCAGAAGATCTGAGCATTGCACTTGCAAAGGCAAGAGCCATCACCCGAAGAGCCGTCGTTGCAAGACAACTCGTGCGCAAAAGTCAACGTTGCGCACAAGTTGGCCAATGAAACATCGTGGATGGACTTTATGAAGTTCCTGCTGGCAATAATTACATATGTATATATATATAATATACATAGAATGCACATTGACATCATGACTCATGACACTTCCTGATTGCAAAAGAAGGAGTTGTCAAAAAATGGAGCACACATTCACAGATATTGTCTGCAAGTATATTCGTCAGGACAACAGCACATGCATGGAAGGACAATACATACGCTGCCTGATATGTTCTTGCGAAGGTACATGCATACTGACATGTTCCCTCATTGTTGGTTTGTACATCAGTACATGCATGTCACTGGTGCACGTTGACTTCATTTGACTATGTCTAGATAGTATCCGGATAGTATCCGCTTACCATACATTTGTCCTACCCTCTGGTAAACTGTCACATAACTATGGAAAGATCCACCATTTTTCATGGGTAAAGCCACTATTTCGACTGGGCCATTTTCAATAGCTACGTTAAATGACCAGAGGGTAAATCCCATGAAACATCCCATTTAAATCATGGTTCAATCCCCCATGGTTAAATCTCCCATTAGCTATGTTAGTCATAACCAGAGGCCATCGCCATTCACACAGACGCTGAACAAATCGCCATTCAGGAGCAGACGGTGCCAGCAGTGGTGCAGGTGCAACTCCATCGACCTTGGGATGGAGTAAAGGTATGACTTACTGGTGCGTTTTACGTAGGGAATGGATGGGTTGCTGGGGTTGCTGGGATGATTTTGTTAATAGTTATTGCGGATCATTCCCGAAAATTCCCTACGTTTAGCACAAGTAAGATGAAAAATGATGAAAAATGGATGGACCATGGATGGAAAAATGATGGACAAACCATAGAATCATCATGATGATTGTATGGATCATGTTAAGAATCTTAAGATCTCGATCCATGATTGATCTTGGTCATGGATGCATAATTGTTTATAATGTTAAGATTGTGATTCACGTTGTGATTGCTAGAAATCGTTCCTGAAATCTGCCGTGCCAATGTCACATAACGTGCTTATCCAAAAGGGTGTTTCACCCCACCTAGCCAGGGCCAATCCCAGATCCGCATTGCTATGTCTGGTTTCGGGATTGCGCTGGGATCTTCCGGCAGTCTGTGTCCCAATAGCTGGGCCTTAGCCGGACAGCCGCAGTGCCGCAGTCATCTTTCTGTGCAAATCATCCCTTACTTCCAGGTCACTTCCAGGTCACTTCCAGCTTACTTCCGCTGGAAATGTGGAAATTGATTCCGAAAGGAACGGAACTCGAAACTCCAGATTCTTGCAGCAAAGACCTCCGAAGTCATGAGAATCATACAGCACTTGCACCACCGCTTATGCACAATCCCGAAGCTTATGCAAGAGACATCCACTCAAAGAAACACATCAAACCTTGTACCACTGACTCGAACAACGTAAAATATGGCATATAAAATATAAATCTCATTCGGATGTCATATAAAATATATAAAAGGGAAGGGTACTCATTCGGATGCCATATCTTATCCCATAATATGAATTAATTGTGCCAAAATGTCGTTTTGGCAAATCCAAATCGCCATTGATAGTGCCAAACTGAGAAACCGTGCTTGCAAGTGCAGGTTGGCGTTGAAGCGCCCGTTGCTAGCGAACAGAATTCTGTTCCTTCAAGGGAGTCAAGGGTAGCCAAACCAAATTGGCACGGTGGAAGTGGATCTGTACGTGAGGTCGTCTCAAATTCTATATCATCATTTTCCCATATTTTCCCCTTGAATTGCCACAAAATGGCAAGCATTTCCAATTTTGCGACCCAGATCTTTTTCCAAACTGCCAACTTGGAGGAGCTACATCCAGTCTGTTCATCGCTGTCCTTCAGCGTAACAATGGTCTGAGCCTGGATATTTGCACCAGAGACTGACAAATTGCAGAGAAAACTTATCCAGATGGGATATTTGCACCAGTCAGATCTTGTTTCGGATTTCAAATCACAAAAATCACATCTATTCACTATGCAGCTGTTCCGCTTTCAAAACTTGCCACTGAACACTGAAGACTTGGAGCCGCACAAACACCACTGCAGTCAGAGCTGAAGTGATCATTGTCGCAAATGCACGCAGCACCTCAATGCTCTCTTACGATGCCACTGTGCCACTGATTCAGTAGCTTTTTCCAGCATCCTCCATGAAGACAGGAGTGGCAGCTTTTGAGTTATTGCCAATTGAAGATATGATTCTATGATATAGGACACTTTTCTACATCATCATACATCCAAGGCGTGAAAGGCTTTCGAGGCGCTGATAGGATCGCAAGTACCGAAGCCAGAGCAACTGATGGTAGGATTGCAGTAGCCTGGCATTGTGGACATCATTGCCATCCCGACACACTGCTATGTCTGCTATCCATCATTTCTCATGGGAGTGGCTCTGAACCATCAGAGTCAGGCTGCAGATGTTGATTCGCTGGTTAAAAAAGGTCAGTCTGGACACACTTTGCATAAGAGATCTGCAAAGACCTGCGGAGCTTCGGAAATGAAGAGTTTCCCCGCTTAAACAAACAAGCGCTGGAGTCACGGGAACAAGCTGCGATCAGATTCCTCAGAGATTTCCGACGGAACAAACCCAGCAAGGCACAAGAAATGTCGCTCACGCTGGAATAAGATTTATCACCTTGATTACCCTCTGGTAATGACTAACAGTTCGCTATTGAAAATGGCCATAGAAATAGTGGATTTACCCATGAACAATTGTGGATCTTTCCATAGTTATGTGACAGTTTACCAGAGGGTATTGCACTGGGAAACCGGACGTGATCGGCTGCACCATATCTGCAGGTGTTTGTCAACCACAGGTTGAAGATATTCAGTGAACATATAACATAGACCCGGGCAAGCCGGCGGCGGAAGTTTCCCAAACATAAATGACCTATAGTTCAAAGACAACCTGTCCCGACCGTGTCCTTCCCTCGACACTCCACACCTCACACTGCACACTGCACTCTTCGCACTCCAAACTTCAAACTTCACACTCCACACTTCACACTCCACACTTCTCACTTCTCACTGCTTCCTTCACACTCCAAACCTCACACTCCAAACCTCACACTTCACACTTCACACTGCACACTTCACACTTCACAGTCCACACTTCACACTTCACACTTCACAGTCCACACTTCACACTTCACACTTCACAGTCCACACTTCACACTTCACAGTCCACACTTCACACTTCACACTTCACAGTCCACACTTCACACTTCACACTTCACAGTCCACACTTCTCACTTCGCATTTCACACTTCACACTCCACATTCCACACTTCTCACTTCTCACTGCTTCCTTCACACTCCAAACTTCACACTTCACACTTCACACTTCTCACTTCGCACTTCACACTCCACACTTCTCACTTCTCACTTCTCACTGCTTCCTTCCCACTCCAAACTTCACACTCCAAACTTCACACTTCTCACTTCGCACTTCACACTCCACACTTCACTCACACTTCACACTTCACAGTCCACACTTCACACTTCTCACTGCTTCCTTCACACTCCAAACCTCACACTTCACACTTCACACTTCACACTGCGCTCTTCGCACTCCACACTGCATAGTCCACACTTCACACTTCTCACTTCACACTTCTCACTTCTCACTGCTTCCTTCACACTCCAAACTTCACACTTCTCACTTCGCACTTCACACTCCACACTTCACAGTCCACACTTCACACTTCTCACTGCTTCCTTCCCACTCCAAACTTCACACTCCAAACTTCACAGTTCACACTTCTCACTTCGCACTTCGCACTCCACACTTCACTCACACTTCACACTTCACACTTCTCACTTCTCACTGCTTCCTTCACACTCCAAACCTCACACTTCACACTTCACACTGCGCTCTTCGCACTCCAAACTGAAACTTCACACTCCACACTTCACACTTCACACTTCACAGTCCACACTTCTCACTTCTTCCTTCACACTTCACACTTCACACTGCACTCTTTACGTCCCACACTTCACACTGCTCTAAACCTACGTGCAACAAAAAAACACTAGTGCCAAAATGTAGAAAATCTGCTAACAAATTTATTTCGCAGCCTTCATGCAGCCACTCCAAGACGATTTACGAGATCCAGCTGCAAAAGACAATAGTATTACAAATGCAGCCACAGCACGAAGCAACCTTGACGCAGCCATTACAATGCGATCTGCAGAGACTGAGTTGCAAAACACTATAGAACTACGCGCAACGGCGTCGGAAATTGTAGCTCCAAAACCGGATCTCGACGCCAGAGCGAAAAAAAGACGATTTTGAAGCACTTTTTAAAATGATTTTTAGAAAGAAAATCACTAGTGCCAAAATGGAGAAAATCTGCTAACAAATTTATTTCGCAGCCTTCATGCAGCCACTCCAAGACGATTTACGAGATCCAGCTGCAAAAGACAATAGTATTACTAATGCAGCCACAGCACGAAGCAACCTTGACGCAGCCATTACAATGCGATCTGCAGAGACTGAGTTGCAAAACCCAATAGAACTATGCACAACGGCGTCGGAAATTGTAGCTCCAAAACCGGATCTCGACGCCAGAGCGAAAAAAAGACGATTTTGAAGCACTTTTTAAAAGGATTTTTAGAAGGAAAATCATTAGCGCCAAAATGGAGAAAATCTGCTGACAAATCACTGTGGCAGCCTTCATGCAGCCACTCCAATACGATTTACGAAGTCCAGCTGCAAAAGACAATAGTATTACGCATGCAGCCACAGCATGAAGCAACCTTGACGCAGCCATTACAATGTGAGTTGCAAAACACAATAGAACTACGCGCAACGGCGTCGGAAATTGTAGCTCCAAAACCGGATTTCGACGCCAGAGCGAAAAAAAGACGATTTTGAAGCACTTTTTAAAAGGATTTTTAGACGGAAAATCACTAGCGCCAAAATGGAGAAAAAAAACGCATTTCGTGCGAGACTTCCTTCAAAACTCCATCGGCAACTCCTCCACCAGCACCACTTGCAATCCCATTTACAGTGAGGGAACGATCCTAGAGTTGCAAATCACAATGGAATTGCATCGGCAACTCATCCACCAGCACCACTTGCAACCCCATTTACAATGCGGGAACGATCCTACAGTTGCAAATCACAATGGAATTCTGTCGACCGCACATGCACGAAAAACACTTGAAACCCCATTTACAATGCGGAACCGATCCGACCATGATCCGAGAATATCCGACCATGATCCGACCACACACGAGACCGTCTCGCACCCGTCGCACCGCAGAGGTAGATCATCGGCGTTCGGGGACGAACTTTGTATGGAAAAACATAGGTTTTCGTGCATCTGCTATCTCTCAAAAACGCATTTCGTGCGAGACTTCCTTCAAAACTCCATCGGCAACTCCTCCACCAGCACCACTTGCAACCCCATTTACAGTGAGGGAACGATCCTAGAGTTGCAAATCACAATGGAATTCCATCGGCAACTCATCCACCAGCACCACGTGCAATCCCATTTACATTGCGGGAACAATTTCTTTGACTAACTCGTTCCCTAACGAACACTATCTTTGCTAACTCTTTCTTTGCTCTTTCTTTGACTAACTCTTTCCCTCACTAACGCTTTCTTTGACTACCTCATATATCCTGACTAACTCTTTCCCTCACTAACTATTTCTTTGACTAACTCTTTCCCTCACTAACTCTTTCTTTGACTAACTCTTTCCCTCACTAACTCTTTCTTTGACTAACTCTTTCTTTAACTAACTCTTTCCCTGACGAACTCTTTCTTTGCTAACTCTTTCTGTGACTAACTCTTTCTTTGACTAACTCTTTCTTTGACTAACTCTTTCCCTCACTAACTCTTTCTTTGACTAACTCTTTCCCTGACTAACTGTTTCCCTCACTAACTCTTTCTTTGACTAACTCTTTCCCTGACTAACTGTTTCTTTGCTAACTCTTTCTGTGACTAACTCTTTCCCTCACTAACTCTTTCTTTGACTAACTCTTTCCCTGACTAACTGTTTCTTTGCTAACTCTTTCTTTGACTAACTCTTTCCCTCACTAGCTCTTTCTTTGACTAACTCTTTCCCTGACTAACTCTTTCTTTGACTAACTCTTTCCCTGACTAACTGTTTCTTTGCTAACTCTTTCTTTGACTAACTCTTTCCCTCACTAACTCTTTCTTTGACTAACTCTTTCCCTCACTAACTCTTTCTTTGACTAACTCTTTCCCTCACTAACTATTTCTTTGACTAACTCTTTCTTTGACTAACTCTTTCCCTGACGAACTCTTTCTTTGCTAACTCTTTCTTTGACTAACTCTTTCCCTGACATTCTAAAAGTCCGTAACACGGAAGTTTCTCCCCCTAAACTTCCTTTGAAAAATCAATAATAATCAATATGTTTTCAAAACAATCTTGTCATTCTAGTTCTTTCCAACAGGTTCTCATATGTTCTCATGAGTCACAATCCTGATAAAGGCTCGTCAGCCATAGAGATTCATCCAATGATGGCTTAGCTGCACTAAACCTGTTGGTTCCAAATGTAGGTTCCAGTGCCGTCCTGCCTGTGGTGTTCAACGATACATTCACAGTGATGTTGACGCGACAGCGGGGTCCTGTTTGACGAGATGGTCGAAAAAAACTTGGGGTATCCCAGTGGACCCACACCTTAAAACCATAAATTGGTGATGTTTAGTAACCTCTGGTAATTTAACGTAGCTATTGAAAATGGACCATAGAAATAGATGATTTACCTACTATTAATTATTATAAATGATGATTTTCCATAGTTTTTTGTATGTTTACCAATGTTTACCAGAGGGTAAACAAACAAAGACAGCACCAAAATTGGGGTGATCATTTCCACCATTTCGCCACCTCGAAACTGATCAAAGTGCTGTCCTCTGTCGCCGACCTGGGCACACGCAGATGGATGGCAAACTCTTCCAGTCGGCCGAATATCTGAACTGAGGCCGAAACCATGATACCACGGGTAGATCCATTGGTGCCATTACTTCCATTCGTGTCATTGAAGCTCAGATTCATCTCCCAGTCATCGGTCTCGTTTTCTTCACCTGCACAGAAACGGTCGGATCCTTCTAAGATATTGATGTCCTAGTGGCGAATGAGATTTAGATATATTTAGATGATTTAGAACCTCCCAATATCTCCAATATTGCTATCCCTACCCTGGCATCAGTCGGATCAAATTTCATTTCATACTGGCTCAATCTCATGATTGAAATACAGCTTTCACCTTCTAGGGTCTGTTGTGGCTCTTTTTATAGTGCCTCAAACCCAGAATCATGCCTGGGCAGTCAATCTCGATTTCCCGGGTCTCCTGAAACTCACCATCTGGGATTCAGCAGGCTGCCGAAACAAAGATGATCAAATGCATGGCGTCTCGACCGGAGACCATGCTATAGCCTGCTATACCAACAGATACCAACGGCAAAACAGTATCCAACCAGATATCTGGTTGGTGGTTGAGCCACCCCTCTGAAAAAAAAAAGAAAATCCATGAAAACCCACCAACCAGATATCTTCAAACATCGACCAGGGAAGAAATTTAGGGAACTCTCCTCAACATAGATCTCCGGCGGATCTGTCATCCCAATGACTGTGAGCACATCCTGGACGATCGACTGAAAGGCGCGGTACGACCGGCTCTGATTTTCTCTTCAGCGGCTTACCATTGGGGATTTAACAGCAGAGGACTGAGGATTGTTGATTGACATAATGGGGATTTTTCATATTAATGGGGATGAACATGGGGATCACTAGGGATTCCCTCAGGTTTTTTCAATGGCTTTTGGGGATGAAGATGGGACTTCCACCTCTCCGGTTCTCCGGTCTTCTCCGGTCCTCCGCCGGGAAGTAGTGTGGCAAACATTGGCTGCACGCGGATTCCACGGAACGCGCTCCGGTACCTCGACAAATGGTGCTGAGGGGCGCGTTTCGTTATCGGCTCACCTTGATTTAATAAAAATATATATCATATACATATATCCGCCGATATATATATATATGTATATAGATATCATGGGGATTTCATGTGGATTTATGAGGATGTTCACTTGTATTTTCACTCAATCATACTCATTCTTTCAATAAGCTTAAGACTTGCACTTGTTCGTCCTCTCCCTGAGGTTGCTGCAAACACATTGTCCTTCAGGGCTGCACCTCAGTTGACAAAGCCCAACGGAGAATAATGATGAATCTGGGTAAATTATAATATTTCACTAACCTGAATTAAGGCCATTTGGGGATGATTTTCCTTATTAACCATGATTCCAGTGAGGGAGAACGGTGAGGTCGTGATCAAATCTACCCAGATGAATATGTAGGCTGTTCTCACCAAGCCCGGGCCCCTGGGTTCACTTTACGTTCCAAATCCGCTGCACGTTGTAGCTCCGTCACCTGTCACATCTGTCACCCCAATTTGGCGTTTCGAGTTGTCATGATGTCATGATGATGTCATGATGATGTCATGATGTCAGTTGTGGAAAAAAACGTGGAACATTAGTATCATGAAATGTATCGCGACCGTCATCACTGTACGACGTGATATTTTTGGAGCAAATCTCTGGAAACCGTGGCTGCCATCGCATCTTTCGCACCATCGATGTGTGCAAAAAGTGCAGGGCTGACAGAAGATGTTGCATTGGCCCTCGGGATAATAGTTCGTTGCCTGGGTGACTCCGAAACGGTGCACACGTCAAGATACGTCAAGTCTGGCAACGGTGAACAAAACACGGTTGAAACTCCACGTCTGACTGAAAATGATGCTGGCATCTTAGGACCCGGTCACATTGGTCGCATGCTGAACCTTGCCAACCAGTGCGGCAACCTGAGAGCAACCACCACTCTTGGTCAATTGCAGTATCTGTTTTATTCTATTAATAGATTCTACTTCCTGAAAAGAAGGACAACGCCACTTCCTGAACCAAAACCACATGGGGGTCGAAATTTCAGAACCACCAAAACCAGAGATTTGTTCCATTCCATTCCATTCCTGAGCCCAGGACGGCAGCTTCCATCTGCGGGGTCGCCTCGCTGAATGCTGAAAAATTTACGGGTAATGATTCGGCGAATGCGAACACAGTTGAACACAGGACCGATCCAGTTCGATCACAACATGGGACAATTTGAACTCGAGATAACTCGAGTTTCAACATGTTTCAAAGCCATGACAAAGCTCAGATTAGCTCAGCTTCACACAAGATTCTGTGCCCATGGACGAACACATGCAGGTGTTCTCGCATAGGGGACCCCACGACCTGATCCAAAGATATCCATCTGGGCTGTTGGAATCTGTTGGACCATGGTGGCATCATGGGTCGTATCTGGTCAGTGTCTGGAGCCATCAAGTTCTTAAGAATCGTTCTGGAGGAGTGTGCCGTTTTTGATCGTTTTTGCCTTTTTAGAGTGCCCTCAGAAATGGAAGAAATGGACCACATGCATCCGAAAGTCCATAGCATCAACTTTAAGTACAAAGCTGACAACCATCAAACACTCAGCTGACAACAGAAACGACACTGGAATGACTGGCGACTGGGACAGCCGAGCCCTTGTTTGCAGTAGCAGAATCCTTCGCTACATAACCTAAGCCGCCGCAATTTCTGGTCCACTTTCTGGACAGGCTGAAGCATATGCAAAGGCAAACCCCCAACATCTATAGACTCTACATGACTCTACCCGGTAGGTCATTTCACCCTGCGAAAAAGATCCAAAAAGGGGAGTTAGATCACTCCGACGTTCAACGCTGCGCGTTGCGCCATGTGGTGCCGAGGTCCCCTGACAGGGTGTTCTCAGCTTGGCAGTCACCACAGGAGCGCTCCTCGAGGGAACCATGGAACGAGAAAAATCAACTCATCACCAATATTAGGGGAAGAGTTTAAGCCAATAGTGGTTATAATGCCAATAATAATGATTATATATGGTTATATGATGGGATTATAACATATTGAGATATATATATATATGATATATCTGGTTGGTGGTTGAGTCTACCCCTCTGAAAAATGTGGAAGTCAGTTGGGATGATGACATTCCCAACTGAATGGAAAAATAAAATTCATGTTCCAAACCACCAACCAGAGTTTAAGTCAGTGCTTTTTCCAAGCTTCTTCAGATGTTGAGGACATTTGAGGACTATGAAGTGCTGCAATTTATGGTGTTGATGAGTAGTGTAATATTCGGAAAAGCCCATTAGATTCACAACATTTCCTAATCATCTGTTATGATACATTATGATGCCATTACTTTTCTCAACATTTCCTAATCCCATGAGGCCCATGAGTGATTTTAATATGATTTTAATCAACATTCGAAAATCCCAGGATTGAAATCACCTGTTTTTCTTAGGTACCCCAGGTGCCCCGACGCAGGTCTCTCCGAAGAACCCTGCGAGACATCGACAGCCCAAGTCGCCTGGGGAGCAGCAGGGTGGCACTTTGGATGTAGAAAAATTCTCGGAGATGTTCATTTTTTTACTAAAATAAAGTACCAATTTATATTGATTTTTGGATGTACCAATTGAGAGAGGATTCTACTAATATCAATACAGTTTTAATACTAATTTTTAAGTGCATCAATGAAAAAAATGACATAGTGAAGACACATTGACATATTTTTGAGCTGAGAAGAAGTCTGGGCTAAGATGCAATGTACCAACACACAGAAATCGAGCAATCTCTGCAACAGGCCAGCTGGACTTGCCACACAGATGCCCCGAGCACTGCAGTTACCACACTCTTCCACAGATGACTGGTTCAGCACAGGTAGCTCCTGGGCGAAGATTTTGCGCCAACATCCTGGTTGTATTGCTACATCTATTGCGTTTGCTATGCCATATAATTGCAGATACGGAATGATACTGATACTATTAATCATACTATATCAGTATCTCAATGATACAGTATCATATGATATATCAGTATCATATGATATATCAGTATCATATAGTATCACTGTCTTTGGTCACTGAAATCCATCTATATCATCATTTTTTAGACAGTGACCAAAGATGGACGGACATGATGTTTTTTTCGATTTCTCACATCTTCTCTGTCACATCTGTAGATCGGTACCGTCTGACTCTACAGATCGCCGCTGGGCCAAAAATCTCAGGTCGACACGCATCGATCGCCAGTGAAGCGGGCATCGCAGCTGCAAGAGCCATCCGACTCGCAGATCCCTCTGCCTGAACTGAGTTGCCATCCCGTCGCTGAAAACTGAGTTTAGTCAGTTTACCCTCTGGTAAACTTACATAGCTATTGAAAATGACCATTTATATTGGATTTTCCCATTGAAAATGGTGATTTTCCATTGTTATGTTAGTTTACCAGAGTGTAGAGTTCATCCAGAAATGGAAACGCCATGGCTGATGGCAATTCTTTTTTCTAAACGTGATGAAAAGTGATGATCAACCAATGTGTCTTTTTTTTGGTTTGAGCATGTTTCAGCAAATTGGACAAGACCATCACAAAGCCAACATAGCCCAACTGGGTCACCATACCATTGCAGGAGCAGTCGCAAGTTTCACCGAAATACCAGAGGTCACACTGGCAACGTCCACGCCTCAGTCTCAACAGGGCTGCAAGCTGATCTGTAGTAAATCCAGAGTTTGAGGGCTTCCGGTTTAGCTATCCTCATCCACACCATTTGATTTTCATTTTTTTCAGAAAATTAACCCCCGAAAATTGTGCTTTTTGATTGTAGGGCCAAAGGAACCCCGCTTCTGTCAAAAACCAGACGATGCTGACTGAAGCACACAAGGGGCATTTTGCCTTCTGCTGGGACTCCGACTCATTACACTCCCCATTGTTGGAACATGTGTCGTTGCGATCGCAGTAGGTATCACAGAAACCTGGCAGTTTCATCACCAAAGAGAGATCTCCTTTGAAACATTGCCTCCAATACACTAACCTTCCAATGAAATATCCTCCAATCACGTCTCTTTTCATAGGTCATTCTCCCTTAGCAAGGCAGTTATAGTTTTCTTCAAAAACGTCTCAGGACAAACATGCCAGCGTGGACCACCGGCACGTGATTTGTAGTAACCTAAATCGGAAATGGCAGAAACATGCAGAAACCCATGTGCAAAATGACTGCGATGCAGCAACTTTCAGGAAGCCAAGCATACCATAGGAGTGCGGGCAATGTACACTGGTCCCTCACGATGACAAGGAATTGAGCTGCATCCTTGCAGCATCATCCCATCTCCTTCCCTTCCGACGGTTGAACACTTCGATTGCAGTAGCCTTGAAACAAAGCAACCAGGCGCTCATGGTTTCAGACTTCGCGCGAGATCTGTACACCAGCAGAAAGTCTACTGAGTCTACTAAGTCTACTGCCACGAGTGGCACATCTGCACAGCCTCTCGTCTTTGGAAAGGCTCCTTAGATTTTACCCCTAGATCTAGAAAAATCCAGAAATCTATGTAAAATCTATGTACAAGGTCAACCACCCCACATTTGCTCCACCTCACAAGATGCCAAGATGCACCTGGAAAGCTGCGTCATGCTGCGTCTGTGCCAATGGTTGGACCGGATCTTCCACCATGCGGATCCACACCTCACCAGTCTTCAGCGGATTCCAACATGCTCCGAAATACTCCACCATCTCTGGCCTTGGCACAACAATATCCACGACGGCCAACCTGAAAACTGCTGATTCACCTCCCTATAGGCCCTATGATTTACAGTAGTCACTTGAGAAGTGTCACTTTTTGAAGCTGAATAAAGATACATAAAGATACGAAGGACTTGTGATGGACCTTCTGAACAGTGGAGTCACAACTGGTATCACAACTCGACTGTTGTCAGATGCGTCGCTCGCAAGTCATCTGGCGGAGCCAGCTCGACAATCTCGCCCTGCTCTGTGGCAAAATCATTAAAAACTGACGTCGTAAGAAATGAAGATTCCAGGATCAATACCATGGTCCTCACATCTGCAAAATTGCTGCATGTAAAATCACAAAGTCCACAGCTATCCACTGATCATCACTGATCCTCTGCACCTGTGCCAGCACCATGATGCGATCAGAGTCCAAGATGGTCTGCAATCCTTGGAGATATCGTGCCCAAACCAGCAACAGAGAGTGTTAGGGTACCACAAAGAACACAATGATGGTATTTGATATATTAGATGATATATTAGAAACATCATGGGTATCATGAGTATTAAAGAACCATCATGATATTTGAGAGTTATATACACATGATGGTTCTGGGGGGTACGTCTGGAATCGGAAAAGGCACATGTCAAAATTTCGCTGTTTTGCCGCGACCAGCGCTGTACTGCTATGCCATGCCGTAAACCCAGCCGATGGTGCTGCGGGTGTCAGCCGAGGTACTGTGTGCGATGGTGAGAGACGTGGCATTCTCAAAACATCGGCGAATGGCCAGCTGAATTTGAGCATCGGTTTGAGCATCGATTGCAGCCTCAAAGCACAATAAATGTATTGCAGCTGGGTTTTCGAATCCCTGTGCATCTGTGTACTGTATAGCCCCAAATAATCCTTTTGAATCAGAAAATGAACATGATACCATTAGATTTCCATAGATTTCCAGGTATATTTTCAGACAAACCCAGCAAGTTCAGCAAGAAGCGAACGTCGTGACTTGCCATGACTTGCCAACAAGCTGCAGTGGCTTCATCAAGAACCACCAATTTGGATTGTCGAAGTACTGCCCGAGCAATTGCGACCATTTGTCTCTGCCCCACTGACAGATTCTGTCCTTGAAAAACGATGAAAAGGTGCTGTATCTGCTGTTTGAAGGATAAAAAAATGGTTTTGTCCAAAGATGGAGGACGTCTCAAATATGTTGTTGGATATGTTTGAATGGAAACAACTTATGATTAACCATTGGATTTTGTGTTTTGTTTCCCAAACGTTGAGATCAATAAACCATGGAAGGTCAAGAGATTGCCGCAACAAGTCATGGCAAATCATGGCCGAGTGGCCGCCCTCTTTGATTTCCAGGGCCAATAACTTCTCCAGCTGCTCCTGCGATTTGAACATGCGTTGCCATCGAGAATAATAATACATAATATATGTAATTATGTTATTATATATGATTATATATATATATAATAAATATGTTTGTTTGTTACTGACTGAAATAATCCATCAGTGTCCATTGACAATCTTTCATTTGGAGGTACCAAGGGTAGTTCAGAACGAGGAGTACATGCCGTTTTTTCATCTCAGGTCTACCTTCGACCCGCTTTTTTTGGGACTCTGGGAATGGCCGATACATCTGCAATTGTGGGGTGCAGTTGTGAACCCCTTTTTTTGGCATCTGCAATTTCTGGGCCTCTAGCGTTGTATCATGATGTATCATTTCACATCGATTTCACATGGATTTTACATGATTTTACAGCACCTTCGAAGCGTTCCCATAAAAAAACACCCCATGAAGGCCATGGTTCCTCTGCTCCACCGCGCTCGCGCACCCAGCTGGCCAACTGGGAGTCTTCCAGTGCTGCCCAAATGGTTTCAGAGCTGTGCTCTTCAAACGGGTCGCAGTTGTACCGCAAAGACTCCTCCAACCATATCCAACCAGATATGGTCAAATACGTTAGTGAATTTCATCGAACTTCTCACTACTAAAGTTACTAAAGGGTCTAGGATAATCAAGAACACCTCAAGTTGCCTGTTAGTTTTGCAAAAGACAAGCAGAGACTATAGGTTTAGCGCGATAGAGAGAAGTTTGATAATAGAGAGAAGCATCGTAGAGATAAGCTTGATAGGGAGAATTGGGATAAGGGGCAAGTATGATGGAGATAAGTGTGATAGAAGCAAGTGTGACAGAGATAAGCTTGGTAGAGATAAGATGAGATAAGTGTGATAGAGATAAGCATCATGGAGATAAGATGAGATAAGTCCAGCAAAGATGGGTGTGATAACAGTGTGATATAGAGATCTGATGAGATCTGTTTGAGGAAGTGGGAGGCCGAGGTGTTGGCATCTCTCAACCGCCCTTAATTAACCGACGCCGTCCTGGAAGAGCACAGGCTCCTGTGGGATCATCGCAATGGCTCGTCGCAGGTCTTGCAATCCCAGCTGCAACAAGTCCTGAAGACACAGTCATTGCAGGTCACCAATTTTGTACCAAAAAACAGTACGTCACTACGTGTGCAAACCATGGTTTCCTGGTGCACACCATGGTTTCTTGCAAAACTTTCCTGAAATAAAAAGCCAATGAACATTGTGAGACCTGGTAACATTTGGTGCTTTTCAAGATGTTGGACTAGTGCAAGCTCCATTTCTGAAGATTGCGGAAGCGATGCTTTTTTGACGCGCACATAAAATGCGGGTGGCTGAGCTAGGTCGAGTAAGGGACCTCTGTCCACGCTCCCTTGGGCTTCAGTGGAACCGGCTGAGACCCCGTTCAAAGATGGAACAAAAACAGTCGATGTCCACTCATCTGGTGGCACCTGCGGCTGCTTCACTTCAGAAATGTTTAAATATTCAGGTGGCCATCGCTTCAAAAGCATCTGTTCAGACTATCTCTAGAGAGAATCAAGATCTCTTACAAATGGATTACATCACTCAACACGCTGGCCACCTGATTGGGCCTCACAGGCCCATGTCATCCGCCGGTTTTTGTTTATATAATCAGCTGCGCTTTTGGAAGGCGGCAATGCGGCTTTCCATCTCCTGCAAATCTGGATCCGCTTTGATGTCCTTGTTGCTGTAGCCGAACTCAGTTCGCAGCTTGGCCTTGTAGATTTCAATCTCACCTCCAGCAGACAGCGACGTAAGTGACGATGAGATCAGTGAAATGATGGTCGAGATAGGTCGCATGAGTGCGCTGCAAACAAACGAAACCATTGACATAGCTTTGCCAAAAGAACAATCTGATGGTCAGAGGTCCGGATTGCATTTTCTTTGTGAAGCCTTAGGAGATATCTCAAAATGGCAATCTGAGAAAATTATGAGACTTCTGGGTCCCTGATTTTGAGACCCTGAGGGCCGCCTTGGAGCTTTTGGAATTCCTTCTGCTCCTCGGCGCTCAAAGGAGTCTTCTTGTCCTGACTACATCGGATTTTGAGCGTTGAGTGAAACATGCAGTCAGCATCATACAAATGCTGATATCACACCACCAGTGTCAACTGGACTTGGCTGAAGCCACATCTAAATTTTTAAGTCATAGTCTGCCAACATTCGTCATCCAATCGATCCAATTAAACCTTCTCTACACACTCAAGTTTCAACTGCTCCACTTCTGCAGCTGGGTGTCTTTCTTGGCATCCTTCTCCTTCTTGGTGCTGCCAGGTTCCTGCTTCTCCTTCAGCTCGTTCATCCGTGCGACCATCTTCACGACTTCTTCATCCTGGCCAAGATCAGAAGGAAACCTGACAAGATCCGACGCTTCTTCATGTCCTGATTCTTCGTGATACTTGGGAGAAGCAACATCATTCAACATGGAAGGCTTGGTGGTACCTTTTTGACAACCGGACAACACCAACAAATCAGGTTTTGATCAGCCGTCTCAGGCTGTCTCGGTCCTTGTTCTGCTGTCCCCCGCTCATGCCCTGTTCCTTCAGGATGGTTTTGCGTTCAACGATGGACTGCTTCAGGTTCTCAAGCTCCTGGCGATCAGATCCCGTCAGATGTTCCAATGGTCCAGTTACTATTTGCTTACCAAGGACACTATATGGAAATCACATATATACAGTATATGATCTACTAGTTTTTCTCGGCTGTTGCACCCACTCAGCAAGTTGCATATTTCAGTTGTTGTTTCTAAACCCTCATGCTGATCATCATGCTGATCATTTCATTCAATTTCCCAATGGTTTCACCGTTGCTGTCCTTGGTTTCTGCAGGGCTCAAGCCAGCACTTTCCTTCTTGGTCTCCTTCTTGCTGTCCTTCTTTGAGGCGACCTTCGTGTCTTCCTCGGGGCCCTTCGTTTCGATTGGGGCGTCAGGGATCACAGCTGCCTTGGTCACGAAGTTGCCGAATTTCGGTTCAAGGCCCTTCACGATCTTACAGGCGTCCACATAGCCTCAGTTGAGAATTGCGAGCTGCAGAACTGTGGATACCACAAGGGAAACAAACATACTAAACAAATACATATCTATTATATTCTATTATTATGTATTCTGTATAACTATATAAAGATACACCCATACTATATAAAAACTCTGGTGCCAGGCGCTGAAGACTCTTGACTCTCGAGCTTTTACGTCCCAAGTCAGAACCATTCAAGGATAGAAATGGATGGACGGATTGATGGGGAGAGTTTTAAACATGAACAGCAATAACATCTGGATGCTTGATTTTATGTGTATATATAGTGTATATTATATATATTATATTGTATATATATAATATATAGACATGAATACGTATACATGTATAATGAATAAAACGATATACATTGATACTAATTATACACTTTGGGCATCTCCATTTAGCATTTTGTGCCCCAAGAAACGCTGTTCCGCCTTCAATTCAGCCACTTCTTTGCCCTTCGCGGCACGCTCCTTCTTGTTGTCCTTTCCCGTGAGCAAGGCAGCCTGCCGTGGCAAACATGACGGTCTCAGCCATGACGATGATTTATCGATGATTTATCACCCGTTTACAATGAAGAGATGGGATAATGATGGATAATGTTACATGATTTCACATGATATTTCATATATTATTTTCATTAATTAAGTATATTAAATCATGATTTTCTGACCAGTGACAGAGGGGCAAACTGATGATGTTTCACCATGGTATCTTGGAGATCCGATTATTTGCAACCGTCAATGTTTGAGTCCCATCGCCAGCTGAAACCATCGCCAGATATCATGGGATTGATCCGCTGACATTCCCTGGTTGGTGGTTTCAATTTGTATCTTAATTTGTCTGAGTTGGGATGATTCTCCCTTTTTTATGAAATGGACAATAAAAACAAAAAGTTCCAAACCACCAACCAGTTCCAGGCCACATTCCATCCAGGCCTCATCTTCCAAGGTTTTCATTCGCGTGTCGATTTCAGCCTTGTACTTCTCCGCTGCTGCCTTGTCATATTCCGCCGCGGTGCCCGCTTGGGCCTCGAAGAGCTTCAGACCTGGAAGACTGGCGACCGATTTGTCCAACGTCCAGAACTCCCAGTTCCAACGGTAAAAACCAGGGGTCCAATTGTATTTGATGATCATTTTTCCAACGAAAAGTTGCCATGCTCCATTCTTGGACAACGCCAAAACCAGGAATCCGTTTTTTGTTTCGGATGTTTTCTGCGAAACCGTGGCTTTATGATCCCCCTGATTTTCCCCGTGCCTTGCTCGGCCTGACTCAGCATGCCGGTGGTTCCGCGGATTTCGGCCATGGCTTTTTTTACGACAGGAGCGACGGACCGACGGGGCGCCCTCCAAAATGCAGATCTGATTTGATGGCTGCGGGTCACTTTCAAAAAGGCGGCCAAATGGCATAAATGGCATAAATGGCATCTGAATTTCAATCACTGAAAAACCTACCATCTGGTTATTTGTTACATAGCGATGGAAAATCACCATTTTTAATAATAGGTAAACCATCTATTTTTATGGGCCATGGCTTAACCATGGCAAACTGTTAGTCATAACCAGGTTGGGTAAACATATCATGTTGATATCATGGCAACTGGGGATGGTACAGGTCCAACACGTCCACTCCTTCCTTCCCTTCGTCCTGGCCATCCAGCTGAATATCAGAGCCCATGTCCTGAAACAGTCTGAAACAACAAACAACGAGTGGATCAAACATGGTACATGGATGTACATGGTTATATATATATACATATACCTGGAAAACCGTATGGACATGATTATATATGATTTATAGTTTTCCGGGATTTTCCGGGTATATATATATAAATATATATAAATGATTATATATGGTTTACGGTCATCCATCCCATAGTGGGAATCCTTGTGCTGGGAGTGTATAAATCCATATAGATCTGTGTTACTGGATTGATGACCATCCCTGAATATAGGTTCAGTATAACCCAACTATTGACCGTGGCACACATGGACATGTCAATATATTGTCGCGTGTCAACTTGCTACTTGCTAGGCCCATATTTTGATCGTTTCGGAAAACATCAACCATCAAAACATGGAACACGTCCGCACATATGGGGATGGTTGAAAATTTAAAGTGTAGGGATAAATGGAACCACAGATTTTAGTATAGCTTTAGTATTAACCAATATTAACCATCTACTGGGGTACCCAATTTTAACCTATACCCATACCCATAGGATCCATGTATGTTATATATGGTAACATTTACCATCAATATACCCCAAATGTTAGCATATATACCATACATGGATCCTATGGGATATAGTTTGCAACTGTTTGCAATCTTTCTGCAAGCTGTCCGGCTCAACGATTCGCAGCAAGGCCAGCAGCAAAGAGGACTTCCCTGCACCCGTACGACCAACGACGCCTCGAATTTGGAGATTGATGCGTTGCAGGAAACCCAAACTTGGAGAAACATGGTCTGGTTGGTGGTTGAGCCATCCCTCTGAAAAATATGAGTTCGTCAGTTGGCATGATTATTCCCAATATGGAAAGTCATGAAAATCCATATATTAACCAGGTATTTCCATATATTAACCATATATTTATGATTAACCAATATTAACCATGTTCCAAACCACCAACCAGTGGTCATCTAATCAAAGCCAATCGAAGCAAACCAAAGGCACCCAATCGTTCGCCCGCAGCTGTGCTGAACGTCAAACCCTTCAGAACCAGTGGCAACTCTGGTTTGTATCCTCAGCGCTCCAACATTCAGGATCAAATTTGGAAAATTTTGGAAAGCAATTGTGAATGACTGTGATATGACATATTAGTGTGCTCTCAAAGTCTAAAAAACCGTCCTCGAAAAATGCGAAACGTTTCATGACATCCATATGTTTCAGTAACAAACGCATCAAATTACAATGTTTATTTCTTCTTTGGCCAAGGTACTGACTTGAAGATTCTTGACCTATCAAACCGGAATCACACCGCAAGACTGCGGGCACAGTCTTAAGCCCAAACAAAAGATGTTTTCACCCAATGGTGTTGCACCAAAGAAGTAACATCAAGAACCTGCTAGGGTGGGGATTTCATGATATTTCATGGACAAATTGCCCGTAAACATGGCAGGGAACAGAGGCTTTGTGCAACCCGTTGCTCCAACAGAAGGATACGAGTTTCCTTCAGAATATTTCTTGTTGTTTTCGCTCTGCGGTTGTTTTTGGTCATTTCATTTCTGCGAAAAGCCTTCATTTGCACACTATTTTGTGAGAAGTTCGAATCTCTCCTTTGCAGGGTGTCTCTACAGACAGCTTCAAGTTAAAAAAAACATCAGCACGGGATCTACTGCAATCATCGCAGGAAATCACCATCCCATCATATCCCATCCTTATCCAAAAAAAGTCAATGGAAGCCCCACTAAAAACTGCTGATACCACAGTGATTTTGGCATTGACTCTTCAATGTATTGGTGATAAATACTCCTAATGTCTGGTAATCATGACAGGTATGGGTCAAAAATCGACAAAAACCTTTGGGACTTTTCCCCAGATGTTTGGTCTACTTTTTCAATATGAATATGAACCATCCATGAACCATAAACCATTCCCAAAGTGGTATGTTTATTATTTTCAGTCATGGTAGTGGTTTTACCACAGTGGTTAACTATAATATTATCTATAATTGTTGGGTTAATATTGGTTACCCAACATCTATGAAAGAGTGAACCCAATATCAACTATGCTTTATAACCCAATAATAATATGGTTCTCATATGATGATGGTTAAACCATGTTAAACCATTATTATTATAGTAATAATTATTATTGCTATCCATCACTTATGATGGTTAACCATAACCATATTAAACAGTAAGCAATCAATTACCATATTGCCCATATTATTATAAGCCATTACAGTAATTATTATGTTAATGTAATATACCCATGGTATACCTTAATTATGATTATAAGCCATTATAATTACCATCTGGTTATTTAACATAGCCATGGAACATCACCATGTTATTAATAGGTAAACCAACGTTTTTTTTTTCTAACATAGCCATGGCTTCCATCTATACTATCTATACCATGGCGATGTTAGTCATAACCATAGGGTACCCATTATTTACCCATGGTTATCATGTGATTATTGGGTGAACCATCCATGAAGCGTGGAAAAACTGTGGCGCCTCCAAGATGCCCCGACTGGGCCACCCCTGTGGTGGTCGAAGTGGTCGAATGCGAGGCGCCTCCTGTGGTGGAAGGAGATTCTGAGAGAATATTAGCATGGAATATGCATGGAATATGGAAGAATGAGCTGATTTGTTCTCCAGATTTCATCCCTCCAATGAAAATCAGATCATTTTGTAGAAAACTGTAGGAATATGCATGGACTATGGATGAAATCTGGATGAAATGTGGATGAAATGTGGATGGAATGTGGATGGAATATGGGGTACCTGCAGTAGCCCAACTTTGAGAAACATCGACAGATTTCCGAGTGAAAAAAAACGAATGGACTTTTGGAGCAGCTGGGTTCATGGCAATGCTTGCGCCATTCCTGTGGTAGTTGCGTGGCGTAGAACTTCACGCGTTCCACGCAATTGAAGGCCATACCTTGGAGGACACAAAAATCAACTCATGACGAATATGAGCAAGATTCGAAGCGGCAAAACGGCAACGTCAATGATGGCAGACACGCAACGAAGGTGGATGAATTCTATGATGATTCGCTTGGGCAATGTGTCAGAGCTTTTCCAACCCTGAATCTTTGCATGTTCTGCAGCTGATCCACAGCTTCAACTGTCTTGGGGCGTTTGTTTACATGAATCGTGCATCAAATCTTGCTCCAAGTTGTTCCAAGGTTCACATATAACTATATATGTGGCATATATACGTAGATGCATCATTTTTTATTTGGACTTCACAATACATCACATATAGATCATATAATATCATATAGCATCACGTAGTTTTACCACGACCATGTTTTATCCATCGGTCCAAATTTTTTTTTGGTTCGGCTCCAAGGCACCAAACTCGGCAATCTGCCCGATCAGTGACTCAATGCTGCCAGTGCACCTGTGGATTTCACTTCCAAATGCAGCTTGGGTTTTCACTGTTCTCATGATTGATCATTATTTTCCATGTTTGTAAACTTCCAACCTGCAACAAAATATCAATAAATTGGGGATAATCTTTATATAATTAAATCCTCATAATGCATATAAATCCGTTATTTTTTGGCAAACCCCGAAATGGACAAATCGCACGCCGGGCGATGCCACCAGGAGACTCTCCAGCAAAGTTCAGCACCAAGGCAGCTGCAGATGCTTTGATGAGCGTCACACGACCCAACGTTACGAAGAGGGACCTGTGCGGCGCCGGCATCACGTGATTGAATAGTGATAGAATAAATAAACATGAATACACACACATATAAATATAACATAATATATATATATATATTTATGTATATATTTATATTTATATTTATATATTTATAGTACGATCTAGCAATATCAGCGTTCCTATCTTTAAGAAACAGCAACCGGCACAGCAACCGGCTCAACCGGCTCCGAGACTGGGCATCCAAACACGAAGAACAGCAGAAGGCATCCCAAATGATCGATGCGCAACGAGAACCACTGCGACAAATACATCTGTGAATAGTCCTAGGAAAATCATTCGGAAAATGGATGGGAAATCCTGGAAAATGGATGGAAAACATGGGAAAATCATAGGAAAATCATGGAAAATCATGGAAAATCGTGGAAAATGGATGGAAATTCCATGGGAAAATGGATGGAAAATCGACAGGAAATGGCAGGAATTTCTAGAAAAATGATTCGACACTGACAAGTTGTTTCACCATGATCCGATTGGGTGCCAAACTTGGACCCACATCCAACGGAATTCAATTCGTTGTCAGTGACAACTTGTGACAACCTCAGAAAACTAAGATCTGAAAAGAAGGCACCTTTTCATATACCTAAATTTCTTTGCATCCTGACATATGAAGCATCATGAACCATCAACCAATCCTTTCAGTTGGATGAATCTGGGCAAACGGCCCCTGGGAATCTGGGATCGGTATGGATCGGTAGCCGAGATGCCGGTTTCTGCTGATCCACGATGAAAGCATCGCTAGCGAGACCTGTGGCCGTTGTGGCAAGGTTTGACATAGCAGGCCCAAAGAACTGCAACATCAATTGCCCATGATTTTTGATTTGGCACATTTTAGAGTGGGTCGGAGTTGCCTTCTATAGCGCGGACAATTCGGGCGTGTCCCCGAGAGTGATAGCTCGGCGTGAGCAGAGCTGATCACACAGACAAAGGGTCCAACAGACAGCTTTGTACACACATCACAGGGGGTAGGTGAGTTTGCACCTACCCGCGGCCGTGGTATTTCTGCAGGCTGCAGACCAACAGGGAGGCAAAGCATATGTCAGCTATGCCCACCAATCCATTAACTAACCAGGAGTCAGCACTTCATTTGTCTAGATGCCAACTTGGTTGAAGCAAAACAGGGTTGGAGCATGAACTAAGAAAAAGGAGAAAAGCGATGCTGCACAAACTTCTCTCGTTGCCTGGGTAAAAAACACAAGTCTGCGCGACCCAGGCGCCTCACGAAATTGGCACCTGCAGTGTGAAGGATCAGCACTGCTTGCAGGGCCGACTCAAGCCACTTGTCTCAGGCCGCTAATTCTGTCTCAAAGGCCAGGCAGTGGCAACAGACTGAGGGCGTTGGCTTCCAAGCATTTGAAGAACCGACATAAGCAGGTTGAAAAACGTCTTCTCAGCCACGGCTCAGCACCAAGCATGTGAAAAGCCAGCTCTAGGCATTGACAACACAGTTTTCACAAGCACGGCCAGCTACCAAACACTTGAAGTACCATCATGGCGCAGTGTTGAAGTAGTCTGCTCAACCGCTGCCAGCCGACAAAGATGCCAATCGCCAGCCCCGGGCATGGGCAGAGTAATTTGCACAAGCACAGCCAGCCATCAAACACTTGAGGTACCATCATGGTATAGCGTTGGTGTAGTCTGCTCAACCGCTGCCCGTCCGCAAAGATGTCAATCGCCAACTCCGGGCATGGACACAGTAATTTGCACAAACAAGTTCAGTTGCCAAACGTGTGAAGCACCTTCATTGCGATGGAGCATGGCAGACTCAAGCATGCACGGTCTTCGCCCAAGAGAACATCAGGAATAGGGTGCCAGGCGCTTCGAGCACCAGAACGACCAAACTCCATGTCAAACTAACCGGATGAAACTACTCCCAGGGATCTGCCGACTCAGCCACACTAACTGGAAAGTCCTGGGCCCGTGGCTCGGAGTTGCCTTCTATATACTTGATTCATATTGATCACTGTATCATTGACTATACTAGTGGCTTAATATTGATTATAATTGCTTGTATATATATACTGATTATACTATACTTGACTCATATATATATACAGATATGGGGGGGCTATATTATATATTATATATAAATTGCTTATTCATTATAGTATCTATACATACCTATAGGACGGCCAAGACGACGGCGGCCAAGGGGCACTGCTGCTCTGCTTGGCGGAAGGCTCTGACCACGCTGATGGCGTTCTCTCGACAGAGGTTGTTGAAATGATCGTAGACCTGGGTTTGTCTGACATGAAATCCATAAATAGATGATAAAATGATGGGATTGATGATAAATTAGGAAAAATTGGATGAAATTTCAATGGGAAAATGATGACAATTCCAATTTCCAATGGAAAAAAACAATGCCAATCATTGGCCAATCATGGGAACATCATGGGAAAATGATGGACATCCATTGGAATTGGGTATGAATTGGCTATCCCCTTTGTTGCGCCAAGTCACAGGACTGCTTTGAACTTTGGAGATTCGCTTCACATCGAGCACTGCCTTGTTGTAGTACCTCGAGAGGCGATTTCTGGGCAATGCTGCAGTGCTGACTCCATGCCCAGCCAAGGGACTTCCACAGCAAGTAGTACAACCAAAAGGCTGGCAGGAAAGCAAGCAGTGCATAGTATGCAATGCCTGCGCATGCGAAGACGGAACCAGTTCCTCCCTAACGCTTTGAGGCCTTCAGGAAGGTTCCCAAGGAAACAATTTGAACACGTTGAGACAGGTAAAACAGATATCTCATCACATGACCTGACAGTATCTGCCCACGATAACTACTATAAGATAGCAACATTTCTGCACTCCGAAATCAGCACAAATGCAGCCTTGCCAACCAGCATCAATGTTGAATTGACATGAATTAACATGACTTAACCTCTTGTTTCTTGCGATATCTTGCGATATCTTGCTAGCCCTTCAAGATCAGGAAACAAGCTGTGCTGGGACCGGTGGTAAATTCCCCACCTCCAACCATGGTGAAGTTTCCAAGTACACCAAGGACGGGGACGAAGGTGTAGATCATTTGCCAAATCACATCCTGTGCTCGACACCAGGACACTGCCGGTCACTAATCGGTCACTAATTCATGACTTGCTGTTGATCTAATTCATGTTGAGTTTCCGATTTGCCTGGACCCTTTAAACATGACATCCATTGAATCCATAGTCGATGCGCAAACATGCGCAATCTAAAAGTGGAGCGCGTGTTGACTACTCGCATGTCCTCAACACATCTCAACACATCTCAGCACCCTACAGTGCCCGACTCAGTCCTTGTCGATCTCTGACATATCCTTCGAGAATCTGTTGATGATGCGGCCCTGGTAGAGGTGGGCACTGGCACTCGGCATCTGTCTGTTCAACTTCAACAGCTGGGGAGTGAAAGAGTCCTCTGATACGCAAATGAATTAAACATGCAGTCACAGGGTAGTGTGTCACAGTCTATCATAGTCTACCAATCCCAGTAAGCTAACATGGCTATGGAAAATATTGGAAAATCATGTTTTTTTCAAGGCAAATCATAAATGAGCCATTTTCCAAGTACCCTTTGGTAAACTAACATAACTATGGAAAATCACCATTTTCAATAGCTATTTTGACATAACCAGAGGGTACTGCAACTATGTTAAACCACCGGAGGGTAATCCCCAGCGTCAGTGCCTGTGGTGTATCTTGGAAGAAGGACATCGGAGCTCGCAGCACAGACTCGAACATGGCACGATGCAAACGCCTGTCGCGTTTTGCTGCGGCGCATTGATCTAAATTTCAGATATTAAAAGATAAAAACAACTATCCTATAAGTAGATGTAAAAAAAAAAAACTATATATTCTACAACTTTGATGATCTTTGGATGTTTCCAGCTCCGACGTTTCCGCCGCACCTTGCAGCGCGGAAGCCATAGATATTTCCACAGAGGTCACCTGAGATTTTCATCAGCGAATTATCAAAGCCATGTGGTGTATAATTATGAATAGTATTATAGCATTATAAGTATGAATACTATGTGGTGTATTAATACTATAATTATTTATCTAATAATCTGATTTTTAATACTATAGTTCTTCATCTATAGTCAATTGGAATCAGAATTCACTAATAGCATCTATATGCATCTATAATATTCTATGATATTCAATACATTCCTTGAAAAAAACAACTGAGTCCTGAGTTTTACTTTCTCCTTGGGGGACTCTTTCTTCTCCGAAAACATGCCACCAAGGCTCGCAAGGTGCTTAAAACCACAACCTGAAGTGGGGGACTGTGAATTCAGCGGGATCCAGCGACGATACCTGTTGAGTTCCCCATGAACTTTGGAAACATGTTGAGATTGAAACTAATTACGAAGAGTCATTGCTCCATATTATTCCATTAAAATCGCCATGAGCTAGTTGAGGTAGATGTCATTCCCTTATTCCAGCATTTTTCTTTGCCTACAAAACGTACCACAACTTCCATTTCTGTGGTTTCCAACCACGCTGCTTTTTCAAACCTTGGCCCGAGAAGCAATCACACTGAGGATCACGTAGATGCTCAAGTAGTGTGACCTGGCTCCAGGCGGGGTGTCCAGCTGTGCCGAAATTTCCAGCCACTGGCTGCCACCGAGCCACGTGACGAGGGCGCCGGCGGCTTGATCAGAGACGCCAGCCGTCCAGGTAGCCAGCCAGATGGGCAAACTGAGATTCATCACTTCGGAACCTCAGCCGATCGAATACCCCCCCCTGAACCATGTCGGAACCATGTTTGACGTTTTGATAGCGGAACACATGCTGTTTCACGCGGTTTCTTGCTGTCTCTCTGTGCATATCTGTTTAACCAGCACTCTCATCTTCTACTAGACTACTGGATGCCCCAGTCGTGCTAACCCCATTGAACGATCACCAACAACCAATTCATTGCACGCTTCAAGAAGCCTACATAGAGCGACACCAGCAGAGAGATAGTGGTGCAGCCACCCATAGATTGCAGGTAGTAAACAAACACCTGCGACAGGAGCTCAATGTCTCCAACTGGGGAGTTATTGTGCAATTGTTTATAAATGGTTAACCATTATATCCCCAATGAATATGATTCAGTATCCCCATTGTATTACATATGATTGTCATTATATCATATTATATCCCCATTGGATATGGAATATCATCCCATGGATTCCATTCCAGCTGAGGGAGAAAGTGTTCGTCCTCGCCTCTCGACTCACTTGTCCCGTGGCACGCTCCTCTTCTGCTTCTTCTTGCTGCTGGTTCGAATCTTCAGAAGGTTTCTGGAGGCAAAGTTCGACACAAACAAACGCAACACACCTACCCTCTGGTAAACTAACATAGCTATGGAAAATCACCATTTTCAATGGGAAAACCCACTACAAATAGCCATTTTCAATAGCCATGTTAACATAACCAGAGGGTAAGCCTTATGATTTTTCAGTTCATTCCCAAGAATTTCAAGAGGCAAGATCTCATATGACCCCATAAAGGCATGTTAAAAATCCTCTCCTCGTCAATGGACCCAGCAGATTGGGCACTTACTGCCCGGCCAAGAAGCGGTTGCTGCCTTAAACATTGACAGCGACAAAACGGGACCACCCGTTTCGTCACCATTTTCAGGTCAAGGGTGTCAAGGGAATTAAGGATTTTCTCTGAAATATGTATGTTAGAAACCACCAGCATTTGCACAGAAAATGCTAAATCAGGTATAAGACGTCAGAAGAGCCAACCTGGTCTGTTCGAAACGCACCACGGCGCAGAAAGATGTGCTTTTCATGGATGTATAAACTGTCCCGATGCCTAACATCTGCAGGGATGCAAACGATTCATCACTTCATTACTCTCACAACGCATACAAACACATTGTCATATGATCACATTTATACATATGATATATATAAATATATATGTATATATGTATATATGTATATATGTATATATATATATGTATGTAGAGTATTATAATAAAGATATCATATCTTATAAAGATCATATCTTTATATCATAGAAACATGTATAGAAATCATATATTATTCATTATATATGCATTAGATTTTAAGTATTTTATATATCATAACCGCTTTCCGTGGCTTCTGCCATCTTCAGCATGGCAAGGAACGGAAGATCTGTCGCAGTTCTTTCACCAATTCCCTGGGCCGTGAGAAGAGCCTTGCGGGGCACGCGACAGGGTAAAATGGGATAATCGGAGATATCAACAATCAACAAATATCAACTGGATCATGTAATGGTTATTGATGATACTGTGTAATATTATTGATATGATTATTATTAACATTATTAGCCATATTACCAGTTGGTTATCAACATCAACTATTAATCATATTACTGATATCATGTAATGGATTAGTATGGTGGATATCAGTCATAGTTGATGAAAATAGTTGCTTTACCCATTTTCATAGCATGGTGGTTTTGCATAGTGAACTGTAATGGATTAATATGAACAAATATCAACACAATATCTGCTTGGTGGTTGACCTACCCCTCAAAAAAAAATATGAGTCAGTTGGGGTTATTCCCAACTGAATGAAAAAAATAAAACATGTTCCAAACCACCAACCAGTCAACAAAATATGACATTTACCATTATAAACACACATGATTAATCATGTCTCAAGCGGAATCGAACCTGGAATCAGTCGCACGAACATGTTCACAGTCTGCAAGGAAGACTTACTTGCAGCAGTGTCAGAACATGTTTGAGAGATTTTCAGAGCACGCATTAAAAGCATACGACTTTGCATGTGAAGATATTTGTCCAAATTAATTTAAGGGACTTACTGAAGACCTCTTCAGTGCCTTAAAAGCACTGGACCAACTCCGAAATAAACAAACAACTTCCCACATCAAACAACTCTTGACTCTTGATATCATTGAATATCATTCAACATCATTTAATATCATTCAACATCAATCACTATCATTTAATACCAGCCAATATATTATATTAATAACTCATATCCAACAGTTCTGTGGGTCTCTGGTTTTTCTGACCTTTCAAGGTCCTCTCCCAGATCGCCACAGACTTCACAACGAGGCCTTGAGTGTGGCACTGCTGCGCTGGAGCTCTTCATAGCTTCCCATAGAACCAATTTTTCCGTCTTCCAAGACCAGCAGCAAATCCTCCAGAAATCTGCTGTGATTCATTGTGATTCATTGTGATTCTATGTGATTCATTGTGATTGTGCAAAAAAAAGGAGCTCCATGGTACTTGCTGGAAGTTGCTTCACCTTTTGCTGACAAGGAGCGCATTGACTGGCAAATTCCAGCCTGGAAACGTCACCCCAAGTGGTCAAAACATGTCAAAACACACCGAGTCCACTGCTTTCAGCAGCCCAATTCCAACCTGTTCATCGCAACGACCCGTGTCTTCTTGCCCAAAAGGCCTGCAACGAGCGGTTCACCATGGTTCACCTCTTCAGCTGACTTTAAGAAGTCGATGATCACTTGCAATAACTACCATGGTCTACAAGTCTTTAGCAGCTGCAAACAGAACGATGTTACGCAGGACAAAGGGAAAATCATCCATTTATAGATGTTTTTTACATTATAAACCAACCATTTGTGGACAGAACCAAGCACATACCAATCACTTCTTCCGTTGGCCAAGTAGGCAAGGCCTAGAATGGCATTCTCGTGAACACTCTTGGCGACGTGAGCATCAAGGGCACTGTACGGGTCGTCCAAGAGGAAAATGCTGCTGGAGTGGAGCCTCAGACTCAAACGAATTTGGACTAAAAATTGGGCATCTCAGTTGGTTGAAGTTGGTTAATGCACAAAACAACCTATGTGATATACCTCAGTTATGGATAGTTATGGTTGATGCTTAACAACCTATATCAACCTATATGATATACATATGATGTGTTACGCTAGAGTGTTATCTGGGTAAACCCGCCATGGTGATTCACCACCATGGCGTGCCCCATGGTACCAGCCTTGGTGCCAAGATCACATTGAATGCTTAAAATGGTTATATATGTCGACGGATATAACATGATATAACATGATAATGTAACCAATATATCATACAAAAACCATTTCCAGTATGATTCAAGAGTGATCATCAGTACTCAATACACTGGCAAGTGGCCGGTAGCAAGCTCGAGCAAGGCAAACCCGGGCTTTTTGACCGCCACTCAGTGCAATTCCCTTCTCACCCACCTTGGTGAAGTTTGTTCGGAAATTCGGCACTGAGTTGCTGATGAGATTTGGAGAAAAGAAAAGGCTGAATTGGGCCAGTAGTTTGGTATGTGTGGTCAAGTTTAATCTTCTCTCCCTATGAAGAATCATGTTCAAATGCGACAGAATATGACAGAATACTCAGAATATGTGCCAAAAAAAAACTGCTCAGGTGACATCTCTCTTCTACTTCCCGAATCTTCCGTGTTGGCCACTGCCGCGGCACTTTGGTCTGGTCCCCCGCTGCCAACTGTTCAAAATCCTGCACGAGAAGATTGGCGACTGACCGCAGACGCCAAGCAGCTTAGGCAGCTTATGGATTCAACTCCAACTTCACGCACCTCTGAACTGTGAAATACTGTGAAGAGCTTCATGTGCGAATAAACTTATTGTTATTGTTATATATTGTTATTGTTTCATCAATCCTTAAATCTTGTCTTGTTGATCTGTGATGGTCATGGCGACACTTAGCCTGATCCAGCTTGCAGCATCGGATGCACTCAGTGTAATGCGCCTGGCACTTGAACGACTTGAACAAGCCACAGAAAAGGACACTTGATGACACAACTGTGTTTTTCAGGCTATTCATGCACTTTTTATCTACATTTAGAATCTACATGTTCTTTAGGTAGATGGAAACTGTGTGCAACAGTGTGTTGGGTTGTCTCACTACATCTCACTACCAAACAGGGCACAATGAGCCTCATTCTGGCAATCCACATTCATCAAAGGCGTCTAGTCTATGTCCAAGTAAACAAATTGAAGCACGACATGAGTTCCACGTGTTTCTCGTTTTTACTCGTTTTTCTCCAAGGAAATTCTTGTTGTTTAACGTGACGCTCCCAACCTCTGCGTAGGGCTCTCCAAACAGGATATTCTGCCGAACCGTGGCATTGAAAATCCAGGGCTGCTGCGGCAGGAATGACAAAGGCTTCTGCTGCGAGACCTGTCGCTGTAATGCGACAGAATCTCTTAGATTGTCACCAGAAAACATCTGGGATTTCCTGATATATAATATAACAATATAACTATAATTAATTATCCTATTTGGTCCTATCACTACTATAACTATAATTTATATGTATAATTAATTATCATCCTATCTGGTCCTATCTTATCAGTACCAGCATCACTAAGGACCCACATATCCTGCATTTGGATGCTGCCATTTGTGGCACGGTGGACCGGTTACTACGTGCTGTCATGGCGCTAGTGCAGGTCCGGAGTCCTCCTTCTGAGGCATCTCGCCTGAACAGGAAATGATAAAAGCTTCTGAAATGGGCACCAGGCTAAAAATTACAATCTATTATAGTTATATTTATAGTTATAGTTATAGTTATCACATCACATCAATTAATTATATAACAATATTATATATAGATATAGATTTATGATGATTTATGCACATCTCACAGCATCAATCATAATGAGTCAACATCTTTGAAGAAAATAACTCAGGTCTCTTTGCGCCTAAAATCGCTTGTAGGAGGGAGCTCTTCCCAGCACCTGTTGCTCCAACGACTCCGATCAAAGCACCTCTTGGCACCTGGCAGATCTCAACATATCTCAGGTGAAAAGTGGTGAAAAGTGGTGAAACTGAAGGATGAAGGTGATATGAAGGCGATATGAGGACCAAGTTCTGCAAGTTGGATGGTGAAACATGGTGACACGTGGTGAAACATGATGGAACCCTTGATGGAAGCCAGGTCTAACGATGTCTAACGCCTTGCCCAACAGCGAAACGATCAGCTGCAGATGCTGTGCCCCACCTTGAAGGACAAGTCCTGTAATGCGAAAGGGCCTTGCGTACAAGACATCTACATCAGAGAATCCCTGGGAAATCTGTTGATAAAACAAATTTCGATGTTTGCAATTCAATAAACCGCCTTTTGGATGTTTTGGTCGTGCAACTTTGTAACCAGTCGTTTTAGAGCCTTTAGAGCCCTTTTCTACGCTATCAAAGTCTGAAACTCACAGCCTGAACGGTCTCAACGGTCTCGCCTGGTGCTGCATCTGCTTCGCCCGAACTGCTGCCACTGTCACCGCTGTCACTGCTGGACGCATTATCTTCACCTTCCTGCTGGTTTCATGGCGCTCGCGCCACATACAATTCATACCCTCTGGACATTCAACATAGCTATTGAAAATGGCCATTTATAGTGGATTTTCCCATTAAAAATGGTGATTTTCCATAGCTATGTTAAATTACCAGAGGGTATCTTTGCAGAGTGTTGAATCTTCTGTTCAATTTGAACAACTCTGTTACAGCTGACAGCTGAACCACTTTACATAACTTAACCATAACTGCCATATGAAAACTGCCATAACTATCCACAACTATCCATAACTATCCAGTACACCCCAGCCTCGATGCTCCATGAGAAAGACGCCTTGTCGAAGATCACCGCAGTCTGCGCATCCAGCTCCGCGCTCGGCATCTCCTGCTCTGTTGGCGGGGCCTCAATAGCAGCAACAATGGATTGGTTCAGGGGAAAACCATAGAAAAACCATGGAAAAAATCTACAGGAAACCATGGTTTTACGGGTTGAACACAGAGTTAAACGTTTGTATTTCTTTAAAGTCTTGATATTGTCTTGATGAGTCTTGTAATGTTTTCCACCGCCCAATTTATAATATATCAGTATATCAAATATAGGGATGTCAACATATGTCAACCATGCATTATTAAAAGGTCACCCCATCAACTGCAGCAATATCGACTCAGCGTGGAAACATATGGAAACCAGCCTCCGGTAGAAAACTGGCAATGCCCTTGACCGCTGGCAGATGTGACTCTTCCAAGAAGAAAAGGCTCTCGATGCGCTTGGCTGCAACATAGGCCTGCCGAAGCAAAGTTGGCTCTTGAGATGGTCTGAGATGGTCTGAGCCTTCGACAAATTGCTGTTGGGAAATTGCTGAGCGTGTTCATGCTTGGAAGATCAGCAGCTTCAACTAATTCATAGTATACTTCTACATCTGATGTATATTGATGTATTCTCTCTGAAAAAAGGGCCAAAGTAAGTCCAAAACTGGTGGTTTCAACATGTTTCAACCATCTTGAAAAATATGACTTCGTTAAAGTCAATGGGAAGGATATATTATCCCTTTTTTATGGAACATAATCCATTCATGTTCCAAAGCAACCAGAAAACGTCCAGAAAACCCCGACCTCGACGATGAGATTCAACACCCAAGGGATGGTAAACAGCGGCTCCTCGACGGCACAAGCGCCAAATGGATGGACTTTAGGTCGTAATATGTCATTTTGTTGGTAATAAATACCATAGTATTGGTATATTCCATCCATAATTCATATATTCCATCCATAATTATCCATAATTCCATCATATTCCATCCATATTGGTAATTCCAAATGTTGGAGAATTATTCTTAATCAGCAACAAAGACTTGAATTTGGGATCCAGCAGTATTGTGAGCTAGACTCCTCTTGCTATGGCGAATATCGTGCCACAACAGCACTGAGTTCTTCGGCTCGCCCACTTCAAACTAGCTCAAAAAAAACAGCTCTGAAACCTCAAAACCTGAGAACCTCAAGTCCACCTTAAACAACATGACTATAGATTTATCTAATAGAGATATAACTTATATACTTAATTATATAACTGATATCCACCTTTGAGCTGCCGGCCAGCATTTCCTGCACCATGTTCAGGAGCGCAATAGCTGTGAAGGCTTGGGCAGCTGTGATGGATTTCTCTGGATTTAACCAGCTGTAGGAGCCGAACATCAACGCCGTGCAGCAAGGCACCTGAGGCGAACATCACCACAGCCAGAAACCAATCCATTTAAGGGGCGTGGACCTGGACATACCATGACATACAGTTGCTGCTGGAATCACTGCTAGAATCGGTTGAAAGTTGCAAACCATTGGCTTCGCTTGTCCTAGATCCGCAGTTTCCTCCAGCATGCCAATCGTTCTGAGAGCGGCGCAATGCTTGACCATATCGCTTCAAAACAGGTGAAGATGCCTGCAATGCCAAAAAGAAAACAACACGCTCCGATATTTGTGTCAGCAAAGATCATTAGAGCAACTTCTGATCTGTTGACAACGGCCAACGCTGAGCGGATGAGACTGTTAAAAGAGACGCCATTTTCAAAACGGATCACAAACGGTGGGCATCGAGGGACACAAAAACTCTTGCGAACATATGCTGTTGTCAATCTCGGCCTTTGCACCAGAACTCAAAACATGGAAATGAATACCCTAAGTAAATCAACTATAGATGGCAATTTTCAGTGGCTATGTTAAATTACAAGAGGGTAACATCAAACAAAATCTACACACCACACAACGCTGGTGGCCAAGTGTCAATACAGTCTCCAAAGAGCCAGCAACTCTGCCCGGCGTGCAGTTTCCACTTTCGCAGTGGCAGGTTCCTTCCATGAACATCTTTGCAGCAACAGGAGGTAATCAAACAGCAATTGATCATATACCATCACACAGACACCATCACGATATACAAAATATAATAATATATAATAATATTTAATATTGTAGTCTAATGATGTATGTTATATATATATATATATGTTATATAATGTTATATATATATATATGTTATATATATGGTACATATATGTTATATATATATGTTATATAGATGTTATATATATAGTATAATTTAATGTGTTCATGTTACCACCATATACAACATTTGATCTGATGACTAGATGCAACATGATGCAACCAAACCAAAAATGATCCAACATGCGTTGATCATTTGGAGCATTTGAGGATGTTTGAGGTCTCTTCCAGGCAATTTCTTTCTCTTTTAAGCTCCTCCCAGCCGTAACACTTGATGACATTGATGCTGCTAATGACCTGACAGTTCCATGGTCCATTTTCAGCTCACACAGGCAGCGATCCGCAGTGGAGATCAGTTCTCGATACACCCAGAAATTGGGATGATGATAGATCTAATCTGGTTGGTGGTTGAGCCACCCCTCTGAAAAATATGAAAATCAGTTGGGATTATGACATTCCCAACTGAATGGAAAAATAAAAAAATGTTCCAAACCACCAACCAGTAATGATATCGATGATATCTGATGATGCTTTTTGTTTTTACCACGGACGTTCAATTCTGGTGCCAATGTGAAGTTCAGAACCAGGAGACAACGCGAGTGCAACACACTGTACCCCTTTCAACCATCACAAGGCATCTCTTCAAACAAACTTGCTTGGTGGTTTCTTCCACTACAAGATAAATCAATTGGGCGCATCTTCCAAAACAGTGTGGACAAAATGCTAACACATCAGTGCGACAACACACCCACAAATGCCTAAAGTCAATGGGCGGTTTGCTAGATCCCATAGCAGTGCCAAGGCAAGGCATGCGGGGTCGCCACCTCTGTGGCTTTCCGAACTCGTTCATCGGTTTGAGCTTGCTGCCGATCTTCCAGTCGATTCATGATGTACATCATCGCAGGATTCAAGAGGATGACCTTATGAATCTTATGATCAGAACATCAAATGATAACATCCACTTATTATGACATCCACTCATGTCATATAATATATAGTATATGTCATATAATACCTGTATCCTCAAAAAAGCACAAATAAATGCTCATTTGCGAGATTTCTGCTTTTTGAGCGGTTTTTCTCCACATGAGCGTAATTGCACCACTTTTGGCATTTTTGCACTTGGTGCATTTTAAAGCCAAAAATATGAGCGTATTTTCCCGGGAAATAAGCGTAAATACCCGGGAAAAAAGCGTAAATGCCCGTCCGTCAAGAAACAAATGCGCATTTTCTAGTTCAAGTGAGCATAAAAAGTCAGAACGAGCATAAATCCAAGTGAAAACTGCTATGAGCAGAAAAAAGTGCTAAGTGAAGATCCAGGTATATATCATATAATATATGTCATATAATATATATGTCATATAATATATGTCATATAATATATGTCATAATATATTTATATATATATTATGACATATTATAACATCCACTGCCAGACTGCAAATGTGTATGGTTTCCCATACAAACCGTTGATGGCAAAACGAATAAACCGTTGCCAATCGTTGCCAAGTGGCAAAGCCCATCCAGCTCAAACCGATGAACACCGATGCGCCCATCAACGAGTGCAAGGCCACAAGTGAAATGGCCACTTTCAACGGTGCCTGAGTTGGCTGAGGCGACTGCTGGGATCAGCGATGTTTTCTCTGTGAAATGGGATATTTGGTCCCACACAGCCAACACATCTGAAAAAAAGCATCAAGTTTCATGATTTTGGATGATTTTGGATGATTTTGGATGATTTTGGGGTGTTCAAGTCTATTCAAGTCTATTTATCGACATGTCTCAGGATCACATTGCAAGTGTAAGGCAGCCACCGTGAGCAGCAATACGTGGATTTGGCGCAATGCCTGCAAGTCTTTTTTTTGGACAAAATTGTGCAAGTTTGCAATGAGGTCACAATGTTTTTTCAAGGCTGAAAATCTAAGTGTTTCTGTGTTTTTTCTAACTATCAAGCAGCTCCAGCATCTGGAGTCATATCTACCATCTGTGAATTCATGAAACTGCCATCTGCGGCAAGATGCGGCAAGTTTTGGACTGCGCGTTGATAGTGAACTTGGGATCTAATTCACACCCAAAGAGTGCTTACTTCTTGAGCTTGCGGATTATCAACCGATTTTTTTGAAAACATCTATGTCATCTATGTCGTCTATGCAAACTTGACTCAAAATGACACCAAGTGGCGCGTCTGGCTTTGTCCACATCAGTGGTGATCATGTTATTCAGCTTGCCACTGGAGAAGCTCAACATGGAGTCTTGTCGTAAAAGGATCACCTGCCCGATGGATCCAATGGATCGGATGGATCCCATGTGATGCCCGCGGGTGAAGATCGCTGCCCGCCTTACGAAAAATGGATGCGATCCTGAGAACCGGTGGGTACAGCGGCTACAGGACGATGTGTGGACTCTGGGCCGCTGAAGGGCCTACTTAAGTTTTGATAAGTTTTGTTGGTGGGTCTATAGTTCGACTTTTTCTGGAGTCATGTTCTTTCGTGCGATTTGATGTGCTCTCATGTGATCCTGCACATGAATAGTGTATTGAATTTGGGGAATGCCAAAATGACCCATGTGGAAAGCCTCCTGTGGTAGTTCCTGACCGTCAAATCCTTGCGAAATTGGATGAAATTATTGATTAAATTATATGAAATTGGATGTAAAACAGAATGAATATCCGATATTCAATATCCATTTATTTGCCATATTTTGCCATATTTCGCCATTACCAAATGATATTTTTCGGGGCACCTTACATGATACCATGGCTTTCAACCATCTCCGGAAGTTCGCCCAGCAAGCCACAAGGAAGAGCGAATCCGAAGACCACAGCTCTGCAAACCGATGGATGCTGCGGCATCCACGAGAGCCTCATGGAGCTTCAGCTCCAACACTGGAAGTTCCATAGTGATGATCACACATTAATTCCACTAACATAACAACTCTACATACAAAAACATACCGTACTTGGAGACTTGGACTATGATGGTAAAACAATATACAAGATATCTTTATATAATTTATATGTAAAGGTCATAGTCCAAGTCTCTGCACCATCAATATTACAAACGCCCGGAAGGGACCGAGCATATCCAGTACTATGTCTGGAATGTTCGATGATTTCCCGATGATTTCCCGATGATTTCCCGATGATTTCCCGATGATTTCCCGATGATTTCGATGTCTGAGGTGAAAACGGCAGAAGCCTCCGCTGTGAAAAGCGCCAAACACAGTAGCAAACCTGTTTGAAAAGCGCTCAAAATGAGGATAGCAACACCTCGCAACTCAACTGCAGATCCGTAGGGATCATGGGTTGTGATTAGCTACAGATCAGCAACGAATCTACTTTGAGCCTTGAACAACTGCACAATAGAGCATATATATATATATATATGCGATATATGTCATATCTATGTCATATATGCCATATGAATCCATATGAGTTACATGTCAAGTTGTGATGAGCTTGCCTTCCGAGGTCGTCGAGTCATCCTTCTCGACAAACTTCACCAGTTTGTTCAGGAACAATGGGAAGCTGAAGTCAAGCAACGCCTGCGTGTTTTTTTGCGTGGCATATTTATCAGGTATCATCCGGTCATGTGCAGGTTTCATCAGGTTTCCATAAATGTTGGTACCCCCAAGGAGGGTTTATTTCATGGAAATCCATGGAAATCCTATAGAAATGGATGATTTAGGAATACCCCCATTTCAGGAAACCTCCATGTCACCACATGTTTTTGCAGCCTCTAATAAGAGATGAAACAAAGGGTGCCTGCAGCACTCTCAACAACCATAGCCACCGCAAACGCGGCACGTGAAGCTTCCACAGGACTCTCATGAGTTGCCTGGAATGGTAGCACATTCCAAGCAACTATAACTCAAGCACTATTACCAATATTGGTGATATTAGTAATAACAACTCCTTATCAGATTGGTGTCATTGGCTGCAGATCACGAAGCTGAACAACAAATGTGCAGCCAGTAATGGTGTTGCTACCGCTTTGGTGAATCATCATGTTGCAAAATAAAAACTGGCATTCCAATCTAAACAGGAACTAGTGAACTAGAATACTACTTGATCGTTTTGAACTCGACGTTTTTTGTTTGTAGGATACTTACTGTGGCTGTAATGCAGAAATATGCAGAACATGCAGAGCGGATTCAAAACGGCACAGCGCATCTAAAAGACTGAGCCCCTTGCCAACCACGTCTGCGCGTTCCACCCGTCACCTGAGAACAAAATGTCGCTTGAAGGTGGCGGCAACTTTTGGATGCAACGTGTGCCACGCGCTTTTTTTCAAGTGACATAAAGTGACAACTGCTGAAGACTTAGGCAATTCCCGGCTGAGATGCGACTCAGTTCCAGCCTGTGCTCTCCACTGGCTTTGGAAGGCTTTTTGAAGCTCCTCGATACAGCACCGTTCAACGCGAAACGCAAGCGATTTCAAGGGAAACCGGGATACCTGGACATGTCCGATACTTCCAAATGATCATTTTCCGAAAAACTGTACACACGTTGGAAAAAAGTGATTCTATAGATAATATATGATAATATCTACAGTAATCTATGGATTATCTATGGTTCCTATCATTAAACATGTCTCTTACATAACTTACACGCATGAAAAATAGGACGGAGCTGCCGTGAAGAAAAACTAACAAGGCCGCCTCTGGCATCGCCGAAGGCTCCACATCGAAGAGTTCCGAGGCCTCACCGAAATGGTGACTTCATGGGAGAAAAATGGAGAAAAGGTCAGGTCACCATGGGATTCCGCAAATGGGTACAATATGGGTACAATATGGTGACAATATGGGTACAATATGTATGGTGACAATATGGTGACAATGTGGTGACACTGACACCTACGACTTAGGGGATGACCATCTCTTTTCTCGAAAAATCCACCAGGATGACTGACCATGGCATTGGTTTCCCAACCATCAACCAGCTGATCTATCTCCACTGTATCACCATCTTCCCCATAGAACCCCAATAAAGGGAGGCCATATGGAGGTTTCCTGAAATAGGGCTACCCCATCCAATATCATCCAATCATCTATTCTACGAATTCGGGTTTTCATGGATTTCCCCCTTTTTTTACCATTCAGATCATCCAGCGACAAAGGGGTACCCCCAGGACGACATGGAAACGTCCCCATTTTTTCGACCTGCAGCTGCTCCGTCTCCACGGAGCGCCGCAGCAAGGGAAAGACCCAGCTGAGGAACAGCCGCGAGATCCAGGAGCCCTGCGCACCGAGCACCGCGCTGAGGGATGCTTTTGGGAAGACCATGGAAGACCTTCAAAAAACATAGGATTTTCCATGATAGTGTGGGAAACCACCCAAAATCATGGAAAATCCTATGAAAATCTCATGAATGGCTTAACTATGCTTAATGGAAACGGGAGGTGTAATCCATCCGAAATTTGGAGGTTTAGCAGTACATTACTGATCTTAAATTCCTATTTTTTTTCCCAATGGACCCACTAGTGGGTATAAGCATCTTTGAACCATCCCCACAACCCCGCATCCTTCCACCATGTCCCACGATCAGTGCCGTGGCTCGTCTGGTGAAAAGATGTTGGAAAATTTGGCAACCATCAGCCAGAATCAGCCAGTCACAGCCGACAATTGACACTGCATATCACTGCATGTTTCCAAGACCCCTCAGACTTGTTTTAAGCAGACTCCCATGGCTCCTTGAAGGGTGTAGAATCCTCGGAGAGGGGTATCCTTGCCAGCCGGGCGCTTTCCAAATCCATGGCGCCAGAATGGCACGCGCCAAGCGCACGCTTACGCACGCTTTGCACTCTGAAGCAGAGCCCATGGTCCCGTTATGTCCTGTTGTTGTGTGGTGCATATTGTGTTTATTTGTGTTATGTCCTTGTACCGCCCATAAATTTTCTGTACAGTCCAACAATGCAATGCCAGTGAAATCACACCATTGCAAGTGACTGCTTTGTTGTGGCTATGACAGGTAGTCTTGCTGGTAGCAAAAACAAAGCTTAAGCATTTTGGATGCCTGGGATTTTTTGCTTACAACTTGCTACAACCAAATGGCTTCAGCAGGTTGCCAATCAACTCCGAACCGATATCCCAGTTTTCTTTACCAATGGCGTGCGGTCCAATCATGACAGAATCAACTCTATCAACGCATGACATCAACAATAACTATTGTAACTATGTATCTTCTCACAACTACCGGAAAGTGAATGATATGAATGGAAAGACTTCAACTCCAACAAGTCTGCAGCATGTCAATTTGATCCGATTTGCCTATGTCATGCCTGATGCTGGTCCACTATGGTCCAATCATCTTCCAACTGTGCACAGTCGGACTGTGTCCCCCACCGGTATCGCAAAGTTCGCAGTTCGTGCCGTTGTGGAGATTCTCGCAGGTGCCTCGCTATGACTCAGCTATGACCGTAAGATGACCATGAGACGTCACAGCTCTGACAGCTGCCACTGTTCCAAGGTCGCAGCAGCTACCGTCACCTTTGGCTCCATCGTTGCCTCATCTTTCTGTTTCTGTCGACAAGTTAAGCATGCCAAGTTGAGTAATTATTTTTCTGTGTAAGGCAGGATCCCTATAAAAAGTGAAGATCCATTGTGCTAGGCAGCAGTTTCAACCAGCAAGAACCAGCAATTTCACCACGAAAACAGGGTCAGTGTCTGAGAAGCGCGCAGGAAATGGAGCCAGGATAGACACAGGTGCAGGGCTTGTCACCTCAGCTTGGCACATTTTGGCACTGCGACAGCCATCCGGAACAGCGCAGGGCGCCCGGGCAGTTTTCACCGAACCAGGCGGGATCACACTGGCATGCCTCAGGAAATTTGACGTTCAGAGGAACGTCCAAACCCTAAAATTCCCGCGTCTGCGTTCGATGTTAGTCCCTCCCTTTTGAGCACCGCTCCACTGCAGATTCTTGTGGCTTACCAGCCTTAGAGTATGTAATTGATTGGTAGCTCAGGGAAATGTGGCAGTGAAATACAAGGCATCACAGAATCACAACATAATATAATATAGTAACATCAATGACTGTCTGTGCCAGCCAGCATGCCAGCATGTCAATTCTCCTAGGTCGCAAACAACATCTGCGATGTCTGCATTGAGCACGTTGGAGATCTGTGCAAGGGGACATGTCACAGCAGTTCTTTTGCATCAAACTTTCAAGGAAGGTCCTTTAAACTTTGATACTGGAAGGTTTATTTTCCAGCAAAATGGATCTGTCCTAATTTGTGCAGCACAAATTCACCACAAGTCCCTGCGCTACCAAAGTGACAGAGACAAAGTGAAAAAAAGGAGACTGATGAACTGAGTTCCTCGCACAATGACCCTGTCCACAGTTGGGGCCTAAGCTGAAGAAATATGTCGCCATCGCTCCGAAGATGTCGTCACTCACAAATTACCAAAGACAGGTTTGAAATATTCTAGATGTTCTCATTCTGAAATATTCTGAAGCATGTTCAACGAAAAAAGAAGCAGAAACTGCGAGGGCTGTTGCAGAAACTGTCTGCATGGTCATTTGGGCTTTGAACATCGCAGCACCAAACGCTTCGTGAAATTCACCTCACACTCCTGCGCCCCAAAGTAGACCTGCCACGACACACGGCTGGCAACCGATGAAGTAAAGTTCATGAGACACATGAGACATGGTAGTCACAAAATGTCACACAGAAGTCCAGAAAATATGATATGTCTGTTCACATATACGTCATATACGTGTCTATCTGTTTCAATTTATGCACATGATAAATATTGATAAATCATTTCATAGAAGCACTGACATGAATTTAGATCATCCAATTCACACCAATTCACAGAGCTGGGATGACACCCCTCGGATCCGTCGGAGCCGGCGCCTCTGAATCCGATTTTGAGCCATCCCAGCCCGCCACGATGATTCGAATCATCGGGGCCTAGCAATGGCCCATTTTTGGGCATCCGTTCTGGGGTCATTTTTCGACGAAATTTGGGAAAAAGTCACAAAAAAAGTCACAAAATTTGAAGTTACTATTGGGTATGGTGAATTTTTGCCATGGTTTTCGGGAATTTTCACCCAATTTTCATCCAAATCTCTGTGCCCAATGTTTTGTGAGGCCAGCTGAAGGCCTCTGAAGCCAGAGTTGAGCCATGCTGTGGAGACACCTTGGCAGTCAGAGTCACTTGCTATCTTGAACTACCCTTTGGTCAACATAGAAGAAGCTATTGAAAATGGCCATAGAAATAGTTGATTTACCCATTAAAAATGGTGGATCTTTCCATAGTTATGTGACAGTTTACCAGAGGGTAGTCTTGAAATGTCTTGAATATATGGATGATTATAGATGAACATTAGAATTCCTGAAAGGTCTCATCATTCCTTCTTTTGCTGCTGATCATCATGTCCACTTCTGAAATTCTGAATCCAGCTGTGGTGTCACACATCCACCACTGCAGGTGTGCTCTGCCGAGAGAAACTGTAGGCACATCCTGCCGCAAGCGACAGGATGTTGGCATCTGAAGACATCTGCACGTGTTTCCTATAAATTGTGTCGCAAAAAATGGAAGTGCAATAATATCACTTCTGGCTTCCCTAAGAATGGAGGCTTAAAAAGGAGCGTGTTAAAGGATGCATCCATCATAGACTGAAGACAGAGACTGAATGCTTGCAAGAAGATACAATCGAAAAGGTATCACAAATGTGCGATACCAGGCTTGGTGCTGTCATTTTCACTCATCCCTTTCAAGTTTGGATGTCCTGATCACGTTTGTGTTATTTATTGATACGGACTCTGTATCGTTCAAGAAGAATCTAAAGGACGAATCATTGCTGTTAATTGAGCAGCATGTCTTCAAGTCTAAACAAATAGTTGCATTTTCGTTCAAAAACTATGCCAAATCATTGCCAAATCCGCATTTTGGTCAATCTCAATGGAACATAATGGAACAGCAACTTGGATCTATGTTGCTTCCACCAAACAAGCCGGAATCACCCGGCACGTCTTCTCCTGGCATGGTTCAGGCGTCACAGTGTCACTGCAAAAACCAACAACATGATGATGGCTGTTTATATGCTTGATATATGCTTGTTTCAGATGAATTCCCCAAATCTTTGCAAATTACTGGTGTGTAACATCGCAAAGATTCAGTCGATGTCAGACCTTCCCGTTGAGTTGGGTTCAATGCTCGTGGGTGATACCCCCAAAAAGCATGTGCCGATTCACATGGCGCTTGATTTCGAAATGGAGTTCATACATGAATCCGAATTTCATTGATGATGTCAATGTGGGTACGTCTTGAAATTGGGTACCCCATAAGCCTACGTATAGTTAATCAGTCAATCATCACTTTAATAAGATGAGCTATCCCCTTGAGACAAACCTAAATATCTTTTGCCTAACTTCCGCTACCCCACATCATGTTTATGATTCCCATTCTCCTCGCTTAAATTCCCTCGCGAGTTCTGTTGCTTTCACTCGCCGCAAATTGGGGCTCAACCTCTCCATGCGCCAAAAAAATCCTCGTGTTGGGAATAATTTGTTGATTAAAGCCCAGTAAATTCAACAAACAATCAATGATATCAATCCCGGAAACAAAAAAAATCCAATAAATGTGGGATTTTTCTTGATTCAATATGATTTTCAATCATATTCAATCCCCAGGCGCCTTCCAAACCGCAGGATGACTCGATGCTGTTCAGCCGCACCGTGACGTGACCCACGATCTGGCGATCCGTTGCCAGCTGATGGGCGGAATGGGATGGAAAAATCTGATGAAAAAACCAGAATTCCCCGTGATTTAATGGGATTTATAGTGATTTAATGAACTATAGCCATCTATAGCCCTGTTCTGAAAGAATCCGAAGATTAAAACATCCCAAACTGGAAACATTTAAGCGAACTATACCAAGTACTATGCCAATTCCATTTAAATGTTGAAGAATGTTGAAGAATAATTATGAGAACTGCTCTACATGTTCAAAGATGTTCAGTGGATCAACCGCAACGACAGTTGATGCAACAATCGACGTTGCCACATGGAAGGATTTGCAAAGAGTAGGTTGTCTTACCTGAACCTATCTATGTATGCCGCAACCGCATGACATGGAACTCGTTCTTTGCCGCCGTTTGCTCCAATCGCGAAACGATCTTGGCTTCTAACAACAGCATACTTAGATGTATATCGAAATGAATTAGCAAACTGGACAGGCCTGAGACAAAAACACCATCTCTTGGATTTTAAGTTGACTCGTGGAACCACTTTTTGGATCTTTTTGGCCTTTCAACTTTCGGATCTTTCACAAAGACCTGTCCCTGTTGCTCGGAGCTACCGTCCATGAGTCCCTATATTTCCCTATCCAGGTCACTGCAGGTCACATCAAAAATCTGCAGGAACAAGCAGAGGTGCCATCAGCCATCCCGACCCCTGCGCAGAGATGTAGCAACCTGGAACGACCTGAAAGCGCAGAGACAACCTGGATCAAAATCACTTCATCCGTCGCCGCTTGGGTGGCTGCCCAGGCTGCTGCCCTTCCCCTTCCTCCACAGCGGCTTCAGTGAAAACGGAAGCGTCCTGGAATGCCGACAATGAAAAAAAGTGCAATCTTTACCGGTTTGCCCAAAGGGAAAATGCATAAAAATGCGATGTGCTGCTGGATTGAACACATCTAAGATCATCTAAGTAGTAGACTCGACGCTATCAGAGAAAAATGCTGAAGGGATTGATCAGATCAGGATCTGGCCCTTTAACATCGAAGAAAATCCCCCCAAAGAAAAGCAAATAAGTTTGTAGCGCCCAGTTCAGTGGGACTACAAGCTTTTTCAATCTCTTTCATAACATCAGTTGGTGTCCGATGATTGTTCAGGGAAAATGAATTTCTCATGCATCTTCACCTTGAAAAAATCGTTCAATCCAAACATGCTTCTTGAAACTGTCTTTTTTGCTTTTCTATGCTTTTCCGTGGCATAAGCCACTCCCCAGTCAAACCGCAGCCCCAGAGTTCTCGTCCTTGGCTGCATCAGTGGAATGCCCTCTTCCACCAAAACTTTGAGAAAAGGAGACTGCCACGGTGCTGTGAACGCGATCCACCACCCAATAGGTACCACCTCCTCCTCCCATCCACATCGTCTGACCTTCACGGATAACACCAGCTTTGGGTGGCTCCTGACAGGTGATCATCATGACCAAAAACATGAGAAAAAAACGTGGGATCTGTCAACGTGAGGTCCAACATTGCACTTCATGTCCCACGTTTATCAACCAGGAAAATCGACATCTCTCCTCGAAGGTCAAATGGGTGTTCAGCAGCGACCAACCGGTGTAGTCCCAAACTCCTGGTGCAAAACTTTCACAAATCCGTCTGACGACCAGTCAATTTTTTCTTAAATGCCAACAAATGTTCCTGAAATTTGTTGGTTGCATCCCATCATCATCCCATCTTAGCCAACTGGCGATTCTCCGCAGCCTTGTGATTTTATCACCTTTCTATACTAATTTTATCTAGTTTTTCTTGGTCAAACATGGGGCCAAAAAAACCCAACACGGCCCATTTTGTTTCCATCCTCCAGGGCTTCTCCCGGATGCATCATGCCATCCTGGCAGGCGACCATCCTGCAGCCGGAATTCTGGGTTTCCTGAAATGGGGGATCCCAAAATTGTTCCCAAATGCTCCATGTATGGAATATTTACCTACAAAACTGGGTCATTTTGGGGGAAATGTAGGTAAAATGGTTCGCATCTGGGGTTGGTTTATTGAGAACTGAGGGAAGCCCCGTTTTAGGAAACCTCCTTTTTTCTGGTTGAAACATGTTGAAACCACTAAACCATCACAATTTATGAACTGCCGGGTGATAAAACTTGGATTCGATTCACCACAGCAGCATCTATACTGACTTCGTTGTGGCCTGCTTGCAACACCAACAAAAACTCCTGGATTTCATCGATTGTCAATTTTCCAGTTTCGAGATGTTTCGAGTTCTGATTTCGGATTGGTCGTTTCCGGATTCTCAACGTTTGATTGAGCCCAATTGGGTTTCTGCAGTTTCCACTGAGTCGCAGTTTGTAAATCGGATAGAAAATGAAAACTATGTGTCACAGAGCAGGCCTTTATTGTACAGAGAACTCCCTTTGAAAAAAATGAACTATTATACAGACCTTGTAGTCTGCAAATACCTTTTTGAATCGCAGAGCAGATCATAGAGGTGCCTTGTAGCAGAAGGCAGCATTTCTCACTGGACGAAGTACTTTGGACGACACAACAGGAGTGGCACGTTGTAACAAGATACCGTGCTTTGTAGAATTGGGTAGTGCTTTGAAGTGAAGAGTGGTGTTTTGCAAGTGCAAAGCAATACCGTCCTGCACAAAAACGAGAAGTGGCTGGTCACACAGGGGTCACTTCTTGCTACAGGGTACTGCTACAAAGGAAGCTTTGTATACAGGGTAACAATCTAATAAGTGAAGTAGTGCGTCAAAGAAACGTGGTATGCCAAGTAGGTGTGAGAAGAAAAATCGGACATGCTGAGCTTGCCTTGCCATATGGACCGCCACAATTTTTACAGCGGCCAGAATACTTTGCAGTATGTCACGTCTTACTGCCTCAACCACTACAGTTCATTATCACTGTGTAGATCACTCACTCACTCACTCACTCACTCACTCCCTCATTCACGCATTCACTCCTTCATTCATTCACTCATTCACTCATTCACGCATTCACTCTTTCATTCTTTCTTTCTTTCGTTCTTTCGCTCTTTCTTTCACTTGCTCATTCATTCTTTCACTCCCTTTAACTTTTCCAGTCTCTCGTTCAATTTCCTACTCATTCTTTTGGATTTTGATTTTGGATTCTTGGTTTTGCGATTGAATTCTTTCTTCTTTCGATTCACGCTTCTTGGCTCTCGTCTCTCAAATTCTCCGTTCGACTCAGGATTCTTGATCTTCGAATTTGGAAGTTGACTCTGCTGTCAAGCCAGTCCTCCCTGGATTTGTTGCAAGGCCTCTACTTTGACCCAATGTTACCTCATCCAATGTTATTCAACGGGTGAAAGCACTTTTCGCTGGGGGGCTTGAACTGTCCATAGACAGTTTCAACACTCGACCTCATCCACACTGCAAAACTCGAAACATTTTTGAAATATGTCATTGAAACTGAACAACAGCTGATGATCCAGTACCCATATCTTCCACAGAGTTTCTTGATAAAACAAACACCTTGGATCCTGAACGGACGGCATGTCTGCCACCGTTGCCATAGCTACGGTTTTCCCATGCTTCCAGTGGCCTGGGCATCTGGCATGATGCTGCAGATGCCAATGACATGTTCAACCAATGTCCTTCCGGCCGTACTCGACTAAGCTGTCTTGCCAAAGGCTTTGCAACGTCTTTGGTCGAAGGATTTGTTTGCCCGTTGCTGATCGCCCTGCACCACAAGCAATGCTTAGGCAAGTGTAAAAGAATGTCAAAGACCACGTGATCCACGTGAATGTGTTTGAAACAGCAAAGGCTCAAAGTCTGGACCTTCTCAGTTGAACTGGAGTTATGAACATCTATGAACATCTATGAACATCTTTGAACATCTATGAACATCTATGAACTATATAGGCTATAACATAGCTATGACATATAGAAGTCGGAAACCAGCACTTCCCTCAGTAACCTGTGAGCAACATCTGGCAGAACTTTACATAGTCCTCCACTGTGCTCCACATTCCCGGATCCTCACAGCACCGTCGCTGGTGGAGGATCCGAATTGCTTCAGCTTGCATAAACGCACTTCTTAAAAGTCGCCATAAGTCACCACAATTGGATACAATTGGTTGAATTCACATACAGTACACAGTTAATAAATTGGATGTCAGCACAAGAACAACGTTCCTCAACATCTTGGATGCGACATAAAAACATCCCGAAAACATGCACAACATCCCAGCATTTTATGGCATTTTTCGGGCCATTAAGTTGATGACTGGATCCAAAACTGGGCAAGTGGCATGGTAGCTGAGAATGCCACCACCGCCGCTCATGATTCCATCAGCTCTTTCAGCATGTTGCCACACCTGCTGATGATTCCATGGTATGCATTGAAACAATGGAACCAAAACAATGGAACCAAAAGATCAAAAAGAAGCATCTTAAGAGATCTTAAGAGGGCAATGTGAATCAATGTGAATCAATGTGAGCTCGCAACGAAAAAAAGCTAATCCCTGCAACACCGAAAGGCATTGCTGCACGATGCTGCACGATGCTGCACGATGCTGCACGATGCTGCGCGATGCTGCACGATGCTGCACGATGCTGCACGATGCTGCACGGCTTCAGCGTGCCTTGCAGACATAGTTCCCGGCAACTCGCTGGCAGTCGTACAGAGTTGCTTGTCTAGACCTCTTCTTAGCCTTGGGCGCTTCATGGCTCTTCCAAATCTGTTCACACAAAAAAATGCCTCTCTTGTGAGTTTCATAAACAAACAAACATTGCAGTGTACACGCCAACTATTGGGCCTATGTTGGCCTATATAATGGCCTATATAATGGCCTACATATATACACTATATACGCATATATATATATATATACTCCTATAATCTGTTTATAGTCCCTTGAAATACTTCAGTTGTGGCGAGAACTCTTGGACCGTGCAAGCGTGCAAGCTACTGGCACCACGAAGTGTGTGTCGCGCATGCCCAAGGGATCCAGCAAGGCTTTTTTCATGAAAGCCTCCAGGGATTTCCCACTGACCTTCTCGCAGACTCGTCCCAGAAAGTCCGTACAGAAGCTGTAGGTGTAGCAAGAACCTGAAAACAGACAGAAACATGTGGACATCAAAAAAAAACATTCAACAATGGGCATGACCCCAATAAATTATAATATACATTATAATACATTCAGGCTCTTGAACTATCAACGAAGCCAGCTACTGGTTGTCTTTGCAAACCGAAAATGATTCTGCCATGACAGTCATGGTCGGATTCGAAGATCTGAAGCGAAATCAGAAGATTTCCACGGGAAGTTTCACCACAGTTCCCTATTGAACATGGCCCATTTAGTTCGTTGATTTACCTACTAAAGATGGTGTTTTTCCATAGCTATGGTTACCATAGGGTGTTCCAGCCTGGTTCATTTTGCAGTGGTTGTTCTGCCAGTGCTTCACACATGGCCGCCAGTGTGCGAATTTTGCCCTGGCGAATTTGCTTCATTGCACCACGATAGGCAGGGCAGTCCTTGAACAGGACACAACTCTGCACAAAGGCGCAGCTTCCAATTCTACAATTATCAAGAAACACCACTTACTCTCTGGATTTAATGGGATTTAATGGGATTGAACCAGGATTGAAATGGGATTTAATGGGATTTAATGGGATTTACCCTCTGGTAAACAAACATAGCTACAGTATTGAAAATGGCCCAGTCGAAATAGTGAGTTTTCCCAGCTATAAAATGGTGGACCTTTCCATAGTTATGTGACAGTTTACCAGAGGGTAAAATCCAACCGGTTCTATTGCTAGTTCACCAAGGTTTAATCAGAGGCCTAAGGTCTAAAACTGTCAGGGAATATCGCCCAAAATGTGGGGAGATCATTTTAGGTACCTGAATCGTCTAAATGAACGCATGAATGCTACATGGACTGCTTACAAAGTAGTGCCTAGATAGCCAAGTCGGCTCACAACTCCAATATGGCTGATGATACTTATAACATCTTATAACTATGGCTACTTTTCTAGTTTATACACCAACATAAACCAACAAACATAAGGCCCCCCGGTCCCCCATGGGTCCCCCCATGGGTCCCCCATGGTTCCTGATACTGAAGTCCCGCCGTCATGGTCAACAAATTCCGCAGAGTTGGTACCGTCTCCACAGCCTTTGGCTTCTTGGCCTTAGTGGCCTTGACCTGCGCGATTCCGTGGTTAAAAAAAGACCTATGTTTTCGGGTCTAAGTATCATAAACCATTAGATTACCAATGATAACTATATAGTTGAGAAACACGCAGTGGCGGCAGCTGATCCTTTTACAGGAAACGACGGGGCCCGTCAGGGGGCACATCTGCGCCTAAAAGGCTTCAGAAAGAAACCTGCAGCTCAATGTACACAGCAAAATGGTAAGCACTGTTCAGTCAATGGGTGCAATAGGTAGCTAAATTCACAGCTCCCAAGAAAATGTTTTTGACTGAAACCTGTACTGGCTTACCTCTTGTTGTAACCGTACTCTTTACGGTTATTCAAACGTGCACCAAGCGCTGCAGACTGTCCATCAAGAAGGGCGCAGTCGAAGGCTATCAACATATGTCCAGCCTGCGTCTTTCCATTCTTCGCATTTGCCCATGAAGCGTCAGAGATAACCCCCCAACGCTTCTGTCACTTCATCTTTCTTTTGCTTCTTTCGCTCTGGTGTCAGCTCCACCATGTGTAAACGTTCTTCGACAAACGCTTGCATGTCAATCAAAAAGTCACTGCCGACCTTTCTCAGCCTCCTTCCGTTGAAATCAACGCCCTGTGCATCAATCTCCCTCATTTTGCCAAAGGTAAATCTCTCCTGAAGTTGTTGAATCTTCTTTTCATGCTTTTCACCACCAAACATGAGTAAATCATCTACCTCCACTGAGATTACCCCTTGTAGCTCCTCTTCTCCATCCTCTCCGTCCTTGTCAAAAAGGTGATAGGTGCATGGGTCCAGGCTCGACTGTTTGTATCCAAGCTCTGCTTGGATGAAGTCAGTCAATGTCAGACGCCAATTGAGTGGTGCGTCGACCAATCCATAGCATCCCAAAATGATTTCAGCAAGTTGGCCTTCCTGTAGGCCCGGCATGCTCCCATGAAATGACCTGCAATACAATGGGCCTCCACTTCGCTGCAGAGGGCGGCTTTGGGTAAAAGCCGATTTGAGATCTCCTACCAATCCTCTGAATCTCCTGTTGGCCGCAACCTGGAAGATGACCTGCAAGTTGGAGGTCGTCACTGTCGGGGCAAAACGAGAAAGCGACAAAATGTCTGGATCCTTGTCTCCTCGAATGCAAAAACGGCTCTTCTTCACTCGAGGTGCGCCTGGGCCCTCACCAGGCTTGTATCTTCTAACCATTCTGCTTGGGATCACTCGATCTGTCTTTCCTTCTGCCTCCAAACGTGCCCAAACCTGCTTTGACTCCTCCACGCTCAAAATCCTGAGCGCTCCACTGTCAACAATCTTTTTGAACTCTTCTGCATCTTGAACCTTCCATTCTGGCCACTCTTCAGCTGGTATTTCATGTGGAAACACCTCGCCTTCACCTCGCTTTTTCTTTGGTGCTGCCTTCTGAGTCGAGTCAGCTAGAAAATGAGCATCCACCGAAAACTCGGTAATTCCTCGCCACCAAGAAATTCTCTCTTCCTTTTCCGTAAACAAAGACCACTCATCATCCATCTGCTTTGGCTTCCCTGCACTGTCCATCCACTTTGTTCTCCTTGCCTTCTTCAACGCTCGCAATGGCACTGGACATCCAGAAGCATGAGCTGGATTGAAGAGCTGCTTTCTCCATGCTACATGATGACGTTGCACCACCTCTCGATGCACATCGAAAACCCAGTAATCTTTCTTCGGACGCTCCTCTTCTTTCTCCTCTGACCCTTCTTCACCCTGAAAGAAAACTTCAAACTCGCAAAAATATGGCTGTTGCAAATTTCTCCTCCATCTTGGCAAAACCTTGTCTCGAATGGCATCAAAGGACTCTTCTGGAAGACCGTCTAATCTCCTCACTGCTGCCTCTGATTCTACCATCTGACGTGCCATCTCATCTGTAAGCACTGGCATCTCACTCGGGAACTCTGGTGCTGCTACTATGTCTCCTCCCACTGCTGGTGTTGACGCAGCGGGAACTTCTCCTTCAGGCTCCAAGACAGTCTGATGTGAACCTTGCCGTGGAACTGCGGTTCCTTCAGAAGCTGCTTCTTCCTCATTCAACCTATGCTGTGCTTCAGCCCCTTCTCCATCTTCTGCCTCTGGTGAGTCTCCATCCTCCAATCGAGGTCTTGGCCTGCCTCGAACCTCACCTTCCGCTTGCACCTCATCTGCCTGATCCTCAATGGCCTCCGCTACCTCTGGCCACGGCTCACTTGTGATGTCCCGATAGCCAGCTCTGTGTGAACTTCTTTTAAGCCTCTCTTGCATCTCCTCACATTCCTCAGAAATGATTTCAACTCCAAGACGCTCGTCTGAAGTTGCATGGCGTACCTGTTCTGTTGCCGCACGCCACAGTTCACCCAACATGTTGATCCAAACCACTGAGCCTTCAGTAGCCAGCACATGACCTGGCCCAACCCATTTCGCTCTTTGTGCTCTTGGTTGGGCTGCTGCTGCTCCATGTCGCAAAGCCTTTTGACGCCGCAGTGCACGAAAAACGTACACCAAATCTCCTGCTTTGTATGTCTGTTGCACTCTGGGCCTTGCTTTTAAGGCTTTGGCAGCTGCCTCCCTCGAAGACAACTTCATAAATGCCTCCTGTGCCACTCTCCTCATTTCCATCATACGTTCAAACTCATCAGTCTGGCCCTGTGACTGCAACGCAGGATCAAGAGCTTCATCACTAAGCAAACTGCTAGGCATCCTTGGCCAATGCCCAATCTGTCTCTGAGTTGGGCTGAAACCGGATCTGTTTGAATACCGGTTCTTCGCTGCTTCACATGCGTGCAGCAAATTGACCAACTCCTCTCTCGAAGTTGGGGGCAGCTCCTCTCTGCCCTTTTCCAACATGGCCTTCATCAGACCTCCATGTCTCTCAACCTTTCCTTGTTGCCAAGGAGCCCTAGCCGCTGCTCGGAAAATGATGACACCCGCATCAGCACAGATACGAGCCAGACCTCCTCTGAATTCTCTCCCTTCATCCACAGTGATGAACTGAGGAAGACCAAAAGTGCGAGCCCAGGTTTTCCACACTGTGTGCCAAATATGCATAGGCTCTTTGGAATCCAACACCTCTACCATCTGATAGTTGGTACCCAAATCCACCAAATTCAGCACAGGAAGGGTCCGATGGTTTCGTTCATCGGGCACATAGAAGACATCAAGCCCAAGCGCCACTCCCGGCGCATAGCAACGAGGAACCACCGCTGGACGTGGTGCTTTTGGCATTGCCTGGCTCTGGCAGGTTCCGCAAGTGAATTCCTTTGCCACCCACTGCAAAATCTCCTGCCGAACTCTTCCGGCTCTCAAAAACCTCAAGAAACTTGCTTTGTTTGGATGGCCTAGATTCACATGCATCTTTCTGATTTTCACTCGATCTTCTGCTGAAACTGAAACCTCAACCTGCCTTGAGCTTGCTTCTTCTACTCTCGCAACTTCTTCCTCCTCCTCATCCTGATCCTCCTCAGATGCACCGCCCAAACTCTCTTGCTCTTCTTCTGCACCTTCTGCTGCCAAAACAGAAATGAACTCCTCAGAGGGTTTTGCTTGAAGACTCTTTCTCCTCAAATGCTTGCGCAGGCCACAAATGATGGCCTGACACAGTGCCGGAGGATACTCGGCCGCTTTTGCCGCGCGACCTCCCATGAGGGTCTCATGAACATGGCCTCCCTCACAAACAAGCTGAAGTTGTGCTGCTATCTCTGGCGAGTTTGTGATCATAGTGGTGGCCTTCTTGTTCAATTCCTTGTGAACCCTCATGCCGTACCTGCACATGTTGAAATTGCAAACATGAACACCAGGAAGTCTCTTCAGAGCCTCCAACTCCTTTTCTTCCCAAGCCTTAGAAGGCCGAGGATGCTCGAACAAGAAGAGACGACCTTGTTCGTACTGACGTCGGCAAACCTGAGCTGACGTACGTACATGTTGTAGGCCTTCTCCAACAACGCTCATCACCTTTGCAAAACTCATCTTGGGAAAATTCAACCTCTGAAGTGGACTAAAAGGACCGCACGGCGGACTGCAAGCCACAAGTTCTGGCTCCTCTGCAGCCAGCGCTTTTCTCATTCTTTGAAGATCCTTCTTCTTTCGGAGGTCGTACCCGGTCAGTATGTCATAGGCACCTCCAGCTCTCAAGTGCTGTCTTTCTGCCTCTGCTGTCAACCTAGGCTTGCTGAACACCTCACTCACATCAACTTGAAAGCTCTTCTCCTCCAAACTTTCCTGGCGAGACTTTTCTGCCGCTCGCAATTGCGTCTTCACCTTCTTCGGTAAAGCTGTTTCTTCCACCTCTTCCAGCTCATCCTCAAACCTCAATTTGTTGTTCATGTTAATCTTCACCAAGCATTCAGCATCCTCTTCTGTCAACTCTTCTATGGAAGTGCTGCACATGCCATCTTCAAACTCTACAAACACCTCCTTCGCTTCAAAGAAACCCGTGTTCTGCAAGGCTCTCAAACGCTCTGCAACTCCTCCATGCTGCCTCAATCGAACCCATGTCTCTTCGACTTGGAATGGGTCCTGTTCTTGCTGGTGGCAGCATTCTTCACGCGGGTTCTCTGTGACTCGCTCCTGCCTGACCTCTGGTGCATGACTGCATCCCACTCCTCGTCGCTGGGATCCGCTCTCGAGGCTGAACTGCTGTTTGCCCTCGCAATCTCTCTCTGCAGGGCTTCCAGCTGCGCCATTTCCTTCTGCTCTTCCCAACGCCGATGGGCGTATGCATGCATCTCCGCATCGTGGTATCCTTTGTGCTCTTGATACTCCTGGCCCATCGCCATGCATGCAAACTCTGACATCATGATGTCTCTGACCTCCAATGCCTCCCTCAGTTGATCCATCTCCACTCGATGCTTTCTCTGTTCTGCTAACATCATCTCTTGATCCACTGCCACCTTCTGCTGCAGCTCCTCGGTCCACTGACCCATCAAGGTTCTCTGCTCGGACAACTGAATTGCCTGTGAAGCCTCGCTCTTGCGAAGCACCAGACATTCCCTCTTCAGCGCTGCTGCTATTGTTGTGGCCTCCTCGCTCTGAACACCCTTCTCCTTCTCGGCTGAACTCGCTGCCTCCTTCTTCTTCTTTGCCGGCTTCTTTGAGGACATTGGGAGTGCCCAGCGGGAGTGACAATCCATGCATGTCACCCATGCCGCCCACTGGTTCGAGCCCCTCATAAGCCTCTCTGCTTTGTGCTCGCACTCGTCCGCAGACTTCACCGCTGCCACCTTGGTCTTGAGCGGTGGCAGCCTCTCTGCATGTGCGATGTGCGCGGCGAGTTGCTCCGAGGACCATGTGGAGGAAGCTGTCACCTCGCTGGTCACTGGCAGCCATGAGTGCACCGATTCCTCCAATCCAAGAAGACGCTGGACTGAAATGACTTTGTCCAGCATTTGCCTCCAGTGCTTGACTGCTCGTTTCGAATTTGGTGCTCGCCCATGGTCTTCCGCCGCTGCAGGCACGGCTAAAGGCCGCTGAAGGCGCTGACGCAGCGCAGCAAGCGTATTCAACGCCATGGGCAAGACTTGAAGAGGGTTGAAAATGCGAAAGCATCACCTCATTTGACTGGGAAATTGAACCAAGAGCATTTCGGAAGTCGCTCTCCTGGTATGGCATCTCTCCGCATGACTCCAAATGAAAACCCTTCTCACCAAAATCGACTATCTCTATGGCCACATGCCCACTTGGCAAAACATTCAAAGGCAGTGTTCGCTGAAAATGCGAAAAATGAATGCAAAGTGCAGGCAGATCAATCACCGCTCCAAGCTGTCTCAACATGCGAATAGGTAAAAGAAGTGGTACTTCACCTTCAACCACCGTGGCTTCTAATATGCCTGTGTTCCCTCCAATGCCCAGTGGAATTGCTACTATACCAATCACCTTTGCAGCACCTCCAACTCCATGCGCCTTTGCCTTTCTACCTGTCCATGAAACCTGCAAGCCCAAATCTGCAAGCTGAACTTTTAGCCGCTCCAAAGCTTGATGGCCGATCAGGCCGTCTTGCGCCGCCGTGTCAACAACGGCATAGGCTGGGTTTGTCATCAGCCCGATGAAGAAAGTTGCACCGCTCGACAAAATGTCTTGTGGCTCAAAACATTGACTAAGCCCTATTGGCTCACCCGTCATCTCTAAGGGACTACTCAGTTTAACTTCATGTCCCACATCAATCTCCTGATCATTTGCAAAACTGCTATCAGAAGAAACCAAATCTTCTTTTCGTGTCATACCCCTACACGAAAACCCAAAACAACTACTAACACACTGCAAGCTGCCGGAAGATTCGCCCATGGCCACATACCAACTCTGCTGGCTCTGCGAACTGCTGCCAGCTTTCGAACTTGCCATAGACGTCGAATTGGATCCACGCTGAAGACCAACTCGATCTGGCGGATTGGTGCACTCACGAGCCCAATGGCCTATGAGCCCGCACCTTCCACACTTTGTTCTCAGCTTGAGCTCTTCTATGTGAATCTTGCGACGCCCAGCGAACTTCCCAGCAAGCTTTCCGCTGGATTTCCCCTGCGGACCCCGTCCTTTGCCGCCACCAAAGTATTGCCTGTTCTTCTGTTGCATGGTGATGGCCTTTCTCACCTCTTGATATGTCGCCAGCGCCATCTGCGCCTCGCTTTCCTCGTAAATCTTGTCAAGGTCGCCTCTTCCACCAGGATGTACATCTCCTCGTCATCAAGATTCTCGGAATCCTGGGCGAAGGTCTCGGTGAGAGTGACGTCCGCTGATTCATCATCCTCAGGAACATCTTGCAGGAAAACACCAGCCGACTTGACTGGGATCACAGTGTCCAACCTTCTCAAGCTTGCCACTACGGTCTTCCAATCAAACTGGCCTTTGCTCCATGTCGTGAATTTCAGATCTTGCGCCTCAGTGAGTGACGCCTGACGATATGCCACATATCCCCGCGCAGTCTCATCCAGTTGAAGCCCTTCTTTTGTCAAAAGGTAAAAGGCACGTTCCACTCGGATGAGGTACTCTTGAATTGTTTCTTTGCTTCCCCTCGGTGCACCGTATACGGCACGTTCAAAAGCTCTTGGCAAGCTAAGCTCCAAGTGCGGGGCAAAATGGGCTTTGAGGGTAGATAACAGGTTCTCTACCCCTTTCTCGCAGGCAATCTCTTCAAACTCCAGGTTGTCAGCTACTGACCTTGCAACCCCTGTAAGATTGCGTAGCAACCTCACACCTCTCTTCTTCATTTCTAGCTCTGACTCGTACATCCAAAGCTTCACATTCTTCTCGTAGAGCAGCAACTGAACTGCAGGATCCGTACCGTCCCATGACGGCGGAGGTGGCTCTTTGCCACCAAAGCCAACGGTCTCGCTGGTCGCCATTGCAGGCTCCGCCTACCACTGAGAAACACGCAGTGGCGGCAGCTGATCCTTTTACAGGAAACGACGGGGCCCGTCAGGGGGCACATCTGCGCCTAAAAGGCTTCAGAAAGAAACCTGCAGCTCAATGTACACAGCAAAATGGTAAGCACTGTTCAGTCAATGGGTGCAATAGGTAGCTAAATTCACAATAGTATACTAGTGGTACTATAGCTATAATGGTTATAAATGGGTTTAAGCAGATAGTACAAAGCCATGGTTTCCTAATGGTTTCCGATGGTTTCTGGTTCCGATGTTTCTTTTAGATCAATTGAAATTATTGATAAAACATCCCGGAAAAATCAACTTAAGAATCTCAACTATTTTTTTTATGTCACGGGATACATCGTGGAATTTTATTTCATGGCCATTACCCATAGGATCCATGTATGGTATATATGCTAACATTTGGGGTATATTGATGGTAAATGTCACCATATATAGCATACATGGATCCTATGGGTTAGTGGGATGTCACAAAAATCCTGTGGGATGTCTTTCCGGAGCTACCCTAAACCCACATCGGGCTGGCGCCTCAGAGAAGGGGATGTATTTGGAGACCGGATCTGAGAGCTTCACTTTGCCACTGTCAACCAAGGTCAGGAAAGCACAGGCCACCAGCGGCTTCGTACAGCCATGGAGTTTGCATAGGCTCCTCTCCGCGACATGGGAATTGGTGGAAGCAAAACCGATAAAACCTACCAACCTTCAACTAAAACAATCTAAAACCTAAAAAGACATGCAGCCAACTCGAGGTTGTGAGTTTTCACTCTTCGCATTCTTCCAAATGCATCCAAATGCAACTATAACATACCATAGCATATTTGAAATACTATAACATATCATCCTATGACATACACTATAATTACACAAGACAGCGTACAGTGAGTATGATACGTTTACATACGTCTACCATTTCAGACCTCCAATTCTTCCCTTAAAAAAAAAAACACCAATAAGAATCACCAAGTCCTCAAGGTGAAGTTGCTTTCCTTGGAGCCTTTTCCATCTCCAAAGGCCACCACACATTTCCCGTGTCGCAGCACCACATGCGCCGCATCCGCCAGCGCTCCGCACTTCACCTCCGCCGCCACGCTGCGTCGCAGTTCCTCCAAGGGCGCCGCGGCCAAGCCCTCGGCCTCCGGCGTGGACCGCGGGAAGCCACAGAGGGACGAGGACCTCGATGACGACGCTGGGCGCTTTAAGGTGCCCACCATGGCGGCGAATGGCAGGTGTGATGGAAAACTGGAGAAAAACCTCTGATTTCTTCGCTTACGAATCTTATCAGACTTATCCGGATTGTCAGGATTCTAATTTAATATATGAAGTCAGAGGTCTGGTGGGAATGTCGGAAGATGTCGGAAGAGATTTTCAATTTATCTTCCTATTTTTTTTGAAGCAAAGCTATCATAGGGTACGAGTAGCAAGTACGTTGGTCTATGAGTGCTGATTCATCCAGGATTGATTGTTCCGCCGTGAATCTGCATGTCTGAGAAAACTTTGTGCTAAAGCCTTGGCAAAAAGCAGCACCATGCCCAGATGCTCCATGGTGCTGGAATATTTACCTACATATGGGTCATTTTTGGGGTAAATATATAGGTAAATATTCCATACATGGAGCATCTGGGATGGATAAAATTGAAATCCGTAAACCTTCTGCCTTGGCTTAAGACTTTCATCCCACCCTGCCAGATTTCTGTAGATGTCTGAAACTTCTTCGATCCGGGCTGTAAGGGCTGACCGAAAGGAATTGCCATGAGATATCAACGACAACAGTTTTAAGAACTTTTAACCATCCAATGGATGGTAAATACATATATACATACAAATTTTATTTACATGTTACATCATGTTACCATATCATCAATATTGACAACTTTTCTAGCTATCCAATTAGCGACAACAACTTTTCATCCAGCAGCTTGAATCTCATCTGCCACCAGTGAGATCCCACAAGATTTCGTGCCTCACCCAGGCTCTCCTCTTGCGAAGTCCTGGTCGTTTTGAAGACGTTGTGAAACTAATTGAACCAGTTTTTATGTGTTGTTACTTGTTACATGTGTATATATACATATATATATATACATAATCCCTGTACGAGTTCACCGGGTCAGGTTGGGGCCTGTGATTTTCTACTAGAAAATGAATGTTGTATAAATTAGGGACCCAAAAAAATCTAGCTACAGACATAAAACCAATTTGAGGTATCCTAGAAAAATGGCAACCCCCAAGAAGTGCATTTTCGAAGCTATGGATAGCATTTTTTCTTAGAAACTATATCTATAATATATATGATCTATATATATATATATACATACATATATGGTGTGTATGTATATATATATATACATACACGTATGTTTCCCAATAGTTTACATTACTTCAAAAGCGACTTGCAACCCTACAGCAAGCAATTCCATGCAATTCCTACCTTCAGAGCCTTTAGTACCAGCAGGTCTGGATTTCATCACACAGCCACCACCCAAAAGCGCCTGATGTACTCGAGTAAAGGCTCAGAGAGTGATGGTGCCTGGCAAACTTTTTCGCCAAACATTTTGTGAGTTGGAAACTAGAAATGTCTATAATTCCATCCCCCTAATACCATAAAGTCCCCAGAATTCTCTGGTGTATTGGCCCTTTTTTTCCATTCAATAAGCGGTGGTATTTGACATATCTATGAGGATCTGCCCTTGGATGCCGCCTGACATTGCAACCGTCGACTTTGAAGAGATGACGTGGGTACCAAAGGACATGGCAAGTCCTTCGCAGCCGAGTCTGGGGAAATCGACTGGACATTCCGAATGCTTCGGTGCCATTCAGACGCAAGAAAGTCACTTCTGGGTCTCAAACCATCCCAATAGAAAGTGAAGTCACTAGAGTCGCTAGAGTGTCTCAAATATTCGAGAAAACCATCCCAGTCCGCCCAGATGCGAACCATAGTGCTGGAATATGCACACCTACAAAACTGGGGCATATTTTTTGGGGTCTTTATGTAGGTGTGCATATTCCAGCAGCATCCATGGCAGTTGAACTGCCGGGTAGTCCTGGATGGTCCCATTCTGCAGGGCCAAACGGATCACCACCTCTTGCCGGAAGATCTCGGGATGAAAGCCCCGTCCACCGATATCCAACAGAGCTCCACCGTGCCAGCTTCCACTGCTGGGAGACACCTGGCTGATCAGAATGTTGGATGTTGGATGAGCTCAATCTTTTTTTTGAAAGGATACAAAAGGTAGACCACATAGACAGTTCAGTGACTTCCGAGTCGGGTTTAGTCGTTCTAAGTTCCACAGTTGTGGAATCCGAGCTTTTTGACTTCAAAGCATATGGCATGAGGCCTGAGTCACTGCAAAGGCGTGGGAGAAGAAGACCCCCCTTGGCAAAGCAATGATCGACAGCATTGCTTATGATTAGAAATTTGTTGAACAGCACAGCTGTGATGCCAAAAAAAAATGTGTTCTGAGATGTGCTGCTAACGAGAACTAACGAGAACTACATTGTGGGATCCTGTTGAAACACAGAATGGAGCAGTGCTCAAAACCACCGTCATTCCACCATACTGGTTGGTTGTGAGCATCCCCAACATATTGGAAACAACCAACTACAATGTGGAATGATCACAACATATCACAACCAACTACATATAATGGTAACCCCTTACAATCAGTAATCAATCAGTATAGTATGTATAGTGGAAACTATAACATATTAATTAACATTAATTACAACCTTGGAAACTTTCTAAGCCCTTACAATCATTATTACGTAACATATAGTAACCCCATACTTAGACCCCTGAAGATGCCGAAAAAAGTGTGAAGAATCCCAGGAAATGGTGCCCTAGGTGCCCTCACGGCGTGACCAAGGCAAACCCCCAGCCCAGCATCCACAGCCTGGCTGAGGCGAATACGTGGGTGGCAGCCAGGTGGCAAAAAAAACATGGCAAAACAGGGGGATTTATAGGCTGATAGAGGCTGATATATAGGCTGAAAGCAGTTGATACAGGCTGTTTCAGCAGTCCGCTTTCACTGCTTTCACCCTTTGAAAGCTATGACTCCATCAGTTGAAATGTGTTTTTCTATGTCATTTCAGACTCCCTGGGCTCCCTGCTGTACACGGCTCTTCCCAGATGCCGTGGGCGGATGCCTCGGCTTTGCGTTTGGGAAAAGGCCATGGTTATCCGGACTGGTTATGACCATCCCCCTTAACCGAATTGGTGGGGAAAAATGTCGTGAAATCTATGGGATTGTATTATCCATATATGGGATTGTATTGACCATCATATGGGATTGGATTTTATTGTATCTACCCAACATATCAATTATCCATATATTGTCCATACCATGTCCCCCAACCATATGGTCAAGTAACCATTGTTTTGACCATGGCATGGATAAATGTCGTAGACATGCGAAAGCATCTTCAGCTGATAGCTGAGTGTCCCCCACCGAATGAGAAAACAACTCAGCGATGTTGGCGTTGACTCCTGGCATGCTGCCAAAAGATGCCATTTTAGCATCCAAACACAATTTCCTCAACTGCAATCTGGCAATCTGTGATGATCGTGATATATCGTGATGGTGATTTACTCCAACCACTATTTAAAAAAAGGACTCAACCTGAATGACTTGGCACTGGGCCTCAATGCGACAACTTTGTCCGCCAATATGAAGCACCTTAGCATCGACCATGCATCAACCGTATCGGCCACGGCGGCCACGGCGTTGGGCTTCGGGCCACATGCTTCGCAAGCGCTGGCGGAGTAAAGGGAGCTGTACCTCGAGCAGCGCGGAAGAACTCGGAATTCCCAGGTCTGTCAAGGTTTCGACATATTTCATATTCCTACATGTTTCTACTGCATCGAATACAAGAAAGAGATCATGTGAGGTATTGATACTAAATTTGTTTTTCGTTCGATCACCCCCTGATGATTGTTTTCTTCAGCTTTCTGAGCTTCAGGCGTGACACAATGGGAAAGCCAAAGCCAGTCAAGAACACCATTCCACCTTGGCAACTGCGGAGAGTGAGACTTCGCATGACTTCGCAGTTGCTGCATATTGGACTCCATTGGACCTCTCTCCAATGAATCAATCTGCATCAATCTGCATCAATCGGCTAATATCAACACGCTATTGGTATTGGGAATGAGATGTCTCAGGGAATCGAAGGATGTTGATCGCGAGGAATCTCCACCACTGCCATGAATGAAGCATCACGGCCAAGGTCCCCTAAGGTAAAGCAAGTCCTTCCCCTTGTGCAGCAAGACTCCAAGTGGCAGTATCTCCTAACTACCTGGATCTCTCGCCAGGAACAAGGTTCGAAGCTTTATTGGGTTGACATCATTTGGCTATCAGCTATCCCATGAAAAAAGTGAAGCCCATCCCAAACCATATATACCCCAAATATATCCCAAACCATATCCCATATATATCCCCAAAATACCCCTGTAAATTACCCCCTGCCCCCCAGTGGCCCCCACTTTGTGGGCTTAAAATGAAGCCGCTGGGGTATTCCTATCTACAAAATGAAATCCTATAACCCCAGCTATAACCCAGGCTGTCTACAAAATGTGAGCCTCCAGGGGACCCAGCTCTCAGAGGGGATTTCACCAAAATTCCCCAAATCTATCCCATATATCTCCCGTATATATATATATACGATATATATATATATATAATCCCATCTATATATATATATTATATATCCCTTAAATAACTTCCCAGAATTTCCCGGCTGGAATTTTTCCACCATCCCAAGTGTCAACAAAACAACCTTCGCCGTTTTTCAATTCCAAGGCACTCATCGCCGCGGAGCGTTCGGGTGTGATGCCAGTGACCACTGAAGTCACTGCACTGGAATAGTTGAAGAAGATCTCTGTGGCCTGTGATCAAGATTGATCAAGTTCCATCGTTGGGATGCAACTATGATCAACTATGGCACGAGGGGAAGCGAACGCTACTGGAATTTCGACTTGCAACAGGTTAGCAACAAAGGTGGAATATGGTGGAATATGGTGGAATGAGAATCAATCAAACAGTGAGCTAATTTGAATCTGGCATTGTGAGAATTGAACTCAGGGCCTCTTACGGCGAAAGTGTGGCCATGTGCGATGCCAACAAAACATGGCAGCAACACGTAGCCAGCAATGCTCACTGGAACTGCCTTGGAAAGTCGTGCAGCTGTGCAACGGGCCAACTACCACTGAATTTCAGTGTACCCTCTGGTAAACTAACAGTTCGCTATTGAAAACGGCCCAGTCGAAATCATGAATGTTCATGAATTTTCCCAGCTATAACATGGTGATTTTCCCATTAAAAATGGTGATTTTCCCAGCTATAACATGGTGATTTTCCCATTAAAAATGGTGATTTTCCCATTAAAAATGGTGATTTTCCAGTTCGCTATGTCAGCTATTACCAGAGGCTACCCATCGCTTCGCCATATTCCGGGGGCATCCCACCAGATCCCGAGTTCCCCACGAGGTCGTCAATGAGATCACAAGTCCCCGATGGATGAATTTCGCATGCCTAGCAAAACACCAAACAGCCACCCGGCTGTACCCGGCTGTACCCTTGATTTGGAACTTGAAACTCTGAAATATTTTATATCTATTGAAATTTCCCCATCAATCTATGGCACAGGAAATCAAAGATAATCAAAGTAACCTCAAACTCTATGGTACAGGCATTTACAAATCATATACAAATCATTTTGCAGCAATTTTCAGGATATCCATGTCAGAATCACTGTGCACCTGTGGCATCACAGGTGCGGGTGGTACCATGCAGCGAATGAGTCGCCTCAAGTGGCGCTTTTGGGCTGGAAAGGTCCGCCAGGGAGGTGCCACCAGATCATTTTCACTGAAAATAGGCTACCAGTAACATGATAATCCGTGATAATATTATATAATATTACTCGTATTTACTGGTAATCATAAATAATAGAACATAACATAAAATAATGATGAGATTCCAATTGTAACTGATAATATCATATGATAATGATGATATTCCAATTTATTGTCATGACTTATTCGCTGATTTTCCCTTTAAACAGCGAGGCAGGACCATGTTCAGACGGATCCATGATGCCGCGGGGACCGGACCCCATAGGTCGAACCGTCTCCTCCTCAGTTTCGAACTGTGAAACTGTGAAACCATGGACCATCATGGACCAAAAAACCAACAAAACAATTCAAACCCCCAAGAATTTGCAGGTAAAAATATGTAAAAATTATTGGTGTCCATCAATGCAAGCTCACCCTGAACATCCCTGAACAATGTAAGTGATGGGTCAGGATTTGGTCGAACTAAAGAATTTGTCGGAGGATGTGTCTGACACTCCAAATCAGCATTTCCAACCTTCAAGTCTTTGGGTCACTTTGATCTGGTTTTCTCTGAAAATACCTCAAAATCATTCAAAAGATTTCCATTCAGCCCATCTTTTAGCGTCAATTCCCTGTGGACATTGACATAAATTAGGCATCCCCATTTTTGGGCAACTCCCCGCTACCATCATCTACTGCCCTGCCATCTTGAAAGAACTCCTCGAAGAACTCAGGTGGCACTTCCATCAGCTGCAAAGCACCGAAGTGAACCAGGTCACAGGCCTGGATCTGGGTGGTTCTGCCCACAGAATCTGGAGAGCTTCAATCTTCTCAAGTGGGGATAAGTAATTGATAATGTGATTTATTATAATTTATAATTATGTTATATTTATATATCATTGAAGATACCTAAAGCTCTCCAGAACAAATTAGGGATAATCATTGTGGCAGTTGCGCGCACCGGAAAGATTTGGAAAGGGCAAAAATGAACCAAACTTATCAAGAAGCGAAGAAAAATGAAGAAAGCATGACATGATAGGAGGGAATATGCGGAAATGAAGTGAACAAATAACTGGTTGGTGGTATACCTACTACCCCTCTGAAAAATATGAGTTCGTCAGTTGGGGTTATGACATTCCCATTTTTTGGGAAAGTCATAAAATTCCATGGTTCCAAACATTTCCAGTCACCACCAGAGAATTTCGGAGTCCCCGGGAGTCCCCAACCTCGTCACCTTGTAAGCCGTCGCCCGAGAGGACTACGACACTTCCGCCAGCCCAGCTGCCACGGGAGGGTTGGACGTCATAGAGACGTGGCAGGAAATCGATCTTCGGAGTAGGCCTTGATCTGGGTTGGCCACGAGGTGGCCAACGACATCCCAACATGGATCCTGTTTCAATCACGGGATTCTGTGAGTATGACAAACAGATACAAAATCCCATAGAAAATCATACAAAATCCCAGACATTCATCGATTTGAACATATTTCCAGTTGGAATTGAGCATAAATTGGGGTATATCGGTATAGACAAACCCAAATGCCAAGGGTTACACCCCCATTGTCTGCAGCTGTCAAGCTGCAATGCGACGGTGACGTTGGTGAACTGTGGATAGCCCTGGCCATCAACCACGACCTGCAGGGGCTTAAAAACGGCATGGCAACTCCGGGGCTGGGAACTATGCTGTGTCCAAAAAGAGGGTACCTTTAAAATCCAGTGGTCTACCCTCCGGTAATTTAACATAGCTATTGAAAATGACTATTTATAGTGGATTTACCCATTAAAAATGGTGATTTTCCATAGTTATGTTAGTTTACCAGAGGGTATCTCATCCTTTGCCCTACACAAGCCCCTTGTCATCTTTGGGTAGCGCTAGCTACCAAGCCATTCTTGGCAGATCGCCCACCTTGAGTGTCTGCAATCCTGCACGACCATCCAAAATGGTGCATCGAACATTCCACACTTCTGGAAAGGCCTTGGCTCTGTAAGGGATCCAGTAGGGGATCACAAAACATTTGAGCTCCCGAGATCCCATTATCTTTTCGAACAGCAACAGACATTTTGAGGATTTCTGAGGATTTCCCCAATTTTCCTCTGGCGTTTGGACAGTTCCAGTTGAGTTCTGAGAAATTCTGAGGATTTCCTGAATTTTCCTCTAGCGTTTGGACCGTTCCGCCGGTCACTGTGAGGGTCTGACACCACAATTTCGCTCGATGCCGTTCTCACCTGAGCTTTGGAGAAGCTCGGAAGGCTGAAAGATGCTGAAAGATTCCCAAAAATCCCCTGGTTTGGATGTTCCAACGAAATCTTAAAAGCAATTGGATGAAGACATGATTCAACCACGCAAAGTCCACTTACCAGCTTGCGAGACTGCAAGAGACTGCAAGGCGTGGCTCTTTGCGTGCCAAGCAGCAGGCAAAATACCTTAGTTGGTCGGATTATGTCGGATTCATGTGCTTCTCATTTCTTAGCAACGTGGGATTTCAATGGATTTCATTCTTGCCTCACGGTTTCACTACGTAGTATATCTGTCTTGCACGTCTAGGCCCTAGTGTCAAAAAAGGTACCCAAGGGGTACCTTTTTGGACCCACAAGATTCATCAAGATTAGTGTCAAAACATGTCAAAACCCTCCATTTCTTGGGGGATGAGTACCCAACACATCCGCCCAAAAAACTCTGGGGAATCTGCATCCGCGCCACGTGAGATTGCAGGGTGATGGTCCGACCCAGACCTCAAAGGGTGCTCGCCCTGCCGGGATCGCATCGCCACGCAGATGATTTCCATCCTGAGATTTGAAGAGAGCTGGGCGACCAAGTTCTTGGGTTCAACTACCCTCTGGTAAACTGTCACATAACTATGGAACATCACCATGTTTAATGGGAGTATAATGGAGTATATCAACTATAAATCACCATTTTCAATAGCGAACTGTTGGTTTACCAGAGGGTATGTTTTTATGGGAACTCAACTTGCTCCAGTTCGAGTCTCAAAGTCCAAACACATAAAAAAATGGAAAAACGCTTGAAACTTGGCGTTGTACCTGCAGAAACCCCATCGATATCAATGCCAATCTCCATGGGCCATTACAAAAAAATGCGCTTCTCTAAACTGCCTTAAGCCATCCAAACGCCGCATGTCGTTTATCCTCAATCTCATAATCCTTGTTGAACAAGTAATTGTCATGTTCATTGGCTCAGCAGTTTCTGTGAAAAGCAACCCTCCACCAGCAGCGAGTCACTCCGTCACTACCGATCACTTCGTGACCTACCAAGTCTCTATCCGATCAAATCGGAGGTAGAGTTCTGTCCCAACCTGGAAAGATTGGGGCAACGGCTCCAGAAAAAATGTGGGAAGGATCAAGTTCAGAATAAACGGTTTAACCATATGTTGAAACCAGAATCTGGGATATGCTAAAATATGTATTTAGGATCAAGTTTTGCAGCAAAATAGTTCACCAAATAGATCCCAATAGTGCACTGCCCCAGGTTTTTGTTACGAGTAGTTTTCTGTATGTTTGTTGCTCTCAAGATTGCCCAAACGAAGCACAGATTGGAACTGCTCGCTGCAGCCATGGATTTTCCAAGTCCAACCTACACAACAAGGGAAGCAAATATATCAAATATATTCAAATATCAAGATTGTCAGCAAATAAAGGTTGCCAATGGCACCAGTCACTTCACCAAACCAACCAGGATTGCTATGGATTGCTGATTGCACCGCATGGCATCGGTGTCTCATGTCATGTGTCTCCGGATGGCATCATTTGGTGTCGCCATCCCCTGGCTGACCTGCACTGTAAGCGGCTGTAACTCCATGAGTCGTGGCGTGAAATCCTGGAAAAAAGGGGCTGGGAATCGGCCGAGAAAAACGGAATCGGAAGGCAAGTTAAGTGGTCAACAACTCCAAAAACAACATCGTCCATCCATATATTTCCACGTGAACTCTGGCATCCATATCATCCATATCATCCATTCTATTTTGAGAAGTTTATGATAGTTTATGCATGTTTATGCTCAATCTGCGTGAGTCGCATCACTTGGTTCACTTTCCTCAACTTCATCCCATTAGTATTACCCTCTGGTTATTTAACATAGCCATGGAAAATCACAATTTTTAATAGGTAAACCCAGGTAAACCATCTATAAATGGGCCATTTTCCATGGCTATGTTAGTCATAACCAGAGGGTAATATGTCATTTTCATGGCTCCTCAGAACGACGAAATGCGGCATCCAAAGCCATGGCCACGACTCCGTTGCTCTCCACAACCACCTGGCTACCGGGCTACCGCAAACATCCAACTGAGGTGCATAAGTCATGAATAAATCAGGAAGGTGGTCAACATTATATTCATCTTCATCTTCATCTTCTTCATCATCATCATCATCAGTGAACGGCAACACGCCCTCATCACTGGGTACAACCGAAGAGTATCCCGGTCCCATCGCAGCCTGCGGCTCTGAATGTGCAGTTCGAAACCAATCCGCAGGGATCTCCTCCGCGCTTCACCAATGGTGAAATCAATGGGGATATTTCTTGATGGACGTACACTGGGGTAGAACTGTATAACCGTATAACTATTGTAACTAACAAATTATGGAGATACTGGCTGAATTAAAATCACCTGCATTTGTGTTTTTTTTGGGATAGTTGTCAATATGAACCATGACTTTTCTATAAATGTGGTGCTGCAGTGAGATCGTTATACTTTGCCCAGAAATTGCTGATCTTGATCAAGTGGAATTGGTTGTTGAATCTAAATGGTTTACACGTTTTTCAGGCAATTCCATCGCACAGGCCACGGAATGTGAGACCCACACGTGCCAGGCTCAAAACATGGTGTATCGTTTATGGTTCATCCCATAGCCCAGATGCTCCATGAATGGCATATTTACCTACATTTACCCCATATTTATGCCCCAGTTTTGTAGGTGTGCATATTCCAGCACCATGGTTCGCATCTGGGTCCCATAACGGGATATAGATGGTTTTTACACAAAAACAACCTATAGTCCCATCAGGTTCCCCTGTCGGCTCCGGTCTCCTCCAGGAAAAGATCTGTGGAGCCATTGGCCAAAGTTTCAGTGGTCAAACGCACACCTGTCTCAGCTCCCAGATTCTCCATTGGAGCCATGAAAAAAACACCAATAAAATGAGCTATACTATACACCTAGTATAACTCCCAACATATATTCCCAGGTAGTCAGGTAGTATAACTCAATACAACCTGAGGTATTCACCAACCAGGCCTGGTCCTGAAAGCTTGGACACGTCCGCCCGAATTTCGGGCAGATCTTCACCACCTGCACCAAAGTTCAGTGCTGGGTGGTTTTTTTTGGCATGTTTTACCACCAAAAAATAGGGGAGCTGAATGTAGAAAATTGTAGAAATACTGGAAAATCTACGGGTCAAATGGCAGATAGTAATGCCAAATAGGAATTATTATCTATATAGTCTATAGATCCATAATAATGATAACCTAAAGAAATATCCCAACTTTCTACACTTTTTGACGTCTTGACATCGACTCGACAGCGCCTCCATTTCCGAGAAGAAGCCCCACAGACCATCCTTCACGACCATCTTGGAGCACCTCATGGGATGTGAAAACATCATGGTACAAATATGTAGCCTCTGGTTGTTTAACGGAAAACCATGGAAAACCATCAGTTGGATTAGGTTTCAATCATCGAACTAAATGGAAACGATATCTTCGTCACTGAAAAATTGCCGGATGGTTTTTTGAGGCGGACGACCATAGCTTTGCGATGGCATTTTTTAATGCCTGTGGCCCAGGCCCCTGTTTTTGGTCCATTCCAGATTCCACAAAATCCAAACACCAACAGCTGATCAAACGCTTCACGGCAAAAAGCCAAAATCAATCGTTCAAACGTGTTCAAAAAACAAAGATCAATCTATCTTTTCCACCGAGAAGGCATGATTTGGAAGCTCTATCTATGTATACTCTTCTTCCCAACCAAGGAACTTGTTCAAAAGGCCAGAGGCTCACTGAATCTTTGCTATGAAGTCCAGGAAGTTTCATGAGCTCATCTTGGATCAGGTCCCAGCCGTGATACGGGATCTCCTGGTGAAGGTGAGTCACTCGGGACTTGATGATGGAATCGAAAAGGGATTTAGTAAGATGAAACAAAGATGTTTACATACCCTGCACTGAAACAAACACCACCCAAAAGCTTATATCAGGCTCATAAGCAACTACTTTTCACCATACAAATCTATGCTTCAACGTATTTCATGTGTCAACGGATGTCAACGGATAGCTGCCCGGAGATCTGTAGACCCATCGACCATTGATGACATCCGTTCAGCTTCCGTTCCGCTTCGCTCTCCTCCGTCCACCGTCCACGGAAGGACAGGCGGAAACTCCCAGTGACGACCATGGAACTTCTCTGCACGATGGAACTTGTCATGGCCTGGGGACCCGGAGCCAACTATGGGCCAACTGCCGCTGAAACAATGGACCAATGGCTTGAAAATGCGTGAAACATGGCTAACACCAGATAATTTACATTTGATGGATAAATCATACGTCAAAAATTGATGGATTGGGGATTTTCTAATCCACAACTGGTAACTGATGGTAACTGGCTGAGGTCTTTCAGCTGAGTGACCCAAGTCACCACTGAAGTTCCGATTACATCGAGACCAGGCATGATCTGCAAAGCAGCCTCAGCTTTCGTTGATGGATTTTTGTGATGTGTTCTGCCATGTATCGTGTCATATCATAAGTAGAAGTGGTGAGCCCGTCCAAACTTGTCTAAAAATAGGGTGGATCAAGAACCAGTATCATCAGAAACAGCGGGGTTGGTGACAGCTCGTTGAGAGAAACGGGAAATCAAAATGATGCGGTAAAGCAAAGACCTACAAGGAGAATGAAGAGTCCAAACAAAAGAGAGGGAAGAAGTAAAACTATATCGAGTGCCAAGGGAGATACAGCGACATTAATACTCCTTCAGGCGCAACAGAAAACGTTCAACACGAGGAAACAACTTGAGGCATCCACAATGCTGAGTGACAAGTCCTTGCACCAATTACCCTCTGGTAAACATACAAACAGCTATTGAAAACGGCCACGTCGAAATAGTCGATTTACCTGATCTACCCATTAAAAATGGTGGATCTTTCCATCAGTTTTTGTATGTAAAAACCAGAGGGTAGTGGCTGCTGGGTCCAGGCTTTCAAACCCGGCTTGGTTTCCCTGCTGCGTGTTCGTTGCCGTCGTCGGGCTTTGGACATGGGAAAGTCACAAAGTAGCTTAGCCTCGAAAGGAGAAAGTTCAATGACAACAAGGAATCTGGAAATGCACAACTGATCTTTGACCAAAGGAAAGATCAGGAAATATCGGTCAAACTCTTTGCGACTACAAGTGATGTGTCCAAAACGGACCAAAACGGACGAGTGTCTTATGGTTTGAAGTCAAGATGGTTGAAAAGGCCTCCATGTCACTCTATTTGCACAGCAACATGGGTATTTTGCATTCCAAAAATCATCAGGATTTGCCCAGATTCAAAGATGTCCACTCAAAAGGTGTCCCTTAAACCCCCAAAAAATCCATTGATCATCAATGGTCATCATTTTTCCCTATACTATGTTTATATCATGTTATATCTATTGTATACCCCATTTCATCATTTTTTTGGGAAATATCTATGTAGATACCCTCTGGTAATGACTAACAGTTCGCTATTGAAAATGGCCCAGTCGAAATAGTGGATTTACCCATTAAAAATGGTGGATCTTTCCATAGTTATGTTAATTTACCAGAGGGTATCTACAGTATCCCCACGTTCCCACCCATCCCAGTCGCCTCTCGGGATATTCTGCGCGGGTCACTGTGGGTTGGCACTCCAAAACTCGGCCATAAAGGTCCTTGCGGATGGGTCATGGCCATGAACATATCATATAATTATAATATTGTAAATATATTTATATATTGTGTTAATTAGATACAATTTGTACAATACAATTTGTATAATACAGTTTGCATAGTACAGTATGATCTAGTTTGTAGCATACGCTTTGTATAATATATTTTGTATAATTCAATATATTATTGTAGTCTGTCAATATAAATATATAACAATATAAATAACAATTATCAAGACAAACTTGTTTTGGATCGGAAATCACAATACATACGGGCCAAAGTGAACATTTGTTCTCGGGGTTCCATATGTGGGGTTCTGACATGCTTCCGTTCCAAGCTTGCTCCTTCAGGGCTGTGTGCCATCTTGCTGATTTGAAGGCTCTACGGAACATACCCAGATCTTGCCAAATTTCCCAAACTTTGATCAAAATTTGCATCCCGTTTATTCCTTTCAGCCAATGTCTCTCTCTCTCTCTCTCCACCATGTGACGCATAATTCGTGTCTCTTGTGGTATTGCCATGTTTTGCTACAGAAAAAAAGAATCCCCGAACCCCAAATGAGATTCCCACTTTTTCCAACCGATTGGACACCACCAAGGACGGTTGTCACAACCGAATGAAAAAACCGGTTGTAAAAATCGTCCGTTCCGACCTATCTGATCTGATGTGAGTAGAAGCCCAACAAAAAGTAGATCATTTTGATGTCAATCTGTCACACAATCATCTGATTCAAGGGGGGCTTCAACTTTGAAACCCAGAAAATCCATGAAAATCCTGCATCTGATTTGAAGCATCCATTCTTCAATTTTGGGTACTGCCAAGGCCTTCTGTTTGTCGCATCGCTCCTGTGTCTCCCACAATGCAACGGCCAGTTTCTCTGGATCATCGCCATAGGTCACCCCACCTGGGCCAGCGTTTGCATGGCCGACTTTCAGGGAAACATAGGGAAACCTGGCCCAAAGAGAGCCCCTCCATGTTCTACATATTAGAGATTCGAACTTCGAACTTCATCAATGGTTGTGCTATGTTGTGCTATGTTGTGCTTGCTCGTTCTCAGTTGCAAGGCATGACACTTTGAGTATCTTTGAGTCGCTGAATCCCCATTGACATCATTGACCACCCAGCAGCCATCAGCCTGATGTGCCCTCGCGCAGAAAGTTCCGGGCAAAGCGTCGCACACGCACAAAGAAGGTGCCTGCCATGGGAATGTCCATCAAGATCAACATCAGATGCCGTGACTTTGGCGGCTAGACTGATTTGGTAGATCCAACATGCTTCACTATACATTCTAGCAATATGTTCAAGCCATCCATATTAGCGTCATTCAAATGAGGGATCATGATGCACCACTTGACATTTTGAAACCCCCAACAGGTGAGATTGTCTCAGTGAGAGATCTTTTCTGACCACTTTGTGATATTCTCGGCCTCTGAGCACTCGGTCCAAGTTGATGCGATGCCTCAGACTATGGGTCCCAATCTAAGACACGGGATGACATGGGCAATTGGGCAATGGCAAGTTTCAGTCATTTCAGCCCCAAACGAACACTCACATTTTCATGAACAGAGAAAGTGCCTGGTAGTCTCTGTCTAAATTGCCACTCCAAGCTGCCTTTCTCGCACCACGGAGGCAGTCATAGTAAGGCGTTGCACTTCCAGAAAGGACTTGCTCCTGGATGGCAATTCATTGGTCACTCAACAGGTGAATCAGAATGACACCAAACACCTCGCCATAGTTTGCTCAAAAACAGGGCTTTCTTCGGCTCGCATCAAACAAGTTGCTGCATTACATGTTGAAACAACGCCCGTCTCCTCACCAAGTCCTCCGGTGGAGGTGACCTTGGAAGACACCCGAGACAGCAGCGCTGCAAAATCATCAGATTCCAATGGAAACTTCGGTGAAAACGTCGGATATCTTGTGAACATGGTATGAACATGGACATGAGATGTGTGAAGATTGAGAGATCTATGAGATCTATTCGACTTTCAGTTGAGCTACTTTTGATGCACAACAGTAGCTATCAAATGTTGCTACTCTGCTACTATGTCAGGCCATTAACCCACATCTTGATACCAAAGTCTGCGGCTTGTTTGTGTCAATATGTTTTTCCAAATCCCACGGTCCAAAAAATATCAAAAAATCCGTTTCCCAATTGAAATGGTCAACGAGGTATCCATGGATATCCTGGATATCCTCCATTCTGAGACAAACCCATGGCTTCCCAACTCGCCACCAAGTGACCCATCTGCTGCTTTGGCATTGTGGATGCGGAGACCCACACGCAACCAATCAGATCCACTGAATTCTCGATGGCGAACTCGGATCAATCTTCTCTCACCTGTGAAACTCTGAACGAACATCTGAAATTTCAACGACTTGTAAGACCTGGATGTTGGAATATGTTGGAATATGTTGGAATTGTATGAGAAAACGCACTTCTGCACCATGTGAGGATGCAGAAAAACGTGCTTGCAATGTTTGGAATTCCTTACTCATTCCCGACAAAAACAGGTAATGACGGGCTCTGAAGCAGCTGGATATCCCCTCAGTGTGGCCTACTTCGAAGTGCAAAGAAGGCGAGACAGAGCAAGGCGCATTGGCATCTGGAAGGTCTGGAAGGCCCTGCAAGGCACATTTGGAAGTATCCCAAACACCTAACCAAGCTGGTTCATTTTGGAACAGCACAGAAAACTCATCACTTGGGACACCTTTTGGGTCAGGTCTTCAGCATGAATCAACTTGGAGTGACAGAGTGGTGGTAGAAACAGGGTCCTGTGTGCATGGCTTGCCAAACCAAGCCAATGGTGTGAAGCGCGGCATCGCTTGACTCTCTGTCGAAGAAGCTCGCACCACCACCTGCGAATCGGATTAGTTCAAAGATTGGCCTATTTTTGAGGCTGAAGGGGCACTCTGAAAGTCACATATATTCTGACTGCTTGAAGGAATCTTCGCACAGTACCAGTACCCTTCCAGCTGCAACTCAGCTTGCACCATCAAGTCTGCTCAGCAAAGTATATCTCTCGATCGCGGGGACAAAAAGAGTCATCTATATCGTAAGTGCGAAACTATGAAACCTGCGTATAGAAGCCATTGAATAAACATATTAATGCGTTCGGTGCTATTTTGCAATCTCATTTCCTGTCACAACAAATGATCCCTTTGCATGGCACAGCCCACTGTACCCAACAACCCAGTTACCTTCATGCCGGACATATCCTCACTGCTGGAGAGCGATAGGTCAGCCTCGGGATGTTTGAAGTGTCACAGAGTTGCCTGGACTTTCAGTGGTGCAAACTAATATATTTGTGACCAATGTTGCAGAATATAATAGATGAGATGAGATATAGCCTTTCTGCACCAGTAAGTCAGTAAGTCCTTGTGATTGCTACAAACCATTCCAACATAGTCATGGGGAATGCTAAAATTCGCAAGTCACCTCATCATCTGCCGCAAGATAGAAGTTGTAGGTACCAGTGAAAGGTGCCACGAAGAAGCCAACAATTTCCTGTTCAGCACGTGATCCAATGGATCCAGTGATTTCCAACGGCAATAGCTCACAGGGTCCTCAGCATAGAGGTCATAGCCAGTGTCATCCGAAAGTGGTGTTGCTGCGACCTGATCGCACACTAAAAAAGGTGCAATCAAGATCAGAAGTCGGGAAAAAGCACTTATTGTTGGTGTATCTGAACATAGGCTATACCGTATATACCCTCTGGTAAACGTTTACATAACTATGGAAAATCACCATTAAGTTCATGGCTAAATCCACTATAAATGCTCATGTTCAATAGCTTTTGGTTTGTTTGTTTACCAGAGGGTATCCCCGGTATCCCCGAAAAATGACACTTCGCAATGGGGAAAGGCCTGATCAACCATCAAACCCATTCGGTTCAGCCACATATTGACGCTTCACAGCGAGGGAAGTCGCAGAGACCTCTTCGAACTTCACGTGATGCAGCGCACCTGTAACGTCAGCAAGCCATTGATCTGCCTGGTTGGTGAAGCTAAAATATGCTAAAATCATCCAGAATCATCTAAAATAAACTAAAGTTCATCTAAAATCCTATCTAAAATATTCTAAAATCCTATCTGTTTCCTGATTTTTCTTCAAACATCTGTCATTCCGGCACCCCAAGGACTGAAACCAACTTTTTGTCACCAAGATCCGAAAAAGTATCCGGTCGACAAATCCAGGTGTGAAGTCGAATCCAAGATCAATACATATCAATATCCTATTCATATCTGAAAATTCTTAGAATTTCCATGCAGTTGCTGAATATGTCTCCATCCTCCAATATCGGCCAATAGGACTTAAATTTCATAGTTGGATCGTAGTTTTCCCACCTCGCAGCATGTCATACAGCACCCCAGTCTCCATCGGACTCTGCGGGTAGCCCAGGTTCTCATGACCTGTTCGACAAGTTCGAACGCGGCTCGTGGCGTAGCAGGGAAGTGAACCAAGAGTTGAACGGTGATTTATATTGATTTGTATTGATTTATGATAGGTCATGTTGGTTTATAAACGCTACTAGCTCTCTTGGTTTGTAGCTTCAACTCCTTTCAAAAAATATGCTTCCATTGGAATCATGAATCTCAGGAGTGAAGTGGATGATCCAAAAGACAGCTCTGTTTGAATCTTGGGACACCTTGCCTAGAGCACGATGCAGTGGCAGATTGTTTGGATTGTAGTAGATGCGGTAGACAAGGCCTGCCAAATCAAGAATCTGAAAGGACATGTTGCATATCAAAATCGCACAGGCTTTGTGAGAATCAAATCATACATATCAAACCTTCAGGACAACGGACAAGATCGCATCAACCATCATGAGCATTCATCATATCAATCATCGTCCAACATCAACAAAGTTGCCATTTCTTGCCATTTCTTGATGGTTCATTGAATGGTCCATAGCCTCTTCCTCCAGCAAAGGGTGCTGCCATGGGCGCTGATGCTGGCAGAAGTGGCTCTGGCACCGGTGGGCCCAAGGGTAAAATCTCCTGGCGATGCGTTGAGCACTGCATTTTCCCTGTCCCTTCTATCCACGACAGAACTTCAACCAGTAAAGCATAGTAAAGCCAAACAATCAGTCTTTGCAATATCTGGGATTGCCTCAAATTTTGTAACCTCATTTCATCCCATAATATATCAGCATTTTCTTAACTACAAAGGCCACAAGTTGGGGATGATTCCCAACGGTCAAGTGATCCCCACCTCCACCACTTCACTTGGCCATTCGAAGTCTAACGGCCGCAACCAGGGCGCAAACTCCCACAGCGCCAGCCTGGGAAGCCGGGCCCAGGGGGCCCAGGACCCACAAATTGGGGCAGAAAAGGACATCTCCAGCAGGTTGAGCCAAAAAACCATTGGTTGATCTATGTTGATCTGTAAACATCGTAAACCATTCATTTGAAACTTAACACGACATCATATTCACTGAGGTTTCATCTTTCAGCATTTCTGCAGTGTTTTCTGTGAAAAACAGCCGGCCGAGGGTCTGCTCTGGGCTGTACTTTGTGGTGGTTGTCGTCGTTCCATTCATGTCTGGGTAGGTCACATTGAAAGGAAATCGACCTCGGTAGGTCACTCCGATCCGCCATTCCCATCACCGCCGAAGAGTTTGCTGCACATCTTCGGGAAAAATGCAGCAACATTGTCTGAAAATGGGGCTATAACATGATATAACTGGTATTAACATATCCAAAATTGTTATGTTATAATCATGTTATATATTGTTATATAAGTTATATATATATATATCAAATGTTAATACCATGATTATAACATGATATTAACATGATATACCCTCTGGTTATTTAACGTATGGAATTCATGACCCATAGAAATAGATTCGAGTTTCCTAGTGACATCAATCCTCCATTCGGGATCTTCCCAGGTGCAATTTTCATCACAGCGAATCCATAGCTCCTGTGATGTGGCTCTGTCGACCCGTGAAAACCGACCATGAGGTTGGGATGATGTTCATGATCGGCACAAGACGTCACAAGAAATCAAGCTGTTCCATGGTGCTCCCAAATCTTTTAGGCCTATCTCATGGCAAACAACACCTTCGTTCTAGAGACTTCTGAAGTACTTCCTTAGCCTCAGAAATGTCATGCAACTTGCACTCCTCAGTCCACGGTTCGGCATCATCTGAAGTAATGGCGAGCTCTTGTAGATATCCTGCTTCGCTGGACCAAGTGCCGACTTCAGCACCTGAGCAAACCGTCATTGGACCAGTCTTCAGGGTCTTCCTGTACAGCTGGATCCTTTACCAGAATACAGCCAGATCGTGTATCCTGGAGTTCAAAGACTGAGTTTTCAAACTTTCAACATAGCCATGGTATAGATGGCCCATTTATAGATGGTTTACCTATTAATAGCATGGTGGATCTTTCCATGGCAAACTGTTAGTCATAACCAGATGGGAATTCAAACTGCCCTGACAGCAGGTCCCAAGGCACTTCCATCGCCGATGCAGTCAGCTGCACAGCACAAACCCGAGTTCAGCTCTGTTCTTGTGCAAAGCCTGGCGAAAAGTGAAAAGGCCAAACAACTCACTTTGCCAAAGCTGCCTCTAAACACTGAAAAATGATGAAAAATGGAGGGCTGTCAACTGGAAGGGCATCGACATCAGGACACAGTCAGAGTACGTCGAGTGATGACACTTAAAAAAAGGAACCTCCAAGACCAAGATGTGGGGTAGTACTTCTTCACGGACAACATGCATTCTTGGGGCAAAAACCCCAATAAGGAGGAGAAATCCAAACCGTGTGTTTGGTCGGTGCAAACCCAAACGTTCTGCTCTTCAACATGATTTTCTCCCCAAAACCTGGGTGAATCCTGAGCGAATCCACCATTTCTGGACATATGACAACATATTTAACTGGTTGTCAACATCCTGTCATATCCCAGAATATCCCCAAGTTTCTGGGATATCAACACATCCGTTTGTCTCAAAATATGCTATCCCTATATCCACCGGTTAAACATCATGTTCCAAATATGATCTTAATATGGCTACAACTTGGGGGTATATTTTCAGACAAACCCAAAAGATCATATCACTTTGATTATCCCCAATATCATTGTCCCATATCATCATATCATTGTTAATTACTGTTATTAGTACTATTATTACTATCACTACTATTACTATTATCACTATTATTATCAGATTATTATCGTTCTTATTGTTATTAATATTGTTGCTGTATAATAATAATAATAATAATAATATATACATATATATGTATATATGACCCAAGTATCATATCCCCATCATATCCCCTGGTCATAAATGGTGCGCCTCATCCCTGTAAGTTGGCAGGTGAGCTCTGCGTCTCGATGGCTTTGGGGCTGTAGACCTGGAGATGACGAAGCAACTGATGTCTGGGGCCCCGAGAGCTGGCTGGTTTATTTCATGGAAAATCCGCTGTTAAACATGGATGATTTGAGGGTACCCCCATTTTAGGAAACCTCCTAATATATATATATATATGTATATATATATACTAGTACTATATATTTATATATATCCAAAGTGTAGAAAAGTGAGATAAAGTCAGTGTGATATTCAAGTTGTGTTTGGTGATATATCCGGGATATCCATGGTAATTCATATTCTTCCGTTAAACATGGCATAGGACCACAATCTGAAATGGCCATGGCCGCCATGGTCGGCCAAGAGACAGGTTCCAAACAAAGGGTCAGCAGTTGTGGTTTCCAGCTGCACCTTGGGCGTCATCGACTCGACCCCATCGACCCCAACCAGCTGAGTTCCGGTTGCAGCCGAGACACCCAAGGACCCCAGCCCGTCCAGAAGGTTGGCTGAGTTGTGGTGACCTCCCACGGAGCTTTAGCCGGCTAAAAAAAAGGAGTTAGCCTCCATGATTATCATCAAACGTGGCAATGGAAAAATTGGACAACGAACTAGTGAAATATGAGTTATATATGAGTTATATGGGAATGGGTCAAAACCCTGGTACCTAGTGAACCCCAAGTCATAGCTGGTAAATGGATGTTCATCCCACTAAAAATGTATCTATAGGTATTGACCCATACCCATATGATGTGTTTCCCTGATGCTCCCAATAAAACCCTCCATTGATGTGGTTTTCCGTTGCCACGCCCCGTTGCCCCTCTGAGAGGGTAACATGAGGCAACCATCAATGAAAACCGTTTCGACACGTTGCAGGGCGTTGCCTGGCCATACTTCGGCCCGACACAGGTGCTGCCATTCATGGTGCAGCAAAATGTGAGACGCGCTTCACCTCCAAAAGCCAAAGGATTTCCCAGCAATTTCTGGATTTTTTCCAAGGATGGGAGACCAACTCGAATCAGAAGATGATATTGAGTTGGTAACATTTCCCCCTTTTTGATGGCAATTTTCATGGGCAAAACAGATGATAATCCATTGGCATTCGGACTCAAATGGGGCCAAGAAATGGGATACTTACCCCAAGTGAGCTCAATTTTGGAAACTGATGATAAACCATTGGATTTTAGACTTCGCTCTATTGGTAGATATCTACGACCAAAATGGTTCAAGCAAAATGTATGTGAAAAGGGACACTTCTCAGGTTAGTGGTCAAAACTTTTATAATATCCACATGGATCTATTTGGGGAGTTGAACAGGTCGAGAAATCTGTGAAATGGTATTGAAATCTACAATTCAGATCTCCGGAAGTGGCGTATTTTCATCCATTGACCCTCAAATTGTCGAATTTCTCTGAGCTATGGACTCTCCTCTGCAATGTGTCCTCTGATCTGACGACCTTCCTTGGTGTGATCTGCGACGTTCATCTCAGATTCAACAGCATGTTCCAAGGGATCCTGAAAATACCGTCATTGGTTGCACTACTCTACCACGTGATGACGTATACTGCTTGGCTTCAAATCGGACATGATCCTATGACAAGGAGCGGCTTGACAGGAGTCTTCGACCCAGTAATGGCTCTGCTTGTACGATGCGTTCACATTGACCTTGGCAATGCTCAAGGTGAGAGCTTCCGACCACCATTTTTTGGGCCCATTTTGAAGCGAACCTGAATGTCACCATCTTCAATTCCCCCTGTTGGCTCATCCCGTTTAAGGTTTGGCTCATTTCCTATCAATTGATAGTTAAATCCTATGATCTTTCCGTAAAAAATGCAACAAGTTAAAGGTTGCGCCCAACACCCCAGATACAAAGCGGCAGTCCAGGACCAGTTTTTGGCCTTTGTGGCTATCATTTATAGTGGGTTGGAGCACCCCTGAAACTCCATTATACTGGTTGGTTGATAGGCACTACCATCTCATGTCTCATGGACTATGATAATCAATCCCGAATTTCTAGCGGGTAGTATAACCCGCGGAACTCGTCATCAACAAATCATCATTTACAAATTCAACTATGTTATCATACTATCCGATACTTTCATATACTTTCCGCATCTTTCAGGGGTTGGTAAATGTCCTACTTTAACATCACCCAACTAATTATCGGGGATCAAATCTCCAAAAATTACTTGAAAATGTCCGAAATCTCCCAAACATAGATTTACTAACCCCTGTCTTTTGACGCTTAAACCCCCTATCAATGATGGAAAAAATCCCATCATTAATCATCAACGAACCGGGCTCTTTCGAAGCACCCAGGCACGGTGAAGCTTCGACCCAGGTCCTTGCCGCGAGTCGACCCCGCACGGCAAGCAGCAACCTCCAAGCCATTGCCGTCGTGCTGCACCAGCTTCGTATCTGGATCGAAGTGGAAATGGGTTTGTCTGAAAATGTTGGGTATATTCCCAATGAAATAGCCATTTAAAAACGGGATAATGATCAGCAAAACCATTGGGTTACAATGGGGTTTAGCCTATTTTCAGACAAACCCAAATGATGAGCAAAGCTGGTGTCTTTCACGGGGATTTCAAAAAGTGGTTCTTTCACCAACAAAAAGGGGATGTGACAAGCAGGTTTCTAGGGGTCAAAAATCATCTAATCAATATGAGGAAACCAATGGCTTTGGAAGCATCCACTTCAAGAACCCACCGATTCTGATATTTGTGTATATCATGTGTAATTCTTGTGCTGCACTATTTTGACCATGGGATTGGCTCCGTTTTTCCATGGTTTCCATACTATGCTGAGGCCTTTTGGGATCCAATTCTTCACTATTGAAACAAACCTGGGAGGGTGGGACTCCCAAAGTCTGGCAATACCAACCTGAGTCTGGACTCGCACCAACGAAGACTTCAAACTCGACACAGCTGAGGTTGTTCAACAAGTCCTTACGAAAAATCAGAATGCCATGTGCGAAATCATAGCTCCAACTCGGCAAGGAAACAGCATCGCCTACTTTCTGATCACTGCTTTGCTTACCACTTACAAATCCGATTTTTCCGTGAAGGCAATCCTTGTATTTCTGCCCTCTTCCAAGACTTTCTCCGTGCTCCTCTGTGAGTTAGAAAAAACCATAGCCACTTAGAATATCCCAGAACAACAGTAAACATCACAGACAAGCATCGAGCTCACAGGTAATGCTTGTTCTATTGCCACTTTTGACATGGCATGGTTCATCTCCCACACTGACCTCAATTGGGTGGGAACAGAAGGCTGGTAGGAACAAAGCACTCTGGTAGCATAGTGGTGGGTGAGATTCCCATTATCATAACTCCCACAAAACACTTGACTCACCATGCTCTTCTTTCTAGACAAACGGATGTCCTTACCAACAGATGCAACAACAATTGGAGCTTCAGATTTGCTGCCGAGCAGGAACATCAGGCAAAGCTTTCCAAAAAAGTATTCGGACATATTCGGACATCTCAAATATGAAAATGCCCAAATGCACGTACCAAAGCCTTATCAGATCTTATGAGGTAAACGTTTTGAAAGAGTTCTGAGGTAGATCACTCCTCAGAACTGTGCGTTTGCAGCAGTTGAACACAGGTCCACAAATTCCTGAAGATTTGTGTTTGGCCCAGCAGCCAGAGTCTTTGATAGATCCACATCAAAGGTTCGTCCAGTGATGTACAAAAGCGAACCACCGAGCACTCCAGAGAAGCCTACAGGGTGAACATCATACCATGAGCAGTGGAAGCCATGACGATCTTTGCAAGCAATGGAAAGCGGAGACTGCACATGAAATGAACAGTGCCAAGCTCTTTTGACATGTGATTCATGTGATTCAAAGTACGGAAAGAAGCAAAAACATATAAAAACATGCTTCGAGTCAGTGCGGATCCACTGTTCCTCTGGATCTTGATGAAGGGACACCCACATGAAAATCTGGTGTCAGGTGGATTTGCTCCTCATATGTCCTCTCGTCATGCCTGGACGGACGCCAGTAATGTCCGGATAGATCGAAAGGTCCTGAGGAAATGCGACGCCGGGCACACATCATGATGACTCAAACACGCTCATACCAAATCTTGTGTGAGGAAAATGATAATTTTCAACCAGAAATTGTCAATGTTTGACAGAAAACTGAGCTTTCACATTGCTAAAGATGTCATTCAAGCTTGCTGCTGGAAAGAGTCATAAACTTGGAAATTGGGTCGAATGAAGGCTGGCGCACGCTGGGCAGTACCCTGCCAAGTACGGAAAACTGCAATGCCATAACCACTTGATGAGCTGTAGTCGATACCTCGTCGTTTCGGCGGCAGAACTGGAAGCTACAAATCTCCCAGACTCTGCACTGAAAGGCAGACTCTCCCAGATATTGCAGAATGCCCACCGCACGTACAGGTACTGTATTCCGATGTTCGTGGAATAGTCACATTCTTTGATATGTTGATACTGCAGAATGTCAACCACAGCTAAAAAGCAACCAGCATCATGTTCCTTACGTGTTGATCTCTTGTTGGTACTGAAATGGTCCAATGGTCCCATGGTCCCATGGTCCCACATCTTGAGTGAATATTCTGACAGGTCCAAGTGGTCCAAGTGACATGGATAGTGGGCGCACATTGGATCGTCATAGCCAACTGGCAGTGCCCGGATTTGCAGATTTGCAAGAAGCGGACCCGACAGGTCCATGGGCAAAGCACAGTTCAAAGTTCTACTCCTGACGCGGAAAACTGCAGCTAATGCTCAAGCTCAAGAGGTGTTATGGAGAATTTGGCCATGTTCATTGACACCATACACCAGAACTTGTCGCAATGTTCATGTGGAGAGTTCCATAAATGGGGTATACTAAAAAATATATAGTTTATAATGGAACATCCCATTAAAATGGATGTTTGGTGATACCCCTATTTTAGGAAACCTCTATATGTGCAGTTTGCAAACTTTGCTGGGAAAGCTAACCAAGTTAAAACCTTTTGCAGCCGGGGAGCTGTACAAGTTCTTCCTCTGAATTCTGCACTTGACGTGCACTTGCATCGCATATGTAACCACCAATCTCGACTACGGCACCTTGGAAGTTCACAGCAAACAGGACGTGACACGCTGACCGACTCCACATGTCACCGGTACCTACTGCAGCCAACCCGCGGTGTCTCTGCATCCGTTTCAATCGATTGGGTCGACATCTCAAGCGACACAACGAGCAACAAAGACAACCTTTACCAAACACAGGAGTAACATGGAGTAACTCTAATGAGTCAAAGTTGGATGCAAATCCTGACAGAAATTGATAGGACCCTACCCCCTTGGTTCCGTTGGTCCCCTTGGTTGCCCCCATTGACCTGAGCAGTGTGAAAGGCGGATTTATCCCCAAACTAATTCAACCCAGCCATCCATCATTTATCAATCAATTTCAAATATATCATTGTTATATTGTTATCATCATCGCTTGATGGTTAAAACATCTTCAAATCTCAATGGATTGGTTTAAGGGAAAATTTACAGGAAAGCCCTATATTTGATGGTAAAAACCATGGTTTCCTGTAGATTTTCCCTTAAACCAATCCATTGAAAATCCCCATCATGGTGAAATCGTGTGAAATCCCAAGCGAATCATCAACCAACCCAGCTGCGCCAAGTGTCGATCCAGTGCCGTGAGCAGCAGGGCCCCAGACTGGGCGGCGCCAAAGGCGACTTGGTCGCCGGCGCGCAGACCGCGGGTGGAGATCCAGGAGATGAATGGCGTCTTCTCCTGGAAAAATATGGCAAAAAGTGAGGAACAAAATTGATCGAAATTTGGTGATAAACTGCTTGTTTGAAATCCAAACTGATAAAATATGATAAAATCCATTCCGATCTTTTAAGAGACTGCTCAGTGTTTTCTTCCCGAATATAGGCAGTTCATTATGTTTCCTCCATCTATCATATAGATCGTTTGGGCAATGTTGCCTATGCTGGATCCAAGTAGTCAAACTATGCCAACTATGCCCCACCAGGTTAGCTCTCAAAGACCTCGCGAAAATTTACCATTCGTGAATGTGAAACCATCAATCAAATATTGCTCTAACAGGACGTGAAGTAGTCAAAAACCGGAGTGTCAAACCGTATAATATATAACTACATGTTTTTGATTAAGAAAACACAGCGGTAGGGTCACCCACCATTCGAATTACATGATATCAATTGATATGGAGGATGTCTCCCAGTGACAAACGACATCTAATGTCCTAGCATCACTTAGCGAATCTCGGAAAAGATCTGAGTCAAACAGCCCATCTTAAGTCATAATTATCCTTAGGTCAATGATATTCAATGATGGGCTCACATATCACATGGTTGACAATATATCCCATTGCATCCACATTAAATCCCTTCAAAATTCCATCAAGAATTCATGGGTCCTCCGAGTACTGGAAAGTGCACGTCTCACAGACCGGTTCACAAGGTCCGTTGGCTGAAAGCCTGCAAGTTTCCAAGTGACTACATAGGTCATGATATCGCCCGGCTCAAGTGCTTCCATATGTGTACAAAATTCGATACATGATAAACAATCCACCTATAATACAAAACATATCATGACATTAGATGATGTAGAATGATACCCTCTGGTAAACTACAGTAACTATTGAACATGGCCATTTATAGTTGATTTACCCATTAAAAATGGTGATTTTCAATACTTATGTTAAATTGCCAATATGAGTCTGCAATAGTCTGCATCACTTTCTTGCCAACGTATTCAACGACACGTGGTGTGATCAACAGCGTGGCAGCGTTGTGCCTGAGGCATGGGAGCACTGGCTCACCGGCTGCTGCGGCCGAAGTCTCACAAACCAAGCGCTCTCCCGACGCCTGCAGGCCGGGGTCCAGGAATCTGAGGATGAAAATCCGGGTTACCCATGGTTCATGGTTACCCCAAAAAGGCTTATCCTAGTGGGAAAATGATGGTGAACCATCGGTTTTTTGGGGTTTAATATTTTCAAACAATGCCAATGAGAAACCGAGTCGGAAGAACGTGGAATCAAAGGTGACTTTGCTCATGGAATCTCGTGGATAACACTTGCAACACAGGTGGCAGAACTACCGTGGCAATTCGGTTTCAGACCTCAATGATCGTGCAGGGACTGTTTCCAAAGTGCACCTCGGATTGCTGCCACACATGACAGGGCACTCCCCGATGCAAGAGTACAGTCTGGTTGGAACACCTGCGTTGAATGTGAGACACACATGTTGGCGCCAAGGCACGGTCTGATGACCTCAAGCAATCACCAGTTGACATGCACATACAGAACATGCACGCAGCTGACCCTAACGGCCTACTGCTCAAAGCATTTGATTGACTCATGCTGGCTGTTCACTGCACAGCAATCAGAAAACTTCCAACACATCAGTCAGCTCTGTCAATATGGAAACACCAACTCGAGCAAACTGATTGCAGCTGCCTGTGTTCGAAAAGATCCAACTCCACTTGCAGTCCAAGAGGCCAAAGGGTTCCGGGCCACTTGGATGTCGGAAACCGCTGCCCAACAGCACCACGAAGTTTCCTCCGGCCGTGCTTCCAAACGATGGGTGCACCCATGAGACCTGCACAGCACAAGATGCACAAACCAGACAATCTTGAGTAGTTTCAGTCAAAATTTACGAAGAGTCATAGCCAATTGATGTTTTGGGGTCAATGTGTTAAGTGGTTCAAACATGATTGGTTTCCAACTTGGAAAGTGGCAATGTTTCGAGTTTAAATGAGATTTCCCTTGTAAAAACACACAAGTTCAGACGGACTACAGGGAATTTCGAGTCATGAATCTAAAGTCCAAGTGGATCAATGCTGCTCACAACTACTGGAACATGGTTCCATATGCCGACAACAAATGAAGAAACAGTGCGAACAACTGCCAACTAAAGCCTCCGAAGCTTTGGGTAGCGCCAGCAATGTACAGATTGTACAGAGCAAGCGCTGCCATGGGGACCTGCACATGAAATTGGCGATTCAAAATGAAACAACAAAATGCCAATTCCAACAGGTTTAGTATGCCTTGTATGCTCTATAGCGATCCAAACATCCAAATTGTTCATCCCTCACTGTGAGGTACTGGACATCGCTCCCTGTGGCATGTCCCACATTGACATGCACCTCGTCTGCATCCCATTCGCAAATTCAAGCCGGGCACGAGGACCCGTCAATTGCAAATGATTCCCTACCTGTGGGTTTTGTTTTCGTTTCAGCACTCAAATGTGCAGAAAAAATCCGAAAATACACTTCAGTTGCATGTGCTCTTTGAACATTCCTTCCAATGAAATCTGCTAAATATCAGTCAAGCGGTCGTTTGTTTTCCATACTAACTTGCGACGCATGTTCTGAGCCGAAAAAGAAAATATGGTGATGTTTCTGGGCAGACGTTGGGTTGTGCAAATCGTTGCGCAAACGAATCCCACAATTCAGGGCTAAGCGTTGCAATGTTGCATGGCCTTCGGGATCCAATGCGATAAAACGTCCGAGCCGTAAACGAAGTTGCGGGGATGCAAAACCATGGGTTTTTTCGCCAAGCCCAAGTGTTTCTATAGTTTTCTTCGGTTGCCCAGAAATTTTCCCATTCCCAAATTTTGAAGAAGGAACTCCAAATATATCCATTGTAAATGTTGCAGATGCCTTGGCAAACTGCACAAACAAGTCAAAAGATGAATGAAGAGCCAAATTTTGCAATGTTGCATGGTCTCCGGGGTTCAACCCGATAGAACGTCCGAGGCGCAAAGGAAATGAAATGGGTCTGACCTTTGAAAGGCACAACTCATTTAACCAATTCGCCCCCGAAACGCAGGAGCGGTGAGACGTGTCCCTTTCGGGCCTGCTGCGGGAGAAGCTGATGATGTAACTCATTGGGGCTTTGATCAGAAACCATGATAAAACGATATGGTTCGGAAGCCGCGCATGCGCAATGGATTTGGAGCTGGGCCTAAATCCAATGGTCATTTTACTAGGGTGCCTTTCAGACTGCCCCTGTTTCTCCACGGTGTCCTTGGGAAGCTGAATTGTCAATTGTCTGCCGTTGAACAGCGCGCAGATTTGCAATGTCGCGTGCTGAGGCCCTGACTTCAAAGCAGCATGCCAGTGGTTCCCCTCGATGCGCACTCGAACGGACCCGGGTTTGTCGAAGCCAGGAAGCAACCCGATCACCCAGCATGTGTGGACAGATTGGGCACAGTCTGGAGTGGGTCAACTATGTTCACAAGATGTTACACTGCAAGAGGCCTTGTCAATGTACAAAGTTCCTACGGTAGCTTCAACCTTCCCAATTTCGTTCAGCATCAACAAACGACGTGTTTGATGTCAGAATTGTCATGCTCATCTGACCCAAACTCTAAGGACTTGCATTTTTCTGAGGAAGTGTACCTAAATCTTGCTTCTCTAACCCTATGCAGCTCGTGATGATGCGGTGAGAAGAGGGTCCCACCAACCAGTCGGCAAATCATCAGGAACATGTGTCCCGAGCTCACCCTGGCATAATATCTGGCTATATCGACCCTTTCTGTGGATTTAAACCAAAATAGCTGCAAGATGCTGCAAGGTTGATATTTACTCATCTGGTGGTTGGCTGCTTTCCAGTTCCCAGTCACCCCAGCAAATCATCTGTGATGCTTGGAATGCCATCAACAAATCCATGTATGCAAAACTCCACCCAAAATCACAGCCCCCACCAACATATATGTTGATGCTTC